GTTGCATCATTATATTTGTCCATCCATGCAGACTGGTTACACCGCGGAAAGGTGCTGCGTCACGACTATCTTACTAATCTATCAATCATCACAGCTTGACGTCCAGTAACTCTGAAAGCGGAATCTAGCCTAGTGCCGTGATTCCAGCAGCGAATGATGGCCAAGACTGCGATTTGAAATCAAATTGCCTCTATATTCAGAGTCAAACGTAGTGGAGGCACTCGAAGTATAGAGGCGTAGTAGGTAGCCTACCAGAAAATATATCCAAGCGCATGTACTAATAGTTGAAAGCGAGTGTCTCGAGGTACTAACGATCTCGCGTGATACTCTATGTGTATACGGCAAATAGGAAGGACTGTCTGCTTAGGTTATGCGTGCATCCACTCGACAAGGAAAGGGATTATGTGCGGGGATTTAATGGTCTCCTGTTTTTTTCCACAGCTCTAGAGGAGATTTACCCAATCGAGGGTCTCACTGATTGAGTTTTAAGACGTCTGATTCACACGCAAAAAGATGGATGCGAGCACCATCATCTCTTCTACCCTACTCGTGCAAGCTTTCACAGACGCGTGTTACGACACCCATTCTTTTTCATGATGGAGTTACGAGCGCGTCTACAAGTTCCAAAGTAATCATGATGGTAGACAAAATTAAGGCCCTATGCTCTTGGTGCAATAAAAATGACTGAGATAACTCTTAGGGCCTTTATCTGCGGGTTCTATATGAAGGCGTTTTAGTGAAGAGTACGATATATAAATAGATTGGTATTATTGCCTCTGCGCTTCTTTAACTAATCGGAGGAACTGGTGTAACGAGTTGTATATATTAGCAAGGAATATGTTGTCCATGCGCGCGAATGGGGTGGAGGAACGGGCATCGTCAAAGAGGGGACACTTCACCATTACCTGAAACCAGCAAACGCTAAAAAACTGTAAGATCTTCTTGACAGCCGTCGACGCTATAGAAGTGCCCTATCACAAGATATGATTGCCTGCGTCCTCATTCGTGCACTAGAACCTACTACTGGCTTCCTACGCACGTGTCTATGAAATGAACATGTTTTCTTATGAAAACCTCCCAAGATCATGCCTCCTTCCAACCACGTATTGAGCCCATTGGTTCACATTCATATGGAGAGGCTCGATGGTAACGATTCTTTCTGAATAAGTGCAAAAACCCAACCCTATCCGCCAGCTTCAAGGTAGCCCGACATACTCCAGTTTAATTACCACCATAATCATCAGGCTTGCAAACCTCTAAACGCATCCAAGCTGACTTAGAAAAGGCACACATTCTACAAACTGCCAACGAGGCGGGCATAATAGATACAAAAAGCTGAGCAGTTGAGCGGTAGTAAGCAACTAAGTAAAGAAGGTTACAAGTGTAGTAAAGCTCTGCCACTATAGTACAAAAAGCGATGAAGGAGCGGACTAACGAAGAGAATGAAAATCGGAAGAGATAATGGGACCCAAGGAAGCCTTTTTCTTGCGTGAGAAGGTTAGTGTTTCTTGCATCTCCTGCCAGAACATCGATCCGGATTGAAAGGCAGTAGGATTTTGCGACCCACTCTGACGGAGTGTAGAAGACCCAAAAATGACTCGACAATGCTGAAGTGGGTACTTCGAACTCCTGCCAGCGGTTGGAGCCTGATGCCTAGACGTATTCCAAGTGTCCTAGAAGGGGCCCCCTCATTATGACCCGGTTCACATGGACCGGAGGACCTAGAAAGTTGCAGAAACACGGCTGCTTGCGTGCTCGTACGTGCTCCAAGCACTCGGCGCAGATATGGTGTCCGCAGTCTAGCCTATACATTCTATTGACTGGCGTGCTCTTGGGGTCATCGCAACATCGCATGTAGCATGCCCCACTATCGTGTAGTGGAACACAGCGTTGTTCCAAATGCGGGTGAACCGGGCAAGGGTTCGCGCGGCCCAGGGTTGACAGAGTGTTGAAACACGATTCGTGAACGAACTGGCTTTGTGAGCGGCTGACACAAGGAGGAAATGACTGTAGATACTCACGCCGTGACATTTGGTGAATTGAGAGACCGAGAATCTATCTTCGACCAGGTTTTTGTGACAAATAAGGCACAGCATGTCTTCCAGAGAACTATCGCCAGGCTGATAACCAAATCGTGCCATCCAGCTAGGGACCATGAAACTGGCAGCCCGAGATGTGGTTTTGATGGCAAAAGAGATGGATCGGCCTACAGCTTGTGGGATGCGCATGTAGCCTCGGACATTATTGAAGCCCTGATTGACCCACCGTCGGATACGATGGCTCATAAGGCTGGAGCTATGAAAAGAGCTCCGATAGCGGGCTGATTGGGATGAAGCACGAGTGGAGTTGGGGCTGGTAATAATTAGGCTAATTGAGGGACGAATCTGTGGGGGTAGTTGTTCCTCTGGGCCAGCGTTCCGCGAGAACTTGATATACGAACTGGTAGCAACCTGATATTGCAAACAAGTCCCTTGTGACTGTGCCGCGTGTCTGATAGCAAACAAGTCTTACTGCTTGTGTTTCACATATGACTTGGAAAACATGTCTGTAGATGCTTGTGCAAACCTCTCAATAGAAACTTCATGAACCGGAGGACCTAAGCCAGTAAGATTCTATAGGACGCAAGTACGTGGGATGCGCACGTGCAGCCGTTCCCATCTTGATAGTAAACTCGTCCTGCATGCTTAGCATGGTGGACTAGCATGGGAACGGAACCTAGTAGTTACTTTTAGGTGAGCACTAAGTAGGTCTATGGTCGACGTAAACATTGCAAGGTGACACGGCAAATCTCTTGCGCCGGTGAGAGATGGTGAACTACATTGATGACAACCTAATTCATGGTGACGTCACTTCCGCTCCCATATTGCCCTCGATATCGCGGTACTACCTTCGTTGATTACGTCCCCATAGGTCATGTGATATTACGCGTAGTAACTGCCACACCCACGAACGATGCCGTGACTTAAGATGAGGATGAAACCCGCGGAAAAGAGTACCCAAAACTCGACCAACATATCTTGAGCCGCTAGTTTCTAAACATGTTTCCTCAAAGCACGCAATACTCAGAACTTCACTGCTAACAGTGACCCACTAGATTGTTAACTCTGGTCCCATTGTAATAACATTTACGACAATTGAAAATCCAACTTAGTACCTACGGACCTAGCCACATGAAACTATTATAATGTCAATATTCGTAGTAAATCAAGGCACTGTCAAGACTGTACTTGGCAGCTATTCCACACTGGTTAGAATCATCGTTACTGTAGCAGATCTTTACTCATGTGTTCGGAAATGGTAAGCTCACTGACACTGGAAATGGAGAGAAGACGAATGGCAATTCGACAGGCTGCGGCTTGTGGACATACTATGTCGCCGAGATATACGGGAGGGTTCGTGTGATGTTACGTGATTTTGGATGATTACTTTGGCGGACACCGGGAACCAGAGGCTGAACCTAATCAAAGCAATGAACCGTAAAAAAGTTTGACGTATAGGCACTAGTGGGGGCCTGGGCGATACGGATAATAAATAACACCTAGTCCAGTGTTTAATTCAGGACAGTGCCACCAGTATCGTGAACAAAGTCATTCTCGAGTGGATCACTTTAGATTCACCGGTACCTGATCAGATCGTTATAATGAAGACGCGGGTGTGGTCGAATGGCAGCGAGCCAAGCCCAGATGTGGGCTGCCTAGTTCGATACTGTAAGCAAGTAGACTCAATGGCGCGTCAATTGTTGGAGCAGTGTCACTACGCCAGGCAATAAGATCCAGGAAGACCTCGAAAGCGGTATACTGACACAGTATGGAGAACTTGTTGAGTGTTCCCAAGCGGGGCCTTGCTGTCCTGCCCACTACCCTTGAACTCGTCGTCGCCACCGCCAAGCAGTGTTCTGGTCGAAAGCCGCGCTAGCACCTGCGTAAACGCCGGAGCCATCACCAAGGTCGCCTACCTCTGACACGCGAGCTTGTTGGTAATAGCTTCTTCCGGTGATGTTTGAAAAATTCCAGCAGAAGGTACAGGATATCGAGTTGCTCCTGATAGAGGTTTCGAAGAAAGGGGAAGCCAAACCATGTCTACAAAGTCGATTCCACTTACTATTTATAGGCCTTGGCATCTGAAAAATATCAGTGGCCTCCTGCTTCGCCTTGAGGAATAGCTTGACAAGCTTCGTTGCTAGATATTCGTTGGAGTCATGGTAGATGGAATTCCCCCTGCCTTGATTGCCGATACGCCCTGTGCAGCTAACGCGGTGGACAGACTTTGTAATACTATCGTGCGTCGTAAAAGGCAGGCTATATTTAGAAGCATGTTGCGTGATGATGCCGGGTTGGTAGATTGGAAAAGCGTGAAGATTGAAGGGGATCCGATGTGTGGACGTCGGGCGATCGCCATAGGCTTGTGGGACATTTCATGGTGGAGAAGCGTCGGCAGCGAGGTGTACGAAAGGAACCTTCCTGGTAGCAGCGCAGACGGAGCGGATTTCGAGAATCGCAAAAGCATCATGAGATCTGCAGCTGAGAATATCGCAGCCATGAACGACAAGGCAAAGTCGGTCAGAACGGGTTCACAAGGAAAGGTCTCCCAGAGGGATGACGGGAGTCGACGAGTCAGATTACGAGGGGCAAATGCAGTTTCAGGTCGATGGGGGCTTCGAATCGCCTTAGTTCTTCAGAGAACATGTGGTAAAGCATGCTCTGTTTGGCTTTGCTACGGTGGTCAGAACCTGGCCAATGCAAAGTTTGTTCGAGGTATCGTCCACGGAGATACTGTCAGCCAAATGACGGTATTACACCGGAATTGACGCACGGCTATCCTCCCTTATTCATAGCAAGTCTTCTCGCACCTGTATCGATACCTACCTGGGCTGAGGCAGCGCGCTCTCGCGCTATTTCGTACGGGTGTTGAAGGATGTGGTCGAGAGCAATTCCAGCCGGACGACAGCTGTGTGGATCTCAAAAGCGGTTCTCTTTGGGGTCTTTCGGATTTCTCGGCTGCTAAAATCGGGCATCTACCCCCTCCCCGCAGTCGAAGCGACTTATACGTCCCTGCATGGGGGGAGGGCAACTCGGCCGACTGGCGGTGAAGTAATCCGTCGAGTTGGGTTGATGTTTGATTTGCTCGGAGCGAGCAACTAGGCCGCTCACAAAGTCATCAAGATCACAAACGTGTGAGGACAGTACTTTTACAGCCAGAGTTGTGCCACGATCAGGCGGAGAGGTGCCGGAATTGGTGCGATATTGAAGCCGTGCTGGTAGAAGATGTCGCCTTCTCCGAGCGGTGATTGCCTTGCATAGATCAGCTCCCATCTTGATGAATATGGAATCACGAGATACCTGGGACTGTAGTGGTCTTAGGTTTTCATTGACCGTGTCTTTGTCCGCTTCTGTGTCCCAAGGGACGAACCAACATGTGAGAAGGAGTACGCTTCCTCCCGGAGGATCCAGCGATGCACTGATAGGAGTATAGCGGGAAGTGAATCGTGCCTAGGAACAAGCAGGCGTTGAGATATGCGGGAGCCCGCTCGGTATTGGCGAAGCAGGCGAGGATCGTCACAGCGTGTGTCCCCGCCAAGCTTGCTCGAATTTCGTCTTTGGTGCTCAGCGGACGAGATTGTCCAGTGGGAACCGTTGTGGCTGGGGCGCTGTTGATAGCCGTAGAGGATGCCGTAATGATATGTGCAGGCAAGGAATCGCTGCAGCGTGCCGCCATTGGACTTCTCCACTTCGCCACGTCCACCACGCGATGCCTTCCATGCCTATTCGAAGGCAAATGCTGCATTCTGGGCCCATTGTTCCATCGAAACGCTCTTCTGCCTCATCCACAAGCCATTATGCCTCGGTGGACGCTGTACAAAGCGGCTCGCTCCAGGCGTGACGCAAGTGCAGACCAGAATGCTGTTCAAATTTTTGCTTGGCAGCCTCGCGCTAACCTATATTGACCTCAACCGTGCTGTAAAAGATGCGGTGATTCGCAATGGTGTATGCTGAAGTCGTGTTGTTGTTGAAGAGTGCTGCGTGCGTCGTTGGATGGTGTCAGGGATAGACACAGCGGACCCGCCATTCGAGCGCCTCCATGCCTTCCCACTCAGACTGCACTCCATCTTATCCCAGCTCGGTTCTGCAATGGCCTTGTACGTAAGATTGGATGAAGGTCCTCTGCTAGATCTTGTCAATGCTGACCGGGGACATGCGCCTACGATCTAGCTCTCGACGAAGACTCGCCGTGTGAAGCTGGCGCAGATACAGGGCTGACCTGCCGATGGTGTCGAGAACCTGGAGCGACTCCACTCCGCGGGTTCCGGTCAATGTCGTGGCGCACCTCTGCGCTCCAACTGTAACGGGCCCGGCCACATCAAGTAGCATCACAAGCAGCATACGTTTGCCCGCGGCCTATTCAGGACGACTAGAGCCACCATGCTCGTGATGTTGACGCGGGGAAAGGATGGCAGTTCTCGGTGTCATTGCGACCCACGTTTGGTTCGGACCTGGGCCGCCACGTGTCAAACGCTCCAAATCAGTTCATCACGACTTTGACGCGATCTGACATATATATGGAGCAGAGAAATCGATTCACCTTCAACCTAAGCCCAGGCCGGAGCCGCGAGGGGCCCCTGCTATTGAGAAAGGGGCCACGAGAAGCCTGACGGAAACGTGCGTTTGTCGCTGCGGGTTTCCGAAGAAGCGGCCGGAGTAGGCGAAAGCGCATAGCTACACAGACTGTCTTCCCATCTCCTCGCCCCCGAGTCGGCCGGACAGTACATTTATGCTTTCACAAGGTGCGTGGTGTTCGATCTCGAAAGCGGCACAAGCTCGACCGACCCTGAACCCGATCTCCTTCACGGGGCGCAACCAGGAAATCGCAGAATCTTGCGCAGTACTACCTAGACCAACATGGCAGGCTGGCCACACGAATCGTCGTTGAATAACGGTGAGACCTCCGGCGAACACGCCAGCAAACAACGGCAGAACGAGCTCAAAAAGTCGCCAAACATCCCGAACGGCCTTGATGAAGGCATACCAGCTATACTCGGCACAAAGGAAGACGTCCCCGTTACAGGCGCGGGAGAGATATACCTAAAGTCCAGCTTCTTGTCCGCGGCCGGGTCCCAGGGGTCCCAAGAGATTCATCTCCAAGAACCGTCACTCACATACGCCCGATCTCCCTTCTCCTCACTTGACCGGTCCCAGACAGCAGCCATGGCTGTAACAGAAGTCATTGTTCTATCGCCACGGTCAACGACGAAAAACACGCCCTATGTACGTTGGATGCATCGCATCGCAAGGCGGTGGCGGGTTTCCACGACGCTTGCAGCGACCTTCCAAGGCAGGCAACATTTCCGGAAGATCCCAGGAGGGGAGCAGTACGGGTTGCAATCCCCACCGCGTACATCATCGGATGGATCATCGGATCCCGCTCCCAAGTCCTCGGCCCGCTGAGGGCAATCTGAGCCTGTACAACCGTTTTCCCCATGTCTGTGCAATCCTGGGACCACGCTCACCATATGCGGCGGCATCTTGAGTGTGATCAAAGTGAGGCGCAGGCGTAGCCACTTCCATAATATGATAGCTCAACCCGTCGCAGTATACGCTCGATGAGGCGCGTGGACGTACCGGGCTTCGACAGCTCTAGTGGAAGGACGGGTCTCCTGGATGGAGAACGTGGTGGCTAGGCAAGGCGCGTGGAGATGGACTGGGGGTTAAGTGATCCTGCGTTGGGCAGTGCCATTCCAAGCAGGTTCAGGCTGCCTCTATCATGGTTACCGGCTAAAAAGCCTGTTCGTTGTGTCAGGGTAAAGGAGGACAAGCAGGATTTCTCGGGATGATGTTAATTTTGCAGCTGAGGAGATAGAGTCTGGCTGCCATGGTGCCGCCTCACTGTATCCTCTGTCAATGCGACGACAATGACTGCTGGCAATTGTGGTGCTGGTTATGGTGATAGGTGCAGCAACAGTTGTTTGTTGTTGTTGCCGCTGCCTACGAATACACATCATAAGGAGAGCCGAAGGTTCCGTGAGAGCTACCAGGACGCTTTGGCCTGTGCGTAGACTTGACACAGCCGGCGCGGCGAGAGTTCGATGTGCTGTACTCTGTACACCAGACGACGATTTGAATCACATGTCGCTTCGAATCCATTACGTCTCGAGATGTAGATATATACAACTTTTGGGAAACAATCGCGAATACGTGTCGTCCACACGAAGCCACGACGCGGAACCGGGCCTCTTAGATAGGACAGCCTGCCAGGATATGCGGATACGGCGCAAATAATGCATCGATGTACCTGGGTTATCGAAGATATTGTGCCCTATAAGATGACCAAGCTGGGATCCATGGAACTTCCCTGGGGATTACGATTACCCGCATGGCGGTTGTGTACCTGTGATCCCACCGGCGAAGCTTCCAGACGTGCACAGTTCTCCTGAGTTGGCTCCGCGTCATGGCTGGTATGGCCGTTTGGGAACGTCGTTTAGCGCTGCGCAGAGGTGACCGCGTTCGTAAGAGAAGATAGAAAGGCAGAATGGACATGTGTAAAGATCTGGGATGATGATTTCAACCGTTGTTGGCTGGCAGTCAAGCGAGTTCTTACGCTCAACATCCATAGTTTACACCATATTGTGTCTTCTCAAAACACTACTGGTTTGAGCTTTCCATCCCCCTTGTGACAAGTCACACGTGGCTTGAGGTTCAGCGCTCTAAGAGCTTGGCGGCCATATTCAGCCGAAGCCCAGCACGCGTCGAGTGATCAGGTGCGCTTGGTACATCGTGACTGGGAGCTTGCCTATAGAACCGTGTCCACGCATCTCCTGCCCTATGCCCCGAAACTGGAACAGGTAAAGGATGGTGTGCTGGCGAGATTTTATGTCTCGTAACTCTGCTGGTGCCTATGGAGGGCGCTGGTGGAGACGAGAGAAGTTTCCCATGCCAGCTTGCAGCGCCAAAAGAACGGATCGAACAGCTCTGAAGGTTTACTCTGATCACGACACCGGGATCATCAGACCTGCCATCGATCAATCCACCAAACGGTTTTCTCGAGACTCTGTAACCAGTTCATTTACCATATTCTCTGTGACCTGCTTGGACCATTGCTTGAGAAGTAACGCGCTCCTGTTGGGATAGGCCTGTGGAGCTCTTCACGGCTAGCAGGGCTATTTCTCATCTCCCTGCTGCACCTGGCTACGTACGCAAATTTTTCTGTCTGTCGCAACGACTCGGCTTGCGATCAAACATGACGTCGATCTCACACAATTCAGCCCCCCGAAATCAATCTCACGGTGTTGTTCACTTCATAACTATCTCCATTCGTACTGACCTCAATAGCCACCGGCTTCGAGATACGGAATACGTCGTTTCAATACCGTCAGACTTGTTTGATCTGACTTTGATTTCCGTCATGAAGGACTTCCATGGACCATCTAACTCATTTCAATCAGGCCTGCATTCCAGGTCCCCCGTTTGCTTAATGTAACCATGTCCGTGTAAACAAACCCCCTAAAAACAATCCCGTCAAAACAATCCCGTCAAAACAATCCCGTCAAAACAAATCCCCTCGAAATCCAGCTCCATCACATCGACCTTGATGATTACACCCATCGCTCATGCACAGTCTCTGTCGGTCACTATCCATATCCCAGGCATCATCTATCTAGCCAAGACGCTCCTGAGATAGGAAACTGTCTTGTTCGCTAGTGCCAGCCGATTTACCGCGTCGACGACTACTGGACAATTTGGATCGTTTGGGAGTCGAAGCAAAGCAGCCACAACGTCGGTGTCTGGCATCGCCTCAAGCAACATCGCAGTGCATGCAGGCAGCACGCAGAAGAATACAATGTACCCAGTCAGGCAGAGCATGCGGTAGCGCATGAATCGAAGGGCGTTCGTGTAGAGCTTCTTTATGTATGTGGGACCCTGACGAGCATTCACCCATTCATCCGCGTGATTAGCCCACCGCAGGGGTCGGAAAAGGATAGCTGCCTGATGATGGTGGTAATACGTGGCGACCAGGAGAAGGTAGACCGCAAGGGTTGCGTTTCCGAACGTCGTGTTCGGCGGTGAGAGTAGCGCCACGAATACCAGGACAGTATCGGCACATGCGTACCTAACTATGGCGCCTGCAGCGTCGATGTGTAGTGCGAGATAGCCGCAGCCGATGCCTACGAGGGCGGAGATCTCATTCAGCAGCCACTCGGCAAGGCGGTATGTCTCATACACGAACCAGAGCACCACAGCAACGCGGAGAAGTCCAATGACCGACGCTGCTTCTGGTGACAGAGAGGTAGTGGAAAGCATCGTTTCCATGGCCTCGAAACGCTCCGCGAACCAGGGTACCACAACGCTGCGGAGAAGTTCGATCACGTCGGCCGTAACGTTGTTGATGTGGACACGCAAGGGACCCGCAACGCTACAGAAAAGTTCGGTCACCTCAGTCGTGACGTTGATGATGGCGACACGCGACGGAGCCGCGACGCTACGGAGAAGTTCGATCACTTTGGTCGTGGCATTGTTCATGTTGAGGAGCAACTCCTGGACGTTGAGGTATGGAAGCACCGCGGCTCGTTGGAACAGTTCGTACACCATTGTACCTCGATAGTAAGAATAGATAGTTGCTGCGATACTGAGCGTGGAGTTGTCCATGGCGACGTTGTGATGGAGTATCTGTGTGGAATTAGCTGCTTATCAAAGTTTTAGGAATTCGGTTGACTACTTGTCTTGTTGAAGCGTAACACTGGTGTTATTGGAGTGCTGCAGTGTCGAGCGGATGAGCAAAGTCTAGGGTCCACACTGGGTCTGCAGTCATTTATATCGACGCGACGTCCGCACGTGCGCCTGGTTTGTCGCCATGGTTTGTTTGTTTGTCTGCCGCATATCCCGACCAACGTCACACGCAGCGCTACTGTGACATCCCGTGCACTATCGCAACACGGCAGCCTCGCGGCTGACTGCATAGACCTCCAAGAAAAGGGCTTTGGATGTAAAGGTTGGTTCCTCGTCCAACACGAAGCTTTCAACAGTAAACTGGTAGGTCGTAGAGTAGCCTGGTGTCCGATGATGCAAGAGAACACAAGGGAAACTGCAGCGAGCGTGCACCCAAGGACGACCGGAGAAATAATATTGTCGTAGACTATCCAAAGATTGAAGGGGATGTTGAAGTTCTAGCAGGCGCTATCAACTGAAAGGTCAGATCGAAGGCTTTGTTCGTGCACCTCATGGCGAGGGCCACCGAAACTGATAGTAATCTATTCTTCAGCTTCGTTGGCAGCCGCACTCGCGCTCGGTCATACTCAGGGATGAGCTAGTGCGTCGGGGTTCAGATCTACCAGCTGTGACACATAAAAGGCACGACCGCGCCGGGACTATTATTTGTTGCTGATTCGATTCGGTCTTGACGTACATGAGAATCCGAAGTCGAGGAATTCAACATGTAGAATTCAACATGTCCCATACGACTTGCACAATGATAACGAGCTAATTGCGATGCGCCGATATGAGTTGTTCTAGATACTAGAAAGTGCGCAACGATTCCCGAGGGAATCGATGTCGTGTGACCTCTGCGTAGAGTCATACACTACCTTGGCCTTTACCCTTGTTTGCTGAAGGGTTCCTGGAAAATCGACGGAAAGGATGCGGACATTGGACGACTTATCACGCTTGGAGTGTTTGAATGGGGGCCTGGATGGAGCGGCTAAGCTGCTCAACGTCGCCTAGAATTTGATAGATCCTAGGTCAGTTGTTTGATTGGGCAATGTAAGTCGCAGGAGAAACTTCACGTTGTAGGGTTCTTCAGGTTTGGAGTGGCGAGCGATATCCATATGGCTGCTATGCTGCTTGTTGACGTTGTTCTCGATCAGGCTGCTTCGCAATTTCTAATTGATGTATTTTAGTGGAGCGCACAGATCATCTCATAATCATACAATGTTGCAGAGAGCGCTCGATTGTATGAACCTTGGAAATTCCGTCTAGACTAGCTCTTAATGTGACGGCCTGTGCGTGCTTGCCCTGTATCAGATTCTGGCGGTTTGCGAAGGCGATCGTTCCCTGCTGTCTGAGGCCCATTGCTAAGACTGCGCTACTATATGTGAAGCTGAACATGGCCCAGCTATGGAAATTGAGAGGGAATGGATACCCTGCCATCAATATCCTCCACTATATTTGTTAGCAGAGACTCAAGATGGTATGATTCATGTAGTATCTCATGCAGGTAGGTAATTAATTTGTGGTTGAATGGGCCCGGGGGGCGTTCTGCGCAAGAAACCATCCACAATTTTCGCTTGTATCATCCATAGTACTATTTTTTGAAATTGTGTCTGCGATGATTTGAGAGTATGGATTACTGCACCTTCCTACGCCTTCTATGGTTGATATCGACCCTATTAAAAGCACCAGAGAAAGTTGTGGGTTCCAGTTTTCTAATCGTCCTCGCTGCCAGGCGCTGGGACAGCCACATGCATTCCACGGTGAGTAGAAGATATAGTTCCGCACCACGTAATTACCCCAAGTATTTCACTGTTTGCGACGTCATAAGTATATTTTTGTATTTAAAACCGTATAGTGCGCCAGCGTCATAATCGATAGTACTTTCATCTAGTGGCGTAGCTGGATGGAGAAATTTTCTCTCCACTAACGGGCTGCAAAATGATTGTCATGCTTACGTCTTGAAATCATGAAAGATGTTAGAACCCAAGGTATACTATACCTCACCTCTCCGGTCACGGGATATCCATCGAGACAGGACGTAACCAGGGACGATTAGGCCCAAGCTAACAGTAGCTAGCTATAAAAGCTAGGAAGCTGTCGGATCTAGTCCGACAGCGATTCGTCTCTCCTACAATCTACTTTGGCTGCCTGTCTTGTACCTATCTACATTGCTTGCCTGTGAATCCTGACAAAAGATGTTTGAAATTTGCTAGAAGGGATAGAATAAGCATTGACTGATAATGTCACTTGCTTTGATGAGCCGCCATATGATGGAATTAGGCTCTCAGTCAATCATCCTCGTCTCCCACAGGATTGGCCTACACTGGATCTTGAAATGTTGTGTGTTCAGAGTCAAACAACGTGCAAGAATGAAATAAGTCCACTCGATAACGGAATGGTCCGGTGTCCGACAATGCCCTACGATAGAATGTATTCCATCAGCTCCTCCCATGTTCAGGAGGTATCTTGTGATTGCGTATCCAAAATACGAGGGTATATGGCATATGAGTCTTGGCAGACAATAGGATGAGAAGACGCTGGCTACTCATGGGCTGCATTATTTCACCGAGTGCTCGAAGTGCGTAGAAGATATACCATAGCTCACCCGCGACCAGCAGATGTCACAGTGCCGATACTTCGAGGACAGAATCCAATAGACTATAGTAGGAGCGAACTAATCTCATAGATTATCTTCGCGTGATGATTCAACAACATCATTTTCAGGAGTGGCGTTAGTAGGGTCGTATTTACGAGTTTCATCTAAAGAGCAACCACTCCTGAATGGATGTGGCGAACTTATTTTTTGCTAACACGTTGTCTATTTCTGACATTGGCAGAAAGCATCCTGCGGCAGAATGGTTCATCTCAAAAGTATCACCAGTTTCACAAAGCAGCACTTTCTCTGACATGTCTAATGTTGGCTCGAGGAGGTAGATTAAGCCAAGGCCTTGCGTTACAAGCCCTGTACTTTATTTCTCTTGCCCACTTTCGACGACCTCGATTTGAGGTTGCCAAAAGGCGATGCCAAGCTCCCAACCTCTAGCAAGGGAGCCAACGCCTGTTGGAACGACGGTGTTGGGTCCTCATCGCGTAGGTTCTACGCCAAGTGGTCGGGGAAACACTAATTCAACACTCGTTTCTCTCCCCAGCATCTAAACAGGTGATATTTAGAAGCGTCGAAATGACAGCTTCGTGTGGGCAAGATTGTAGGACAATCAGCTATGGATGTTGTGATACGAGAACGTCCATGGGCAGCAATCATACCTAGCATTGCACCAAACGATAGGCGTGGCGCTCTGCTTGATAAAGCGCATCACATGTGGTTGCTCCTGATGGAAGTTACGAAGGTCCGAGAGCAGCGACTCTGGCTGGGGTGGATCGTTTATATCGAGAGGTTGGGAGCGACGAGGTTACTAACGAACCGCAACCCACGGAGAGGCCTCATTCCGGACAGCGAGTTCGTTCAAGGCAGCTGTAACTTTGTAGTCGAGGTGCGGAGGGTCAACGTGCGGCGGTTCAAGTTTTTCAAGACGGGTGGACTATTGACAAGCACCATGAGGTTCGGTAATCAGCGATCCATTGCGCCACGCCTTGACGCTAACAAGGTTAGCGGTATCGTTGGTATCGATCAGGCACCGACTGGGCAACTTGTCCATCCCTCACGTCAGCCTCAATTTCGGAATCACAAAACTTGCCATTAGTGGAGAAACGCTCTGTAGTTGCTCAATCATGCTCTCCCTTATCCCGCTTCTTCATTACCTCACATAGGGAGGAGCCCAATATCAATCAAGGGCATGTCATCAGATTTGGATCGTACCGGCCGTGTCCTACGCCAACGAGGCCGTCGTGAACCTCTATGATCCTGAGCTCGTACATTACTTGTCGGTGACCAGCATGATCCAAAATGGCTATTTTGCGCCTCACAAGCCATGTAAGCCTATTCTATCGTATAGACAACCTTCTGCTCGCCCGAGCTGAGATTGCCCATCGCATACGGAATGGGTTACATGTAGCGAACGAGTTTGATAGTGCCCAGTCCCAAAAAGAAAGTAGGAATTGGTGACGACACCCTGACCCAGATTATGTGCGGGGATATGCTCAACGCGTCGCGACCAGGGAAAGTGTGCTGGGGGGCGTACGCAAATTTTGCTCGTATTGAATGCAGGTCCATCACGTGAACCCTTGTCTCACGTTGATGCCGCCACGTCACCTCCCCTGTCTGAAGTGTCTCTCTAACGCTCTAGCAAGTGAGTCCGGGACGCATCCCCTGTGTGATGAGATGTGATGCCAGTCATGCCTGATCCACGCGTTTGTCACAACCATGCCGCTTCCCGTCTGCGTGCGACCTAACTCAGTCATCAGCCTCACCCTTGAACCTTCACCGGATCCGACCGCATCGACTTTCCAGAAACGTTGCCAACATTCGAGGGTCTCGTGGGTGCACCGTTGCTCTTCACACTGTTGTCGCTCTGCGTGTTCATGAACACGAGCATTCTCGTGTTGACCCATGACAGCCCATTCAACGCGATGAAGGAAGAGAAATCTGCCAACAAGATGGCTGATGACGGCTCGTTTATGAACCCTTCTAGTGAGCCCCCCATCCGACTGGTACCTTGATACTGACGCTCTTAGGGTGGCCCCAGGAGCAGCGATGCCAGGGCATAAGGACCGACGGAAAGCAATGCAGGCGCAAGGCCCTATCCGGCAGAACCAAGTGCCTCGGCCACAAGAACCAACCTGACCGCTTGAGCATGGGTGATGGCAAACAGCAATCTAGGGGATTGAACGTCGTGAACGCCGGATAGAAGGACACTCCCGACAAATCCCAGTCCGAGGGCTTGAGCGTCGACGGCGAACACGGGGATACACCCAAGCCAAAAGGCGGTATCATCAAGTTCAGCACCCACATCCCGGCCAAGGAGCAAACCACAGGGAGCAATCGACCTGGGGCGCCAGCAGAGCCGGTTCCGAGGCCGCTGGAACCTACCATCGTAACCTCGTCCAGCACCTGGACGTATACCGCACCCATGCGTCGTCCGCGGCATACTTCCTCCACCCAGGTCACCACTAGACCATCCAAGCATGGCATGCTGATACCTATGGCGCATGAAGGCAAGAAGGACCACGGCACCGTATCCCATGCTGCGTCCAAGGACTCCAAGGACGAGTTTGACGGGTTCAACATACAAATGCTTGCACGGCGCGTGCAGCTGATGCGCAGGGACATGTAAGTACCTGGCTGCAGACCCGCGTGATGCCCCTTGGAGACTCACGTGTCGCAGGCAACAAATGAGGCGTGATTTGGTGGATCTGTCCCATCGCGTGTGGAATCTTGAGCATCCCACTGCCCAGGAGATGATGCGGAGAGACGAGGATGGCTTCTCTCGCGCTTACAAATCGCCGCGCCATGGTTTGTTAGAGAACGAGGGTCAGTCGGTAGAACGGGAGGCATGGCCTTTGACGGGAGGGTAGGCTGGATAATCAGGACCGAAGGGGCTTCCGTCGGGCATGGATGTGCTAGCATGGTTGGAGAAAGAGGGTTCGGTACATCCCGGACGCGCACACTCATTTGTATTACCCATTTTGGCACTCCTGTTTGGACACACCCATCTGGATGTACTCATTTTCACTCACTTATCCAACACACATTGCTTTATGCACACTCCTTGAAACACACGACTTTCATACACAATCATTATCGATATGCCCATTCACTGTACGCCTATCAACTACAAGGTTGCTCCAACTCGTACGCTTCCTGACCCACCCTTACTCCAGCATATGTCTTTGTATTCTGGTACAGCTCTACTGCTGTCAAGTGAGCTATATTTCTACAATTATCATCGCAAATAGACAGAACAGTGCACTACAGAACTCATACCGCAATAGACATGATGATGTGTAAGGTGGGTTAGGCTGACGATTGTGTACCCAGCGTTTGCGGTGACGGTAAAACGATGTTGGTTAGGAGGGAAGACGCTCCAAGTGTCTTGTCCGAGCGCGATCGGCCATGAGTTGGCCTCACCATAGGCAGGGTGGCGAGGTCGACGGGGGGTGTGGCTCCCGACGTGACGCGCCGTGGACGGACGAGTATCTTGACGTAGCCGGTGAGAAGGGCAGGAGTGAGACGTTGGGCGGGGGCATGTAGGGGCATACTTTGGTCCTGCTGCGAGGGAAAACCGGCGGTGGGTCATCAAGCGGCGGCCAGGCGCTTTCCCCATAGGCGCTTGAAGACGCTGGTTCTGCGCCAACAAAATAGTGTGAGCGTGCTGCTGAGAACGAAGAGCATGAGCGACGCCTCTGCAAGTCTCGACCGACGGACACATGTGTTGAGTGGATTACATAGGTTGCGGGATTTTGCCATCGGATGAATCGCCAATGGCCACAGTTAGCATCGTGGGTGCGCTCCTGGAGAAGCCCTGGCTCTAGCCCAGCCCGCTGAGCGGCAAGGGTTTAGGCGGCGAATTGCGGTATTAGCGGGGTCGGTGGCGTTGCTGTGGGCGGGCGCTAGCATGGGAGAGGGGAGGCCAAGGAAGGAAGAAACCGATCGTGGTCGATGCCACTGGTTTGAGCTGTTCGTACAAGCGCCATGAAGACATTTTCGGAAGCGCGCTCCTATAGCGCTTGATTTCTGCTGGTATTGCGTTGACGGTAAAGCGTTGGAGGCGCAGGCATTTTCGCCGAGGCCGGTAGTGCATGCCGTGCTCGAGAAGAACGCTGCGCAACTCAGGCACTCTGATCTTGCAGCGCTCGAAGCCGTCGTCTTCTTGGCGCTCTTCGCTGAGACGATCCTCGTCGCCTTCCTCGCATGTGCGTTGCAAGTGTGAGGGCTCGTGCCATCAGAGAGGACTTGTCCACCCCGAGGAACCAACCATGTGTCCTAGCCACGGGCCGCGCCCGTAGCGCTTGGGGCGGAGCCGCGCCCGCCATCGCTGACTCGTCGCACGCTGCAACGGGCAATTTTGCCATGCTTTGGAGGCTGGGAAAACGTGGGCGTGGGCCTTGATGCAGGTTCTCCACGCAAGGGTCTCGATCGCTCGGGGCGGATGCGCCAGCCCGTGCGACGCGGGGTGGAAAGCGCTGTGCGCCTGGCAAAAAAAAAAAAAGAAAAAGAAAAAGCGCTGCATGTTGCTAGAGAAGACAAGGGACTGGCGCCAGTGACAGAAACGACCGTGTGGTGGTGTAGGCAGCGGGCAGTTCCACGTCGCTCCTTTGCCCTGCGGCATCTCGCGGCGAAGCGCGCCGGCCATGATGACATACTCACGCACTAGGCCTCGAGCAGCAAGGCGCCTTCTCATGGCGCTCAGCTTGGCTCCTCACGTAGAACGGCCAACGTCACATGCGGCTCTGCAACACTGATGATGCGTTCAAAGGTTGGGAAACGGTTCTGATCGGTCGCTATTTGTCCCAAATCTTCAGCGTTTTCGAGCTGAGCCAACGCTCAAAAAAGGTCGAAAAACCGGTCCACGATCCACGACTTTCGTGGTTGCCGAGTTGGGAAGGTTGACGCTAAACTGCTTCCGGGTCGGCCAGCGTCCTACCACACTTGCCTGTCGCCCGCCGCCCTTGTATCAGCGACGAGCGCGGACCTACCACATCCTCCTCTGGTTCTTGATCTTCCTTATCCTCTCCAGCAACCTCTCTTCCTCTTCGCGCTTCCGCGCCCGTCTCCGCTCGCGCTCAATGTCCATCTGTTCCTGATCCTCCATCTGTTCCTGCTGCCTCCTGACGAAGTCGGCCATCTCTTCATCCTCGAACACGTGCCTTACCGAGCCTATCCACACCGCGTGGCCGCGCCGCCATGATTCGTCGATCGAGGACTCGGTTTGGGCAGCCTCCGGACGGGCCTCGCGGGACGTCGCTGCTGAGCATCAGCGCCGTCATCTTCTCGGCGGGCCTCACGAAACGCACCCACTACACCTTTGCGAGGATGCGGGGTAGCCGCCCGTCCCCTGCGTTGCTCCTTCCTCGGCAATATCTCGTTCGCATCGTCGCTCGCATTTCGCTCGAGTTCAGCGCGGAACTTGGCCCACCATTCTTCTGTCGTGTCATCACGCGAGTCGGCTTCAACTTCCAAACGAGCGCAGGGATGGTCTTCGTGGGCAGGATCGCTTGGGTCGTGGTCAAGGAGCCCATAGGAGAGCGGGGGAGAAAGAGATGGTGAGGCTGAGGGATGTGGGCGACGGGACGAAGAGGGCGTGCAGGCGGGGGGATGCTCTGCGGTGGTGGATGGACCAACCTCATGCTGCTCGTCAACATCCGCGTTGAGTCCAGAATCAGCACCTGTATCGTCAACACCCGAAACCCATCCAGCATCGGCAGCCATCGCCTCGTCGAGTCTCTTTTCGTTCTTGCATCCCCGTGGACGACCACGCTGCCTGGAACGTTCGGTGGTAATGGAAGCAACCGTGTCACCAGAGACATGCTTCTCAACATGGAGATTCTCCGATGGGCCAGCAACTACGCCGCCAGCGTCTGTCATATGTCAAGCCGAATGCCCCGCCCGCTGTCTTGTTAACGGCGACTTACCTGGCTGCCCTAACTCGGTCCAATCGGCTGGGGCCTCGGACTCGACGGTGGCAATCTCCTTGTCGCGAGGTGCCCTGCTTTTGTAGCCAGCCGGACGGCCGCGTTTCTTGTTCTTGGACCCCAGCGGGCGGCCACGCTTCTTCGGAATGGCGATCGCGGCAGCGGGACTTGCAAGTTCACTCATGGAATGTGCCTCGTGCTCGCGACGGGTAGTGCCCTGGGCGTGAAAATCACCGTCGAGGGCAGTTTCGGTGCCTCCGTCATCCAGAGGGCGCGGATGATGCGCTTCGTTCAAGACTGCAACTTCGAAAGGCACACCTTCCATCCACGGGGAGTGGATGTCCATTTCAGATGTCTCGTGGATGTGACGAATCTGCGCTCGTGTCGGACCAGCGATCCGAGACTGCGCCTGAACCTGCGCTCGCATTTGACCAGCCATCTCAGGGGCCCGCGCTTGCAGCTGACTGCCGACCTCCCTACCGACATATTCGGTGATTCGAAGCAGGAGGCGGCCCTGATCCTCAGACATCCTGTCGTATGATCAGCAGCGTGTTTGCCCCTTTCCGGCCGGGCTTACCATGTGTCCATTGTAATTCTTCGCAAGGTCTCGGGTGTCAAGGGCGAGCCGTCGCTTACTTTCCGTAGCTGCTGACGTCTTCGAAATAGTAGTAGTATGCTGGCGGTTGATGTACCCAATGTGCGCTGCTGGTGTCCGTGCGGGAAGGGCTTACCCTAAAGGTCAAGGTGCAGCCAGAGCAACGCCTTCGGTCTCTTTCAGTAGGGCCAGACGCCCCATCTCACGAGTTTGGTTGCAAGTGTAGTCATCTTCTTGTGGAAATGGATAGCTTTATTGCCCTCGGAGTATGTGAGGGCGAAGCACGGAATCCCGCGGGGTAGCTGAGCGAAGCCCTAGACATGCGGCCACTCCTTGGTAAAGTATCGCAAGCATCTGGACGTACCCTCTACATGTTTTGAACGTGAGTTTTCGCGTTGCATGGAGTAACTTGGTAAGCCTGGCGGCAGACCAAGGGCTCGAGCGACGATCACGTGACACCGCTCCGCATCAGTGATGGAACGTATTGACATCCCTGCACCGCCGCAGGAAACCTCGTGACCATGGCGAGCCGTGGTTAAGCATCTCAAAAGAGCGGAGCATTGGTTGCATGATCCGCTTGGGCGATTGGACCCGGTCTTGTTGACCTGTCCGGACATTTCGCTGACGCCAGGGAGAGCACCATGTACACAAACAAGCTTTTTTTCTTGCTGCTCTGTCTTGTTTGTGCAACCTCGCTTTCGAGCAAGATCCAATCAAGGCCAAAACCATGCTCAGCTCTACCCCTCGCTCGCAGCTTGCGGACTCGCCGATTTCTTCTTCGTGGTTGAGGTAAGATAGGGGTCATCATGCTCCAAATCTAAATCGTCCATAACTATGTCAGGATACCGCAAGTACTCAGCCAGGAGTAACAAGTGTCCCAAATATCTCTCGAGGTTCTGAGGCGCCTCGTGGAGGATGAAATGGTGGGCGACTCAGCAAACTGCTGGGGCGGGGCCAGGTGGTGCTTCTCATCGGGCAACGACGAGTGCTCAAACCAGCCGTGTATCTCCTTTGGTTTCCACGGTGCTGCCTCTCCTCTATATACGACTCGGATGCATTGTTGGGCTGACAGTGTGCATCTAACGGCGGTATGAGAATAAGACGTACTGATGCGGATTTCTTTGCAGCCGGATCACGAACACGCGAACCCAGATGGGCGCACCACGCACGCGCGCGCAGAAAGCATCGGGCCTGCAGTGAGCCAAGAATCACCATCTGATTGGATTACCCAGTTGATAACACTGTGCATGCCGTTGCGCGCTGTGTAGAATTCTAGACGGTTCCTAGCGACACAGCCCATCTCGAGAGGGAAACTATTCACCCACCCGAGAAGGAACAACCTATCTGCTCGAGCTTGCCAAGATTGCCGTCAAAAATGGGACCGTTGCCGTCAATGGGACATCGTACAGCCCCCGCGTCGTATACACTCGCCAAGTCACATACTCTGCCCCCCGCCACTCCAAAAATGCCCACCGTCAAATCTACCATCGAAGGGCCGCCACCGTGCGTTTATCAAGGATGGGGCGGTTAAACACCCGAATCCAGAAAGGAGACCAAGACCTCCTCAAAGCCTTGCATGGAGAGATGCTACCGCTTGCGGTCAGCAACAGCGGCGCCAGGTGCAACGCGCATTTGCTCGTTGGGCACCTGACAGACGATGGTTCTAATTCCATCCAAAAGGTCGTGGATACGGAGTTGCAAAAGACGCAGGCACAAGTCAGCAGGTGGCGATGTATTCAGCATATGTATTGGTTTAGCAATGCGTCTTCAGCCAGGTCCTTGTCTTTGCTTAATATGTCGCGCGCAATAGTATCCAACCTTTTTAGCCTAGCAATGTCAAGTATTTGTTTCGTCACCGAGCTGAATAAACTTGCCCGATGCCGACCCAGCTGGAACAACACCGGGCCGCGCCCTTTGCGTCTCGACCACAACGCTTCAATGATAGACGAAGCGGACCGTTCGCAATAGACGGGAACTGTTACAGGTGGATGCTGGCCCAGCTACCTGTACCTCTCCATCCTCATGCCGATACTGGCACTGCGAAGACGGACCCTGGCGAGGCTGCTGATACGCCTACTGATATGGGCGGAACACCTATCCAGAGCTTCCCGACGGAGGGCAGCACTTTTCTAACCGAGATCATCCCTCCCAAGCGCCGCATTACGCCGCTACGGGACATACCCCCGTCCAAGTTTCCGTCAAAATGCAAAGGCGCAGACAGCCCTCGTCATGCCAGCTTCCAACTTGGAGGGGCCGCTGGAAGTCGTCTTTCCAAGACACCAGACTTGTTTCACGTATCTTTGAATGGTGATAAGATGCGAACCGCTATGAAGGACGATAGGAGATACCACGACCTCACTAGAGCCATACGCAAGCATTGCCACAAGCTTGCCAACCCCACCATAGCTCAGGAACAGCGGCTACTGAAGCTGGGTCACTCCATAATTGCTATGCACTAGAACGTCCAGAAATAAGCGTGGGAGCAATTGGAGGATACTACCAAGGTGCGTCTCTAGGCCTGGAAGTGTAAGGAGGTAGAGATGTATCTCATGCTATTGAGGTAAGCCAAAGCCGAAACCTCTTGGCTATATCGTAGGCCCCTATTAGAATTGCTTGCTCTGCAGCCAGAGCAGAGATACATGATGATCATCAGGACTATCTGCACACCTTCAATTTAGACTTTGAGTTTGCCAGACCGCGCACAGATGACTTAAATATTAATTGCGTAAGCGATTTATGCATCAACAAAACCCTCATCGCTCCTGATACAAGCATGGGGGATTATCAAATCGTCTCGTTGACCTACGCTAATGGAGACTACTATCCGTTTTTGAAGTCTGTCGCTGAGCAACGCGACGTCGATTGTCATGTTACTACATGTCTACCAAAACCGAATTGGCCCTCGGAGATTGCGAACGGTCGACTAGTGCGCATACGGTGATGCTACAGAGCACATTAGGACAGCGATAGGGGAGGGGATCAAGTTTGCAATAAGACAGGCATGATGTGCACGACTGCGCCGTCTGTAAACTGACCCGTCACATGGGAAGCTAATAGGAGCGCGCTCCTATGCAATTCCAGCCAGGAAAATAGGCTTACTGGTGGTTTTTGGTCTGCACGATGCTGACAACAGACGTGATGGGGTTCTTCTCATCTCTAACCTCGGTTGATCGCTCGATCGGGAAAGGCCGCCGCGAACACCATCTTTTCAACGACGCAAACGCCGCCCTCGCGGACCCTGAATTCTATTTCGTGTTGGATATCCTGGCTGACCCTTCTAGTTTTCATAGGGTTCCTGTGAACGCTCTGCCTCAATCAGCAATACCCACGCCATTTCCAAACCATCCCCGGACCCGCTTTTCTATCGCCTGCATCGGGGAGTGGCACAACACTTTCCTGTGCAACCCATGACACTGCCATCCCTAGCGCCGGTGAGAAGTCCAGGGACTGGTCCGGTCAGCGTAGGTAGGTACAACAACATATATTCATGGCTTGAAATCTAGCCCAAGAAAGATCTCCCATTCTACTGCAATCTTAAGGTGAACAAAAGTCCAGCCTGAAGTCAATCGGTACAAGCCATTGGGATAGAGGCTTGATCGAACGACCTTCCATATTACCCGTCCGTCCCATCCCATCTCAGCCGCCTCGCATGTTCCTGGAGCTTTGCTTGACCTCTCCTCATGTCGCAAACCCCTCGACGATTTGCGCGACTGGGGTCTTCTGCTCTCGTCCGGTCGACTTGGCAGAACCAGCCAGTGCGCCAGATCACCTACGAAATACCACCTGTCCGCACAGCGCACTCGCTATCGTGGCGTCTTCTCTAGCAATTATATCACGCGCGGTCAAGTCGGCCACTCGAGAACACAGTTGAAGCGGCTCTACACGAACTTGGCAACCATCTATATGGCCCTCTGGCTTCCCGGTTTCGCTCTGTCAGACATATAAGCAGATTGAACGTCCTTGTAAGTATTAGGCCTGACTGCGTGGATATTGTATTCATGCATTAGGTAATGGCGTTGACTTTTACGCATTTCTGGCCATTTCGCCGCCTGTTAATCTGCCCTCTGAAGGCGAACGCGCCGCATCACTGACGCTTGCACTTGGTCTGAAGAAAATTATGCTTCCCAGCGCTGGTTGCTGAACGAAGTAAATCATTGCTACCGCGGGGTCGCCTAATCCTGCCCATACCACTCCTTGCCACCCTACATACGTGTCAAACCATGGAGATGAAATGAAGAGGACGCTCGCGGGAGCTGATGATCGAGCGATGGCCGGGGCTGCGAGGGAGATTTCGTGAGTAGGTACCGATGATATGGACACTGGTTGGCGCTCTACCATGACCGATGCCTGCTCTCGCTTACCTGTGGCCTCCGCTAAGATGCGAAACCCTATATTGGTATGTACGGTGCACATAGGAGATATTGTGTCGTTCTTACCTCGGTCGTCAATTGAATGCTTGGTCCAGAAATTATTCCACGAGGGCACGGCGGAGGCGGGATAAGACGCACGATGGTCCATGGCACTTGCCCAGAACCAGCCCCTAGCGACCTGGCGCCTGACCATCTTTCCTAAATGTGGCCAGAACCAGAACCACCATCCCAAAGACTCCAACACGAATACTTCATGTGCCTCGCGCCATCCAGTGGCCAGCTGGGCCTAGCCGCATCGCACCGCAGCGAGACCTCGCCGCTGCTTTCCGCAGACCGTCAATATCTCACCTCTTTAATAAAGGTACGGGTCGTTCTTAACTACAATTAAACACAGCAGCAGCGTTACAATGCGTTGTACAGACTGGAGAGCCGTCTAGATAGACCTGCTAGAATCCCGACCTCAATCTACTACAGAAAGCTTCAACGCGGCGTCAGTCAGGTACTCTGGCTCATCTCCTTCCGCTAGACGATGCCTGCCCCTGATTCTCCACTGTAGTGAACCTGAAGGCCTCGGATGGTGAACCTGGAAAACTCACAGGATTTCAGTACGCCATCATACAAGGCTTCTCTTTTCTGTCCGCGGACCTAGCCATCCATAGCATATTCAGCGCTAGCTGCCAACCTGGTCCGTTTCGAATCGGTGCAGTGAGTATTAAAACGTCCTTCCTTCTTCAAGACTTGGGCCTCCTGAAGGATCTTCAGTAGTCCACTCGCGCTGACACTAGAGAACTCATGTCGACTTGGGTGTGTGCAGGGTCGCGCTACGCCTACTGGAACATCGCAGGTGGTTGCGAATCTCGTATATTCAAGGTCGAAATGCTTTTGGCTCATAATTCTGCTAAACCTCGACCCGAATGTAACAAATTCACACCTGGATCTCCCTGCATCGTGTTAGTCTATCTCGACTTGCCAAGTGCCGCAGGAACGATTACTCTCGGCCTTTTTTGTCGCTGTTCCTGTCTGGGATGTGTAATACGATATGCCCAAGACCCTTCGCCGCCAGCTGCCCGGTGGCCTTGCCATCCGCACACCTTGACGAGGTTACCTCGCTGGCTGTCGAAGCCACATTCGATCCCAGCATCGACGTGCTCGCGCCCGTGCAGGCGCTCTGGCACTGAAACGCGCACAAGCCACGATTGTGGAATCGGCAGAGCGGTTCGTACATATTTCGGGCGCGCTGTCATGTGCAAGATCTATCTTCTAAAGTGCAGTTTTGGGGGTCAATGGATAAACGGAGTGAATACAAAGGTAGTTGAATTGGCGTGCCCAGCTCGCCCACTCACGCGGAGAGAATGCAAGGCTCAACACCATCTCTTCAGCTTCGAGACAGATCACCTCTTCACAAAATCGAGACTGCACAATCCAGCCGGCATCACATGTAGTGTACTGTTGCAGCTTTCAAGAGTTTTGTTAATCCCTGGTGACTGTGTACAAGCGTCATGAGGACGGCCCGGAGGCTCTGATGATGATAAGCAAAGCATCGACAAATGCAGCCACCCCACTCGCATTGCCCTTGACCGTCTCCCTATGTCATTGGCTCGAAAACGGAAAAGCCCTCTCTCCCGAGCTACCACATATTCTGCCCGATCTGTGCTGACCTTCCTGTGTCTACGATATCCACTCTTATACACGCCAAGAGGAGACATACAGTTTGCCCAGCGCCACGCGCCTTACCCATCTACTCAATGTTGCTTGGAATCTCTCTTCTCCCTCCTCTCGTACTCCGATTCAGGACAGACGAGCTTTCGCTGAAGTCCTCCCAATCGCTTTCCCCTGGCTCTTAGATCCTTAGTTCGCCGAGGACGGTGCGCTTGCGCGGAGCACGCGGTATCCTTGGTGAAGCTGGCGTGGGCGTGCCCGAGCAAAGCATTCGCCTTGTGGAATACGGTCGAAGGGCTGCTGCGCGCGAGGAATCCTTGCTCGGCAACGAGCTGCTAGTCTGCCCCTCGCCCAGTCGCGGATCGGCTCTGGAGCTACCTGGCACAACGGGTGCAGGTCCGCCGCCGGATGCAAGGCGCATCGGCAGATGCTGACTTGGTTCGCCTGCGGCACGAGACGTGCTTACGCTGGGTAGTGGGAAGCGGTCGTCGGTCTGCCGGTGGATCGTTCGATGGCGACACTTGGCCGCCTTTCGAGCGCGACGAAGTCCTAGTGTCTTCTCCGCATTCATGACGTCCTGCGGTAGCCAGTCCTGGCCGTGTGGTCCGCTTCTACCGTTGACGCTGCTGAGCCGTCCGTTGCGAGCTTGTTGTACCGCAGCCACCACTGTCGCCCAGGAGATGTCTGCTGCGTATGCGGATATGCGCGCGAGATAACGAACAAACTTGGGGTCCTTGGAGTACGCATTAGATATGATATGGCCAGTGGCTGTTTGCACCTACGACAAGGCTAGTGTAGCCAAATTGATCCCCTAGATCCTCAGTCTCGAGTTTCCAGTCACATCGTCGAAGTCGTTGGAGAAGCGAATCTCCGTGGGTCAGCAAAGAAGGCACAGCATGTACTTGCAATAGGACAACGTACATAGCGGGGAGCTTTTCGCCAGACTTCCAAACACCACCTTTTGGGCCGCAGAGGTGCGGATCTCGCGAAACGCGTCCTGCGTACCATGGTCCTGGATCGCCGTATCCCACTCTTCGAGTATCGCGCTGATAGGTGGGCGGCCCCATTTGGGCGTGGCAAGAAGGTCGACGTTCGCGATTGCGAGGATTCGATAGTTCTCCATTGCGAACTACTGAGTGTGCGAGTGCTGGAAGCAGAAGCAGCGAAGGGAAAGTCGTTGCCACCATGGGGGATTGCGCACGCAACACGTGACGCGTTTGTGCTTAGTTTTCAAAGTGAATGGTGAACTCTGAGACGCGTCGACACATGCCAAACTCATTCACCTAGTCCTGATAAGATTGAACCATACTTCACGCTGGGTTTAAGAAAGTTTCGCAGTACAGTTTGTTCGATGAAAGTATTCACATCAAACGGCCATGACGGATTTCCCGGTGCAAGCTGCACTCTTCTCGACAAAGTGATGGTGAATGCTTGAAGCCTCACAGGCTGAGAGCCACTTCAGGCAGATACGATGTGGTCTCCCTAGCATATCACACCGCCTGCGGCGTAAAAGCTATAGTTGACTCGTCGCGTTTCACCTTGCCGTGCGCCACACGGTAATGTCCCCGCTTCTCGAACGAGACAACATGCACCGTGAGGCTTCATGTCTTGCCTTTGCATCTCGTGTGCCCAAGCTAGGGAGCAGCGTGGTGGTGATGATTTGGCTTGACAGGCGTGAGAGGGGTTCGCAAGGCGGAGCTGGGAGGGCAGCGTAGCACCGGAAACCGCTGTACAAAGCTTCCTTTGCCACAACCGACTTTCGGGACTAGGTCGGATACGCGTCGTACATGATAGTCCAAATGTAGGGGCGTATACGTTGTAGACTTGGTGCCCGTCGCCGACAATGTGCTGTTCTCAGCTCGTGAACGTTTGAGTCTCAGGTTGAGAAAGGATTTTTGCCAAAGGAAGAGATGCTCCCTATGAAGCTGTTCCGCATCGGCTTGTTGTTTGTAGGGTCTTTCCCGGGGCTCACATGCAGGCGTGCATTCGGAGAGCAAGAGCTTCCTGCCCAATCTGAGTATACGTCGAGGGCTCGACCAAGAAGGTGCGTCGTTGAGTCAGAAGACGTTGATAATATCCTGGATGATCCCCATGGATTTCAAATCTTGCCGACGGTTCTGCCATAGCGTCGTCTGGTGTTAAGCCCGCCCGCAGGAGCAGCGCTAGTGTCTAGGTCCGTTCTTTGCCGTTGCTTTTAGGTCGTTCTGAAGCCGCTCCAGACGAGAGCTTGCTCGAAAGCGTTTTCTGCAGTCTTCTCCGCCTGCCCTATTTTGTGGTACTGAACGGAAGTCGGCGGTAATAGGCGCTTTGAGATTTCGGAGACTGGACAGGCTTGCTCCTAGCGCTGCAGACGAGGCCGGCGTCCGGACGACTGCCGTGTCTGCACCCTTCTTCCTTTTTCATAAACAGCCACCTTATTCCATCCCTACCATCTGCCTGTAGAGTCGAGACAATCTCTCGGCGCACCTTCGAGTGTTCTAAGTAGTTTGCAACTATCATTTCGGTAGGAGAACCAAGAGAGAATAATCGAGGTAAGAGAGGCATCGATGGGCTTGGGGTCCCAGTGGCAGCAATGGCGAATCTCGGGTATTTGACAAGTCGGGACAGTTGCCAAAAAAACGCCGTAGTTTCCCAAGAACCTCTTCCTGCGTTGCTCGTGCGTTCATTGTCCGCATTTGCAACAGTACCAAAACCAATCTTGATATCCGCACCCGCAATTTCCTCAGCCTCGAATGTCTGATCCGTGCGACGATCAGCAGCCCCGCAGATTGTCATCTGGGAACCAGCAGGTTGAGGGAAGCGATCGAAGGTGGAGTCAGACGATCCCGCTTCCAAGTGGGAGACCTTTGTCGCCCAGGTTTGGAAGCCGTCTCTGCCGGGCATGCTGCATCTCACAACCATACATGAACAGGTCATGGTGATTCATTTCTACCTGTGCTGATTAGGAAGGATCATGCCGGGATTGGCGGGAGAGGGCTGATTGCACGTGGACGATGAAGAGGTGAAGCAGGACAAAGTACCCGCCGGCGCGATTGTACGTGACCCCTACAAGGCGGAGCTAAGCGAGCGCGCGTATCACCGCCAGCTCAACCTGAGACGTTTCGTCAGCAATGAGATCTCTGATCGCCTTCTCAGCGCTCTCTCAGTAACTGCAACGAAGGAAACGAGGCTTACCCATTGTCCCATATTAGACGTGAGAAAACACCCCATCCAAAGGAATATACTACGCGCGGAGCCAAAGTACAAGCCAGTGATTTCTTGCTCCACATTCCTTGGACGCTCACCATGCAGGCCAAATCCAAATTCGGCGACTGTGCGTAACCGGGTTCTTCACACCGGGAGCAACGGAACCACGACGCTGTGATGGAAGAGGCGCATGCAGAAACGCCAGGAAAGATTCTCACCCGTGAAGCGTGCAAGGCTGTCCCGGGACTTGGATCGCGGACGAGGATACTTTGGCCGCCAGGGCGTGCTACGGCACAGGTGTCGTGAAAGCCATATGTGCAAGGCTCCTTCACGACAGGGATGGCAACGATATGGGCATGACTGCGCGTACTGTCGCGCGGCTGTGAGGCATCCGCCCGACATGAACGAGGATGTGGTCAATCTGGTCCCCGGGCCCAAACGCGTTGTATCACACAGCTGCCGTAGAACTGACCGCCATGACCCACGCACAATATGGATCGTGCAGCGACTGACGGGGGCGCGATGCGGACGAAGCGTCTGGGATGTAGCGTTACCGTAGTTGAGCTAGTCATACATCTCTCGAGGCCTTCTCATCGTGCGAACGCTCGCTTGGGCAACACATCGTCAGGTGCAAAGTAAGTAAGAGCTTGGATGATTTTCGCGAGGAGTTTCGCTCAGGAACTGTTGCAACAAGCCGTTAAATATGACAGGACTGCCCCACCATCTGATTGTTCTAATCGGGCGGATCTCTCACCTGGGTGCCTCATCACGTCCCATTTACTAGCTGCTCTACGGTACCTGTGCCTTGTGTAGATGCCATCCACGTGGGAGACATTCAAGAGGTGCTCGCGAGTGTGTGACCCGCCCGCGAGGGCAGAGGGGTCTGGCGGTGAGAGCATACATACTTATATCCAGGACCTTCACCAATGTCTCAGCAGATCACGTACATGATCAATCATACGCTGCTATTGCGAGCACCAATCGCTCACAAAAACAGTTGCATCGATCCGCCGCGCTCAGGAGCTGCCCGTTAGCTGCAATGGCACTGACACCGAATGTTTCGGTGGCATGCGACTTGTTGCAAACGAAGAGTTCAGTACATCCATCCATTCAAATACGACACCGAGCCTTATATAAAGTGAGTTGCATCTCTTGAAATCATCTTATCAAATCGGATAATGTGACGTGAAACGCCATTGGGCAGCTCCTCTGCGGAGCTCCCTTGTATGCTCGGGGAGCTTCCTGTACGTATATGGCTAGTTCTACGCTTAGACCTGGCAATATCTCTATATATATGGAGCGTGGGAGCTCTCTCCCACACTCCAGTGATAATACTATAGATCACCCTGAACTGCTTGCCAAGCTCCCTCCAACAGATAATGCTCTCCAGTTCTGGGCTACATCTCGAAAACCACCGTTCCCAACAACCCCAACGCAATCTCCCAAGATTCACTGTCCGGCGTCTTCAATGCACTCGAGAAATTGCCCCGGACGGTACGAGAAACGAGAGCGAACCGAACCCGAAAGCGACTCCAAGCGCTGGAAAAGGCACATAGATTATCGAATGGATTAGGCGCGATCTACCAGTGCATGGATGCGGTTCTGAATGAAGCGTCCTTGGACGTGGAGTGCTACCGAGACGACCAGCAGAAATCGCATGTAACGGAAGTTGGAGTCAGTCTACTCCTCGGCATCGCTTTCCAAAAGGTCGCAAGCAAGAGGTACTTCCACTTTGTTCTGGAAGAGATGCTCAGCTGTGTAAGCCCACGTGTGCCAGCGACAGAAAAACAATTTGTGCATGGGAAGAGGGTTGTGCTTCCGACGAGTATAGTTTTCAGAGTCACATGGCGATTAATTCATGCGTCGACCGCACGAAAATTGCCCCAGGATCCTAGGAACATATATACAGAAGAAGACCTTTCTATGTCCGAGCTGACGAGGCTGTGTGAAACACCATCAATGAAAGAAACCTTGAACGCGACGCCAATGAGTCAGAGGTATGGGCCTCGCATATTGGTATTGCGAAAAACCATGCTGCGATAGCTGTGGGAGTTTTTCCAGGTGAAATTCAAGCCGGGATCGAACCGAGCAAGCTCATGGTCTATGTTTAGATGTTCAAGCTCCAAACAAATGATATCGGAGCCTTCATGTCTGGCTTCAAAGTGTAAGTGCCATCGCGTTGTCACTTACTAGCTTTGCCCCTTAGCATCTTGTATCCATCTCACCACCTGTTATTTTGCTACGGTTTCTCAAGTATAGTACCTAAAAGGGCTGTGGGTCTGGTCCCGGCGCTGTCGCTGTTTTGCAGACGTCCGTATGGATGCTATCCATCCGCCCTCGCAATTATGCTCCGAAGTGATCCACGACCTATCTCTGGCCGAGAATATGTTGTAAAGATGCTGCAAACTTGGCGCCACAGCGCCCTAGCGAATCTGAATTGTGTGGTTGGCCGGACATGTGGATGGATTGGGGCAATCGCTTGAAGTCAAACATTTGCATCTTCGATATCTGCGGAACATCGAGCAGATGTTGGCCGAGCGGGGCACGATGGCGAAAAGTAAAGGAACGCGCCTCCGGCCTACGGCCACCTCCCTGTTTGCAGTAGCATCCGCACCAGCGCCATTTTTATCATTAGTGGGGTGATTCCGTGGACTGTCGGGAGTAACGATCACGTCCATTCAAATAGGCAATGCATTGGTTAGCCAGCTTGCCTCAAACAAATCAGTATTGACACCAATCGCCCCTCGTTGTGTAGGAGAATGCAGCAATAGACCCTTATCCCCGTCCCTGCCCATTTGTACGTATAATGGTAGTGACGAGGTGAGGCTCAAGCGCATGTTGGAAAACTGTGCTGGGAGAAGACATCACGGCAACAATGTCCTGCCATTGATCTACTGTTCCACCACAGACAAATATTAAGCGCACGCAAAAGATTAACGGCTGAGAAGCGCCACGTTTGTTTCACTTCCTTTATTAAACCTCCCGACGATATTACGTCGCATTCGATGCCCTAATCACTGTCTGGAGTGAGATGCTCAGACTGCCCGATCAGGACGTCTGCGAGCCGATGCAGCAGATCTAGGAGCTCGATGTCGCTGGAGCTCCCAGCGTGAGCTCTAGAAAGAAATCCCTCGTTCCATGGAGGTCCACCAATACTCTACATCGCGCAATGTTGTCCCGAGGGGGACACAGCTGAAAGCAGGCGAGCATAGAAGAGAGCGGTAACGGACTGCTGGAAACTTGAAATTAGCAGCAGCATGTCAAGAGCGATGGTGCACACTTGTCACGTACATCTGTTCCCCTATATTCCACTGCAATACCATTGCGCACGTCAAAACCATTTACAGCCAGTCGGGGTGCTGCCCTCCACGTCACTGTTCTCCTTGTGTCTGTATCGACACAGGAACCTCGTCTGTGGAACGCGGAGCATCATCCACGCGGTGTCGCAGGTCCGGCACCATCAGTGGTCTGTGGGTTCTGGCAGGGCGCAACCCCGGTGCTGGCCTCGTGGATGGCGTTGTCGACCCCCCTTGGGTTCCGGTCTTCGCTTTCCTGGTTAGGTGTCTGGACTGGCTGGCGAGGTTCGCAGCCCGCGCCCGACACCAGCGGCGCTGCCAGGGTGTGTGGGCTGGAGCTTTGCGGTCCACGCTTGCGCTTCATCCCCGCCCCATGCACCTCGAGCTCTTCATCCGGGTCCAGGGTGCTCTCCGTGCTCGGCGAGTAGACCTCGGTGGTTCTGCACAGCCACGCGCGGCTCCCAGCGTTGGCTGTGACACGCACTTCTTCTGGCGTATGGGAGGTGCGCGATTCAGCAGCAACGGCACCATAGAGGTCGAATCGACGCTCTTGGCGCATCTGCTCCAAGCGCAGTGCCTCTGTGACTCTCTGGTAAAAGGCGAGATTGAAGTGGGGAGGCTTCGGGTATTGCGGGACGCGATCAGGGCGGCCCAGAGGGCGATGCCACGTCGAATAGTGGTCGACCTCGGGCCCGTTGCTCTCGGGCGTCATGCTTGCGGTGTTGAGTACGTTGTAGGGTTGCGACAACCAGGTTCAGTGATGGCCTGTTTGGGAAACCGCACTCGCGGTGTCACGTGCTGCCGTGCGCGCCAAGGCCGATTGCCTTCACCGTGGGTGCCTTGCTAGCCGTCACCGTCAGCGTAAAATCAAAACCGGTGTCGATTTAGCGGCCAGTACGTACAAGAGCATTGTCCCACCCTGTCGGTATTGATGCGTAGCCTTGTGCGACGACAACCCGGAGCATCGGCCAGTGCTGAAGTGCCGGAGCACGAGTTCTCTCGCGCCAACGCTGGCTGAAGGGTTACTGTGGACGAAGCACTTTCGCAACCTTCCCTTGACCAACATACGGCTCCCTCCGAGGTTAGCAATCCTCAAGCACCAGCTTGTGGCTCTCAGTCTTCCGATGGTGGGCCCTCCCCGAGTCGAGCACCGCCAACGCAGGCCTTGAACGTCTCCCAGAGCGGGCCCACGAGCCGGAGGATACGGAAGATAAGGAAAATCCGAAGCGACTGAGACGCTAGCTAGCTCGCGAAGGGCGCGGTCTTCATAGTTTAGATCGGATCAGCCTTGCCTACATCGTCTCGTCTCCTCTCCTGGACCCTGTATCCTGGTTTGGATCGGCTTCTCGTTCGGACCCTCTGCCTTTTTCGCGTTATCCTTGCTCTCAAGGGGAGCAGCTTATTTCCCGGGCTCAGGGAATTTAGATCCGCTCTTCAACCTCTTATCTTGGCACGGTTATCCGATACTTGTCTGGACACATTTCAGCCCTCCGAGGCGGGCACCAAGTCACACGTGAGCAGGCCCAAAGCATCTCTGCTATCTGCGCCTTCGGTATGCGTTCATCAACTGACAAGACTGAAGAGGTCCCTTTTTTTCTCCAACTCGGCAACCTTCGAACACAAGCATGGGTACTTATGGCTCCTGCAGTAGGTTTCCCCTTTTGATTCCTGACATCTTACGTCTCTTTTCAAGGGCAATTTATGCCTGGGGTTGCATGGTGCATACACAACCGAATCATTTTCATTGTTCGATACCCATGCCTGCTTTAGACGGCTTTTGATACCCTCTTTCCCTTTGCAGTACCCCGCTCTTCATTTCAACGGCGTTCTATATCCCTGGGAATGGTATAGGCTTGATTTTCAAGATGTGGTCCACATCGCACAACTTCAAAGCTTTGCATCTGCGTCTTGATCATGTTCATCTGCGCCGTGACTAAACTTGACGTAGTGCGTTCATCCTTCTTAGGTCTCGGTGCCCAGATATAGGTGCACCTGCGTCGACCTCAAAGGCAGATGTTGCTGCCTTCGAGGAAGGCCCACCGCACGATCCAAGGCTGACGTGCAGTCGCGGCTGCGGCGTCCATGGCAAGAGGGAACCCGCGGAACTGTGTCACGAGCGGCTCTATCCGCATCTTTCGAGCGCATTGCTCCAAGTTCAATGCTGACACGTCCAGGGAAACCTTCCTCGACCTTCTTACGGAGTTGTACTGGCAGTTTTGAACCCATCCTACGGGTCTATGACAAAAACATCACCCGGGTCCGAATTGCCATGCAGCATGCTCCTGTAGCTCTCATACGGCCCCCATACGACAGGTGCCATCTCTACAAAACCCCAGCACCCTTTCAAACAAACAGACGTGCGAACCACTCCCGACGCATGCACCTCGCTCGGGGACTAATCTTCATACTGTTGCAGTTCCACCACGCTTGATCTATACATCGCCCCTGGTACTGCCTATCCTACCGCTGATATCTATTGGGGGTGTTTGCCTGCAAAATTACCCGCTGCTGAAGTAATCTTTCCTCCGATCTTCGTAAAGAGTCCACATTGCGACTTCTGTCCAAGGAACCACCTCGCATGTATGGGCCGATCGAGCTTGCCTGGCAGCCCAGTCCCATTACAGCAAGTACTAACTGCTCAGAGGATAGGAATCATGATTGCACTAGCCTTTAGGTGTCCTCCGTCACGCATGCAACGATCCGACTTGTCACCACAAGTCTACAGGCCCCATTGCCACGTGCACTCTTGCACCGCACCTTACATCGATTCGAATCCACACCCTCCCTCTGACCCCCCGCATCTACCATATTGATGCACGCCCGGGGTATGCTGATAGAATGGTGTTGAGCTAACCATGCATTCTAAACCTGCCTATCGGCGTTGGGCGGTCTCACCAAGATGACGAACGGGCCATGTGAAGCTAATTGAGCAGACGAGATTGAAGCAACGGAAGCTGCTTACCTCTTCAGGTATGCTGTCGTTGGTAGAGGAGACGGTATCGGCCCGTGTGAAAGGGTCGCGAGCGCATCTCCATTCTTCAAGTGTAAAAGGGACCGAATCGTTGTCGTCAGCTGCGCTTACCTAATTTTCCCACCGTCACAAAGTAAATCTCCCCTGCCAGTGTTTGTGTTTCCACCATTAGTTCCACTTCCCTTTTAATAGCTGCCGTGAATGTTCCTGAGCTGTGGCCATCGACAGATCGTGATTGGTCCCTGTGGTCTATACCATTTCGCTTCTATTATAAACCTATTCTGAAAGCGAGAAAATTTGGCAAGCGTTCAGTAAACGACGTCGTAGACTTGGTGCTCTGGTACAAGGGCTTCTCTCATTTCGGTCAATCTTGCGACAAGGGTCCATGGTGTCTTGTCCGTCTAGTCAACTGCACGACTCTCTAGAGAAAGCGGAAGCCGTGAAACTGGTGTTGCTTGCCATACTTCCGTTCTACGATACAGCTTTGTCGACGAGAGCCCACGACGGAGTTGGTTATGGTGCTTGATAGTGTTCTCACCTTCCCCCTGTAAACGCAAGAGCGCGACTAGCGCCATGATCTATCAAATCTCGACAAATATCCGTAACAGAAATTAAAGGCGCTGCTGGAAGTAGTACATGAATCGGAAGTCAATGCGTTCCACATAATGCATGTATCCGATAAGCGAGCCAGCAATACGATCACGCTCGATCACAGTTGTGTTATTCGTGATTGCCTATTCTTAATTAGATGATTGTCCCGTCTCAGAAGTTGGTCGAAATGTCCAGTGTTGTTGAAACACCCGCAATCCTTTCAGAGACTTGTCTCATTTGCAAGCAACTTGCACTTCACGTCAGGTTCAAGACAACAGTTGTAACAAACGCGGCGATAAAGCTTATAAGCAGTGTCGCTTCGCTAGTGTCAACTCGCAGTTGTATTGTATCTCCTCACCACTATTAAATGTGCAGCACCCTTTGGAGACGAATATTGTGGAAGCTTATACAGTCACGCTGCGACGCTCATCTCATTACTCATGTCCCGTCTCCGCAACCATCGCACCTACCCTGCTATAGGTAATGAACCAGAGCTCACCCCTCAACGTCTTGAAGCGAAATTTGAAATCCTTGAGCAATAACTTGTCGAGATTGGATGCTCGATCCACCGCTTCCATGCCCACCCACCTGGCCAGGGCGCCGCCGCTGCCATATACCTCTCACGACTTTAGCTGCACTCATCAAGGAGCCAGGGTGCCGGGCCTACGCCATAAGCAGTACTGAACATTATGCAGTATCGCTCGAGTACGCACGCATCACAAGATCAATCCCTCTTGTTCTTTCACTGGCAAGGGTCGATCTTTGTGAAGACAATGGGTACTTTGTTTGGAACATTACCTATACACGGGTGCCTTTGTTTTAAACCATACCTATATACACAATGGCGCTATACTTGGCAACTCGAATAGGAGTGCTCCACCTTTATATACCACTCTCGAAACACGGATAACAACCCAGATCCAACAGTAAAATCAACTATAGTACCTCCAGAAACTTCACCATCTTAAGATCGGAGGTATCGTCCATCCCGTATTCCCTGCGACGATCGTGCCAAATTCAGAAAACAGAAAGCAGCGCCACGATGGTCCAGACCAGGGCAGCGTGGAATGCGGAGCAGCAGTCAAAGTCGGGCGATGATGCCATGGTAGATGGCGACCTGTACGTGGTGGTCAGTCAAGAGATTGATACGCAATTGGAGCGTCTCAACAATCTTCGAGACGAGGTATCGTCGCGTGGCGACTGGGATGATGAGTCTCTCGACACGATGAGTTTAACGGGAGATGCCATTGCCGATGAGCTTAAGCGCTTGCACGACCAGGTCGATCGCATCGGAAAGGTACCAGTCTGGCGCTCGCGGCAATACATTACACTTGATGACGCTAGAGACGAGTCTTCCTCCATTGAGGAGTTTCTTAAGCAGGAGCGTGTTGGCCGACATGCTGCGCATCTGCGATCACTTCTACCACCAGGATGGCGCAATGATTCACTCAGCACTTACAGCGCCGCAGGCAATACCGGTGGCGGACCAGATGATGACCCCCTCAAGGATCTCAATAAAGCCATGCATGACCTCGGCCTGAAGTCAGGAACCGCGCCCGGCATCTGGAAGACGAAGGCACAAGTTTCGGAAGCCCACTTGAAGTCACTAGTGGACACGTTCGACGACTTGCAGAAGTATATCGACCACAAAACGTCTGGCCTTCCGCAGGCTATTGCCTTGGACGCCGAGTTTTCCAAGGGCAAGGCACAGTACGCCCACATCCCTTGGCAGGTCGCCGCTGTCAGCATTCCCCCATCCGACCCAGGGACGATTGTCTCAGCATATTGGAAGTACAGCACGGTCCAAGCAAAGACGGTCAAAGCTGAGGCCAATGCTGTAGATGACGAAAAGATGAAGACATGGTTGCTGCAACAGGCCAAGACGTCTGAACGCCCAGATTATCAACATAGGATGGTTACGGGCTTGACAGCGAACGGGTTCAAAGCAGCGCTACACGCCAAGGGTGTGGACGAGCGGGCGCTGCTTGTCACTTGGGGGACTACCAGTGCGGATGTTGTCGCTTTTGCCAAAATTTGGGCGGGTTGCGATGATCTTCTTGTTCAATCAGCGGACCTACAGTGGAGAAGAATTAAAAAGCTGGATTTGTCCCAGCTGGTCAAGAGGACAACCAATCTGGGTAGTCTTTCCCTCCAGCAAGTGTACAGGGCCCTGTTTCCCGATCGAGATGGGTTGGACTGGCACGACGCTCTGGCTGATGCTACCGCTACCGCGCAAATAGCCTACCATATCTACGAGAACCGAGACAGCTGGTTGTAGCACCTCATCCTATCTTCTTCGGCGGCCTACAAGCCTGTGCTATAGCTACGAACGTTCGATGTATCCCTGTTAGCGAGCCAAAGTCGAGCTTCTACATCTGCTAGTCAATTGGTGAAGTCGCTTCACCTTCCGTCGATCCATTGTCCAAGATACCAAGACACTTACCTCCCTCATGTTGATGCCATAGAATATCCACTAGCTGTTGACTACTGTTGCCTAAGTTTCCTTAAAGAATGATACTGGTCTTTCTGTAATAATGGTGCAAATAAACTTCTCGTACAATGACTATCTGCGCTATTCCCCAAATCAATGCGGATACTGTGAAGACATTTCCAACTGCCCATTGCAAAAATTATCCTTTTGCTTGATCTTGTTGAACTTTGGAATGATACGTCGTGCAACAAGTTTGCAGGATCGACATTGAGCACATGTACCGCTCTGGCCAACTGACAAGATACAGCACGGAATTGAAAAGATAAGGCTTGCCTATTTAGCTTGCTTCACCGCCACGGAGTGTGATGCTTTGGTGACTGGGGGAAGAAACTCAGCCCTCGCAGGTGTGAACGCACACTGAGAGATGTTTGGCCGACCAAGGCGATTGGCAAGATGTAGTATATGTTGAACCCTGAGCTCATGTAGAGCAGTTTGCTTTGTATCCAGGTCTCAAGCTGGCGCGGCCAGACCGAACCTTTTTCTCAGACAAGTAAATTCAGCTACTACAGTGGCGGAGGCATGGCCGCGTCTCCTCGCCCTCGATCTTCTTCATGGCAAGATGGCAATGTCTGAGTGAGGCTTACGTCGCCGTCAAGATCTCCAACGATTGCCCTGTGCCTTTGTTTGCAAGCGCTTCCACGAAGTGACGATCAAACTAGAAAAACCAATTATCTGACCAAAAGTGCATATATGTACAGCAAATCAGCTAGGTCAATTTGTCCAGGCCACAGTGAAGAGATGCACAGGAAATTGCAGAGCAACGAGCAATCGAGGATTCGTGATGCGACAGACAATCGACGAACTCTTCGCCGGATCCTATTTGAGAAGTCACCGTATAGATGCAGATAGGGGCCTCATCGTCAGGTCACGAACAGCCCTACATGGGAGACGTGCCATTATCGATGAATACGGTTAACGTTGGCGAGATCCTAGTGGGGCCACAAGTTGCGTTCAGCAGTCTCCAGACTCAGTGATTGTGGTTCAAACTGTCCCGTAAAGCTGATAAGATGGGTGCTCATGTTCTTCGTCTAACACGAATTGCAATCATTAAACCTCGATTTTGTTTTTTTGGAAGCTGGCGTTTCTTTGCCACAGCAACAGTTAAGCATATGCATCGTTCTGGGCCTTACTACTACCATAAGGCGAGCCCCAAAACGTTGCCACTTTGTCGCATGGAGTCTTTCATATTCTAGAGCTATCATACTGACACATTGAACAGGTCTTTATAAACATCACCCTAGAATACGCTCTCACCCCAAAATGAGAGACCTACACATCCTACCACCAATTATATAGCCTGCGACTACAGGAATCCTTCGATACTCTATATATACCCGACAACACCCCGCACACGCCAGGTTGCTCTTTGGGCTTACATAGACGACGCCGGCGAAAAAGGAAACCCTATTCAGCCATTCACCTGATCTGCGGGAAACGCTCGACTCCCTGCGTGGTTCCGCGCGGCATATGCTCTCCCATTCGCAACCACACCATACCCATGTAATGGTGACTTGATAGCTTCGTGAGCCTAGCCTAGGGAGCCGAGAACCGTTCCGGCGAGATCAGAAGTGGTGTGCGACTGCCTGAAAACGAAGCGTATCCTGTCCTCCACACCCACGTGGGGCGTCCCGTGATATGGAAGCAACGTCTGCTCAACAAATCTTGTGAAGCTGGAAGCAAACCTCTTGCCATTTTGATCAAGAGATGAAGCAGGGGAATATATATAGACGATCCCAACAACCTTGGCTTGAACCAGACGACCAGATGTTTTTGGAGGCGAAAACGAGGCTACGAGAGCGCTCAGCTTTCGAAGACGACCAACACCGCACGCTTCGACTCTGGCCTCGATGCTTCTGTTGGTCGCTTCCAACCGAACCCCAGTATTGCTCCTGCTTCTAGTGGCATCCTCCTTCGCCGCATCCACCTCCTACCTTACCCTGCACCAAAGGGATATGTACATGACGCTCATGGTCCTCCAACCAAGCCACTAGCCTGTTATCAACGAACTGCAGCCAGTGCACCACCCACAGCTGCAGACATCCCACTACATACAGATCGTGGCGCGACCGAAGCCCCAATCCCATGCCATCGAGAGCCTCATCAAGGCCACCCTCCACTCATCAGAGTGATGGCTTGACAGCCGCATTACGGAGAGAAATCTGGACACACTGAATGATACCTTCATGGAAGTGATCTATATGTGAAAGGAAATATCCATAGAAGAGGACAGATTGCACAACGTCAGCGAACGACCCAGCAATATCAGACAAAGACTTACCAAGGACATTGGTGGCTAAACGAACGATCAAAGGCATATGTAGATAGGTGAAAAAGGTTCTTGGAAGAGGGAAGATCGAACGGACGTCAAGAAGAGATTACGGCAGGAGGATGCCAGGAAAGGGAGCTGCAGCAGAAGCTAGCGTGGGTTAGACCAGAGGTCGCTGAGTTCCAGTAAATCATCACTGACTCACCGACACACTATATATGGAGTTGTTGTACCGGACGATGAATGCGAAAATGATCATGGAGATAGCTATGAGGAATCTGTCGGTGAGTCGTCTAGGGCGAGTACATCTCATATCCTTTTTTGCTCATAGGTCCAGAGGGGGTTTGACTGGATGGAAACGAAGATGGTAGGCCTGATGAATCAGCGCGAGCCCCTTTGAACCAGTCGTCCGACCTGGATGACTACGACGACAACGAAGATATGGATAAGCTGACACATCGTAACCTTCTCTATAGGAAACACCATATAGTGATGATAGCGATGATTCCCATATACAGCCACAACCTATAACCATAAACCATAACATCAATATAAGTCCAGATCCGCATCCAGCAATAGTTCATTGCCACTTCCATTAGTGTATCCACGATAATGACAACCCAGACAGACCATCCCGAAAGCATTACGGTTGTTCATCGCAAGTTCGAATGGATCCCAAGGAAGGCTAGTTCTAGATTAGCTAGATAGGTCCACTCGTACTTTAAAACCGTATAAAAAGCTTATCCAGCATGACGAAGCCCTTTTCGCTTCTACTTCGTTGAACCCATGCAAGGAAACTTCGTATCCGGAACGGTCTACGTCACGCAGCCGCAGTCAGCCAACCTTATACTGCGAGCCTGAATGCGTCCGAAAGCATGTCACCTCCGCGCACCTATAAAAATCAGAACTCGTGTAAGTGGAATGACCAAGCCTCTCTCCTCCTACCTAACGTCTACACAAAGCATCGTCCTATCCAAGCCGCCAAACGTAAGAGTCGCAGCCCGGGAGGGGCGCACAAACGGGCGCTTTCCACAATGAAATAGTAGAAGATCATTTTAAGGAGAACTTGAGGTCCAAATCAAATCTTGCGATGTTTTCTTCCACCTTGGATGTCTGGGCTTTCTCGACGATGCTCTGCACATGCCGGATCATCTGGGCGCACATGGATCTTGCTATTTAGGAAAGGTAAACTCCTCTCCTAGGATCCGAGAGAAGATATGATCTATGAATTGTTGTTTCCGCATAAAGGTCGTAGTAGAAGTTCTTACGGAGCATGCTCTGCGAGAATAGGTCAATCAATGGTACGCTTAAAAACTGGTACCTATGTTGGGCACTTGGCTTCGTTGATAGAGATAGAGGGGCGTGTTTACTCTCTAGGCTAGATGCAAGAATGGAGGATCATCGCGCAGGGCGGGCTTAATTATAGGCTGCAGTCAACGTACATTTCGAGCAATTGATTGTATTGATCCTCCATGATATCGATGTGACCTCCGATGATGTTCTCGCCGCTGGAAAGTGCAACTTATCTCCCGTAGTCTTTCATGAGATGGACATGGTCGAAGAAGCTAGACTTCTGGAGCACTTCTCGTCCTGTTGGAACTCGGTGTATGATGCGGTCTTATGACTACCATATTATAGTCTATCTTTTATAACTAAAAAGACCAGTCATTGTGAGCGTCTGGATTGCCAAGATCAGCGGAGGCCTAACCCTAGCAGATGCGGTGTGCAGCATCCTGGCGATTGGCGGGAACGTCGTCTTGCATGCCTACGTCGAGCAGCTGAATCCCCTCCATACTTGATCCCTAGATGTACTACGTTAGTTGAGACCTCTGTTGGATATCAAGTCCTAGGTCATTGCCTAAATGGACGCTGGATATTTCACAACCTATCAGCTGCTGCCAGAATTTTGTAGCTGTCCTCCTGCCGAAGCGGCCAAGGGACAAAATGAAAAAGTTTGGCAGCTGGCAAGGAATGAGGACGCCCGTGGCTACGGGTTGATGACCGAGTCGGACCGGTTTCTTCGCTGTTGTCGGTGTGGGTGAGATAGAAAGCCATCAGGCTTATCAAACTTAGAAAGGCGAGTTTCTATGTCGAGGACGAACGCAGAGATGATAGCGAGCGGTGATACTGTTGCAGGCGATGGAAACTAAGACGAGGTCGGCCTACGCAGCAAGCAGAGCTTTGAGAGGGTCTGTTTGTCGGGGTTTCGCGTTGTCAAAGTGGTGGGACGATAAAGTCCTGTGCGGCAGCGGCTGTTGGAGACTGGCCGGTTATTCTCCGTTATGGGAATCTATCTTCCTCCTCTGCCCAACGACTGATTTACCGGGCTGGCCGGACGGTCTCCTTCAGGATCCGAGAGCTCGCTGAAATAGGTGCTCCGTGGAGACAAGGAGGCTGTACCGGTGTCGACGTCGGAGCTATCTGCTGTGCAAAGGTCGTCCCCATTCTCTCTTGAGCTGGGCCTGCACGGGACTGGTCGGGTGGTCCGGTCGAGACCAGTGCTAACCAATGCAGCAAGCTTAGAAGAGTGCCGCTTATCGTGTCTGCGTCGCTACGCGGTCGCTTCAACAATTGGTAAACGAATCCTTGGGTGGAGGCTGTTTTCCTCCCTTTCAGTGCTCAATCGTCCCTGGACCATATTCTTTTGGTAGTCAAACCTGGATGGAACCTTTTCTTCCCTCTATCCACCACGTTCAGGTTCGCCTTCTAGATGAGAGCGACTAAACAGCGGTATTACGGCAAGTAGACAAAGCAGCAAACTCGGGCTTTCCGCCCCCCGCTTCGGTTCCCTGGGCGCTTCCTGACCACGGCTGAGTTCTAGCAGTAAGTAAGGCTGCTGCAACAGTAGCGTCGAACAGCTCTGCACGCTCGCTCGTCGCGTTTGCCTCCCTTGTCTTGTCTGGCCTTTGCGTCATCAACGAGCTTGCTTTCGTGTTCCGTGTTTCCGCAGACGGTTGGTTGACGACAGTCGGACAGCTGAAAGGTGCTGGTCGTGGTTTCGGCTTGTGAGTAGTCTCTGCTTGCTCTGCCAATTCGGCGTTCCTGTCCTTGAAGCCTGTCGAAACGGCCAATCTTCTTGTGCAGCCCGTGTTGCCGACGCAGGAAAGGTGCTGCAGGAGAAGAGATGCTTCGCTGTGGATTGAAGGCCAAAGTCGTCAAACTGAGTAGCGTGAACGTAGAGGACAGGCGAATGAGAGTGGAGATAAGGGCTACTCTGAGATGTCCTTGATAACGCAGAGGGGCAGCAAGTTGCTTGATGACATAATGAGCAGTTGGTTCGATGAGAAACGCCCGTCAGATGATGGACACAAAGAGAAGGAACGACTCAGCGGTTCAAAAACGTGTAGAAAAGTCTCAAGCAACTCAACACCTGCACCTGCACCCACTGCGCATAGCACCGGGCGCATCGGCAATGAGGGCAATGCGACTTCCTTCAGTTGGCGGGTGGCGCCGCTTCTGATGCGCGCTAGCCTATATAGGCGTTGCGCCGCCCCACTACGATCCTTCTCACGTCGCAGGCCTCCCTCTTGCGACCATGGTGCCACTCATATACTCCCGCATCCATTCCCTGGATAACGCAGACTCTGGAGGACCAGGGTGCACAGCCCACAACCTCGCCGCCTACTCCGTCGACAACGGTTTTCCAATCCCAGCTCATGTAATCCTGGGAGTTGCTCTGCATTACGAGCGACGGAGTGGTACAGCGTAAGGATACATCCCACCTACCGTGAGTGATACCGGTGTGGAATAAATCGAACGCGAGGAAGGGGAGCAAACTGGAATCAAACATCAGTCAGCTTCAGCTTAAGGGCCCAGCCTCACTCGCTAGTCGTGTTCGCAATCGCCACGTGCCACCACCACACGACATTGCGATCAACATGCCATCAATACGTAAAACGAGTGAAAACTTCACTAGTGTAAGATGTAAGCGTGCAGTTTACATAGCACGAGGGCACATCATCTAATATCATGATCCATATGCAATCTCGAGTTAGTCACCTAATAGCTATCTTTTAGATGACTTGAGATGATTGGCAAGGATACGTACAACAGCTCTGGGGAGAACCGTGTTCTGATAGCCTATACCACTCTTCCTTGGGACCATGATCAGAGCATAGGAATCGCAGTTGAAGCCAGCCATCTTCATACTAGACATCCAGCACTGTCTACTGAGGGTGCCGCTTCCTTGCAGCGAAAGAGGTGGAGTACACTCTGACTATGGGCTGATTAGATGCAAGACTTTGTTCACGCATGAAGAATTCGCACGAGGTTCATTTCGCGGAACACATCCCTACCACACGCAATGTGCGTTCTCCCCACCTTCGCCAAGGGCCTCGCGGCAGTGGCGCCTTCAATCAATAATACCGCCTGCACCGTATCCAACGAATATCTTTTCGTTCAGCAAGAGCCTGCAGTTCCGCACCGACGTCCCTGGACGGGTGAGAACACCTTCACGTGGAGGGACATTAGCGCCGACATTGCCGTTTCTATGAGCCCTTGCGACGAGTCCGTCAAGCAAGTCATGCAAATGGTGCGGCCGCGTCGGGCATTTCGGTGTGTGGGTCTGATGTATAGAGGGAGCTTTGCCCGCGATTTTGATGCTGACTGTCATGATACGCGTACGCCTTGTTTTCTCTTCGCTCCCTCAAGCCGGATCCTATGGCTGCGCCTGCGGTTGGCGTCAGCAGCGTCAACGCGTCCTAGGGGGCCTGTGAGACGAATATGCAATCACTACCGTTTGAATCCACTGTCTTGACGCACAGGTTCTAGGACTATGCTAGAGTCGGCAGATAAGTACATTCGCGCACCTCTATTCCCTCTGCAGACCAAGGCTGTTCCGCTGACCTCGCTAATCCTCTTCGTCTTTCGTTTTCACCGCCTCCCCGTCTTCCTTCTACATCAATACCGCCGTCGCATCTTTAGTACCGCACTCGTACCATCGGCTCGGTCAGCCGGTATACCATACAGAGCCAAGCGCTGGAATATGGAACGTCCGCGCTTGAGGAAGAAGTCGCCATCGAGATGATCCCTGAAGATAGGTCCGATTCATTCAAGGAAGAGGAAAAATGGGAACGAGTCGATTCGGGAGACACATCCAATGACGAGGAAAGACACGAAAGGACGAAATACGCAGGAACTGACTGCACAAGATCAACCTATATGGGTAAAGCTGGTTATTCTCATACCGTGCTCCCCAAGGACGAGTCAAGCAACGATTCACATGTTGGCGGCATTCAAGTCATCATCACTGAGCACTTTTACCAACAAAACTAAGTTGGACTGAGACTGACCACCTACGTTTGGTGGCAACACATTATCACTGAGCACGGCTTTGATGCCAGAGATAAACCTCTTTTCATAGACGCAGACTTTTGCTCGCTGTCAGCATACTGTTTCGAAACCAAAAAGTTTTGTATCCAAGCGAGTGCCTTCTTCATATCGACAGCGAAAAGGAGAGCGGGGGACGGAGATCTCTGCCCCTGTGATCCTTCCGCCCCCAGTGCCCATCGGGCACTGTCCCCCCCTCTGGCGAGAGGAGGGTCGAGCCACCCGCTTGGAGAACCCATGTCTACCACAGCTGTGCCGCTCCCTTTCATGATTTTGACGAGACGGAGGAACCGGCTGCTGGATGTACTAAGGTACACCAGGGTATGGTTTTCCCTGCCTCCTTCGCTTTTTAGCGCCAGCAGCGGCGGCCATTAGCAGACGAAAGGGCCGCCCATGATGCACCAAATTTCCGCGCGCCCCTGGCCGCAGACCAGCGCACACCCGCGCCCGCCACGCTCTCCACTCTACTCATCATCCCAACACTGACCGTACGTCTACTTTCTTGCACCCAGCCTCTCCCGAAAGCATTCTTCAAAGGATGCGTGCCGTTTTACGGCATCAAGCCTCTTTTAAAGTGCATCGTGCTGTGTACATGTGTAGGGGCCAGAAGTAGGTTAGAGTGAATGAAAACACCAATTCGCTCGGCGTATATCTGAACGACATCACTACCAGATCCCCGGAAGAGCAGTGAGTGCTCCTCTCCTTACCAAAGAAAGCGACGTCAAGTACATCGATGACCTCGACAACGCCCCATGTGACCGACCGCCACAAGAAGTACGTCGAACTCTCCGTCGACGAGCCCCACGCGAGAGGGTAGGAAGAAAGGACCCCTACTGCATTAACCATCCCAACCCTAACTATACACTTGCTGCACCCAGTGAGCTCCGAGCAGAGCCTTGGCCTTCGCTATCGCAAATGAACCTGCCTACCCTGGCTGGCACGCCCCCCTTCCCACAAGTCCATCATCCTCACTAAATGCTAGCACCTTGCTGTAAAAACCCGAAACCTCCCCTAGCCTCGCTGACCGCCACCATCCTACCGACAACAGCCTCACCTCCCACAAGTCATTCGATCTTTCTGAGAGGCATCTTCAGCTATGGCATGCATCGTGCCATCTTGGAACTTCATCTAAGCTATCATCAACGCAGCCTTTGTGGAGGAGCCCGAAATACGACTCGAGTTGTAGGTTGCTCCTGGTTTTAGGGCAAACAAGATGGTCGTGACGTGCTCTCGTGCGAAGGCCGCAGGCGACACCACCACCACGAGTACCAACTCCACTACATCCAAGCCAAATATCTGGCAACGTTCACCCTCCCATCGTCCCACAATGAATTTGCGCTCCTATCCTAGCACCATAATCGCCACCAGCGCCAGTCCCATCGCCGGACACTCGCGCTCACCCCGCTCGGCGATCGCACGCACCCGTCTCCTAGCACAGTGAGCATAGCGCTTATGACGTCGATAAAGCGTCTGCCCCCTACGCCTGCCCCTCCCAGGGCGCAGTCACGATTTATCAATTCTGTAAAGGATAATCTCCGTCTCCTGCAGGTGACTTTGGGTGTCTTGACGCGTCCTCGCAGGCGATAGCATGAGACAGAGAGGACGTCTCCGAGGGGAGGTCTGGGCCAATCCCCTCGAGTTCGCTGATCGAGATCTTCGACCACTGCTCAGCTCTTTTCAAGCATCAGTACAACGAGGCGGCTTTTTTTTTTTTTTTTTTTTTTTCAGCCAGCTCTCGGCTACCTAGCCTCACTCTTCACCTACTGGCCTTTTCTTCTCCGCAATCTACAACCCTCCCTCAGCTGCCTCCAGTTTCACATATTCAGCGCGACTCCATAGGAGCACTACACACTTGAACTTCTGGGACAAACTCGGGTTGGATAGCAAGAAGCACGTGGCTATCAACAAGAGGGTAAATCGTCCCAGCCCAGTGGTAGAAGAGGCATCAGCCACGGAGTATGCCTATCGGCACATAGGGATCTTTCGCGACAATATTCCTATTCGGCAGTAGTACGGTTAAGGCGTGGACAAATCATGTTTCTACCACAACTTCACCTGCTCTACGACATAGCCGTGATTTTAGTGAGGCCGCCTCTTCCCGCACCGAACCGCTCTTGTATCTCGCGTCGAGTCTACCTTGGCGGAACCATTTGAAAAGCTTTTTGGACGTGCCTGGTCCAACCCCGCTCTGGCTAGTCCTAAATCAATCACTGCGTGACGTTACATAATGAAAAGAGCCCCGTATACCAGAGAAGGGGTCTAGAGCTACACTCACTCGTGCCAGGATCATAGCAGGACCTGCCAGCCAAGCACCATCCTCACCCGTATGAACTTCAGCAATCGGCACCACTTCCTACAACAAATAGCAGCCCTTTAGTAAGCAGCCACTCCTCCTTGATACCGTGGCACTTGATGCCTTTCCATTTCTGTTTAATTTCCTTTCTTCCAAGCCTAATTCTCAACTACAGACTCTATGACCGGGTAGACAACCGCGTAAAGTGACAATTTCCATCCACTGCGCCAGCACTGAACGTCACCCGCCCGCCCCACCCTAGTCTTGGTGTGTTGTAAGCGCGCGTTTTACCGAAGAACAAGGATGCCGAATTTTCTATAGGCTGCCCTTGCTCCTATAGTGTCTCCAGGGTCACCTCTCCAATTCGTATCGGATGTGCGCGACGGTTGCCCGGAAACTGGAACCCGGGCCCTCGGTTGGAGTCCCACCACCCTCAGGCTTCCCTACAGCCTTTAAGTGCGACAGCAAGCGAGTCCTACACGCAGAATGTCCAATAATCTCTTTCCAGGTTGAGACTCGCGACGTAACCGTCCGGTTTGATGTGGCGCTACTCGTGGTAATCAGAGTAAAACGAACCAAGCTGATTGGGGTTCTTGAAGGTTTCTTCATGCGTCTCAGTATGCCAGATATTAACAGCCACTCGATCACGTCAGTGCGAAAGACACGCTTATGTCGAGCAAGAAGGTTGTTTTGTCCTTGTCGCATCCAAGCGCGTCTACTCCGCCACTACCTGATTCTTCTTTGTTAAGAGCAAGAAAGTCCTCTTTACGTTCTTTATATACGCTTCGTACGGGAAGCTGGTATTTGAAATCCTGCCCGGTACCGCGGATGGAGGCCATGTCGTCCTTGAAGACGAGATTGAGTAGCCGTGCCAAATAGATCGGTGTATAGTCTTGCTTAGTAGGGCTGAGCGTCGTAGACCGAACCGCGGGCGGGTAGTGTACAGCTTTCCTTGTTGGAATAGTAGCCTAATTGTTTCATGCGGTATTGCTTGTATGCGACAAGCTGTATGTGGTCAGAAACGCGGGATGTAGGGTTGCGCACGAATTTCCGTGTAGTATGATATCATCTCTCGCTGGGAAACCCAGTCCGGTTGAGTCCACCCATGGAACACTTCCGCAAGCCTGAAATCGCAACGATCAGCTCAGACAGCCAGGAACAGGAAAAATAAGGAAATCTAGCGCAAGCACATCAGACGATTGCGCACAGCGGAAAAGTGAGCCCTTACTACGGATCGACCTTGACGTCCTGCGCGTTAGCCTTCGACTGGTCGGCGCTTCTACCAAAACTGCTAGTGTTACTGCTTCCGAATCTACCGTTCTGGTTGGAGGCCGCGTATGCAGCGGTATTACGGTGAAACGCGGGAAATGACTGAAGCCATCGCTGTTGCTGCAAACCACTTGTCCAATCGAGGGGCGGAGGCCGAGGTCGTTATTGTCGAGGATGAGAAGGCGCCGGAGCATGTGTTGGGAGAAAAGGTTGACGAGGGGCGCCTAGGCCTGGAGGTTGACGGCGTTGCCGGAGAGGGCGATGACTCACGGTATACTCTGAATGGGCAGCAATTGCGGATTGAGGAGAGCAGCATCGGATTTCGTCCACGTTTATACAAAGGCCGGCGGATTCTTGGGTGGTGAAGTGTCCATCGTCTCGAGTGTAGGTCGTTGTTGCGAATGTGTGCGTTGAGGAGTTAGCATTAGGAGGGAGATATTGCAGGACGTTACCGCCGCCCAGGGGCTACCGCTACCCGCTCGACTCGGACTCTAATGTACGCATCGCCGACCGGGGAAAGCACATGCGTGCTACCTTACTCCCGCTGCCGGCGCCGGCCGGGTACTCTGGGGATTGACGCTGGAGCGGCGTCATTCCGAGGTGTTGGTGGTATAATGTGCTTCGATGATGGTGGAGCCTTTTTCCATAGCAGGTGCGTTTAGCTTGTTATCGGTGCTGCTGTTCCCTGGAGCTTCGGTCCCTGGACGTGTACGTTATCAGGAATTGGGCACCTCTTCATTTTCCTTGAGTAAGAGCTCGTAGAGCTTGGTGCTCGGTCTTCGTTGCGGTCCCATTTATCATGCAGATGGAAAGCGAGGAGCGAAAACCATGGCATCTGCGTGTTGCAATCACAAAAAACACAAGCAGGGATTTGACAGGAAATGACGCGACCAGAGATGAAGCTGATGGTAAGTCACAAAGGAACAGCTTAACGTTAATCTGTCGGGATTACTAAGGACTAGTGTCACGTGCTTATCCTTTCGCCAAGAGAACCTCTCCCCGGAGAATTAAGTCCTGAGGGGAGAACAGAGGACTCTCCCGCTAAGGGATAGTTATCCCGGGATAACGGAGTTAGCTTGGGAGAACGAAGGATATGATGTCTAGTATATAGTTGAGGACATTCCTTAAACATTTCCTATTCTTTGTGGTTAACTGTTAGGATCCAGACCCAGAACGAAGTCGGAACCTCATTCTGTATTATACTGATGCCTCCGATTAATGGAAGCCGAAACAAGGGCCACTGCGACAACTGTGCCGCCAGGCGCCAACAGGGCCAAGCGTGTAAGTCACGTGACCGATAGTTAACGAGCGACAGTTGACTACCATCCACGTGACCGATAGCTGACGAGCGGTAGCCAACTACCACTGACATGGCCGAGAGTTGACTACCGCTCACAGGTCGTATATAGGAACGCGAGGATGATTGTAACAAAGGTTAGCTAGTCCTAAGGGGTTAAGGTTGGTTCTCGGGCAAGATAATTGAGGGAAGGGAAGGGGTCTTGTTGATACGGTACTATCTTGCGAATTGTAACGAGTCAACAATATGCCCTGAGTGTAATTCAAACGATTGATTGATAAACAGGTTAAACACGAGTATGAAGGTTCACACAGAATGACGGCAGGAAAACAAAGACGTGTGGCGGGACAGCAAGACCCCCGGGGTTAGAGGCTGACGCATCCCAATGCGCTAGACGCCTACCGGAATTATGTCAGCAATCACGTGATCAGGATCCCGCCAAGACTGGAGGATCCCGGGAGACCGTGGACTTGGCGGGAGACAACGAAGGTATCCCGCCAAGCGGGCAGGATCCCAGGGAACCCTCGGAATTCTGGGAGATCGAAGAATGGGATGAATGGTATATAGTGTAGGCCACTCTTTGGACATTTCCTATTCTTCGTAGTCAACATCGAAAGCTTACTTTCATATCTAAATTGAAGCTACTCGTCTTTCTATATGAATCACTAGTCTTCTCTTGATATTTTTTGTATCGTACTAACGTACGGTATAGGATATTCACACAACCTCTTTTGAAATCGCCATCCCTCACGCTCGAATCACTGAATATCCGCAAGGTCCGAACCTACGGCTAGGTACGTGGAGACCCCTTGTAACACCCTTCTGGATTTAACATCAACTTCGAAAGCTCACTTTTATATCTAAATTGAAGCTACTTGTCTTTACATGAACTATTAGTCTTCTCTTGATATTTGTTGTATCATATCACTATAAAGGATAGGATATTCACACCATCCCCTTTGGTACCGCCGTCCCTCACGCTCGAATCACTGAACACCCGCAAGGTCCCAACCTGGTTCAGGTAAGTGGAAACCCCTTGAAACACTGCGATGATCTCAGCGGAGCGTGTCCCATTTCTGTACTAGTTGGGCAGGGTGCAAGTAGCGTATGGATGCAAGCGTCAATTTCTATAATATTACCATGCTTCGATTAACAAAGCTATAGCTCGCATACAACCAGCTGGTCATGATATCACTGTAGGTTAGTGAAGAGGCTTCGGTGTGAGGCTCTTCGCATGTTGGTCTCATTCTCACCTTCACCTAGACAAGATTATTCACAATATCTACTTCCGCACAACCTGTATACCTCAACACCATAATCCTGTGCAGTGCTACTCTTCAAACCAACGCTTTCGCGAAAGCTTTTTCTGCCCAAAGCTTCATCCACCATCGCAAGAAGTCGGCATCTACAGGCGATAAATCAGGCATGAGTCGCTCAGCACGCGCGCAACACAATGTCGGCCAAGCCGCGGTTCCGGTAGCCCGTCTTGTCCCTCCAAACACTCCAAATTCAGGTACTTTTGCAACCGCCTTCGGTTCTCAACGCGACAGCTGACGGCACATAGGGGCTCTTCACGCCACCGCACACCAGCTCAACATACACACACTACTCACCAAGCTTGAGCTTCTGCAGCGCCAGCTATCCAACTTCGAACAGCTTAAGAATCCCTCTGCTCCGTAAGTTCGGCCCGGATCGACTTGCATACCAACTCCAGGACTCACCGCATTGTCCAGGAGTCCCTCCACGGAACGCAATGGAGGACGATTGTAATACTGATCATCCGACGGGACAGCACTTGAGGTGGGTCCCTACGGGAGCGGAGTGGATGGAGGAGTAAGGTGGCCACAACTTGCACGCGCAAACGGGCGCAGCGACAGACGTGGATGCGCTGGATGGACAGAGCCTAGCGCACGCGCGGACAGCAGCTCAAGACAGGTCGATGAGATATGCAAAATGAAAACCTTACATGTCGTTTTGCACGGAGATAGATCTCTACGTCATTCACAACGCTGGGCGTAGCCCTCTTGTTGGCCTCATGTGTATACCTCTCCATAATGTCATTTCGCGGCAGATGCGTGGCAGAGAAATCCATCACTCATTCGCCGCGTGTTTCCGCTTCCAGAATGCGGACTATGGGTCACGGTGCTAAGCGCAGTGTGAAGTTCCCATGAAACCATCAAGAATGGACAGTGCGTAGTTCCACGTCCTCTACCAGCATCTCTTCAACGTTTTTGGAAACTTCTTTGAGTTGAGAATCCAAAGCTGCCACGCGATGTGTGTTCAAGATGTCCCGGCCTACTAGATGAGGGCATCTCACAATGCTCGATGCGCCAATTTCGAATGGCATTTCCACATTACAAGATTGACGTTCGGAGCGCGTATACAGGGCATCTCAGCCCACCGAAGGTCTTGTTGCCATTGCGCACGTCGGTGCTCACTGATAGCGCTCGAAGCGGACCTGCTTGCTTGTGTTGTTGGAGCGATGTCGATACCTGCACAAAGACTTCACACTCACCGGGAACATCCTCGGATGACTGGTCGCAGACTTCCATTCGTACCACTCACATGGCCACGGAGACGGAGCAGCTCCTCCAACACTGATGAAGCAAGGCCAGCCTTCGATATGTGTCGCGATCAGGAACGGCGGATGTTCGAGTGGCTTTGGGAGCCTCAATGGTGCCCAGATTTTCTCCCTATGTCTTCATAGCATGTAGCTATGGGGAAGAGCCGCACTTGGCATGCAGAGATGCTAAAGAATAGGGCATGTGGCAGACGAGCGCCCGGTACAAGCTGTGTATTGGGACCTAGACAACGTACGAAATCAGTATTCCCCCGAGGCCTACAAGCTAGAGATCATGTCAATAGGCTACTGGAAGGCGATAGCCTGAACTGAGAACCGTGGTGGAGATTAGGCTACTCGCCACTTCTTCCCCCCAGCTATACGATTCACATGAGAGCGACGGTCTCTACGGTTAATCGAAAGTGGTATACCTGCCTCTACGCCTCCAACGACTTGCACCTTGGCGTCGTAGACGTTCCATGCAGCGACTCATGCTCATCTTACACAACACCACAAGCTGGAGCCAAAGGACACGTCCTTGTTTGCTCCTTTCCTGTGTATATGCGCCCGTCTTCATAAACTTCATCACGGCATGTCGGGCGAAGCTCGCGGATGCAAAAGCGCATCTGTCAGCTTTGACTGATTAATGGAAAAAGTACTGTAAATGATTCCATAAGCTTGGTACATGTAGAGCGACAGCGCTAACGGTCTTCCAAGCTTTTACACGTGCGTGCAGGCAGCCGGTGCTTGATCACATGGTTCGACAACGAAAAAGTAGTTGAGGTGTCGGTGCCTGGCGGCGCACACAAAGTTCTCATGCGATGGCACTGGTTCTATAACCGGGTCTGCGCTCAGCATGGTCTTCCTGAACTACAAGAGCATTCGTCGAGGCTGCGTTAATGGAGTGGGTGCGCGCGATGCGGCAGGTACCTTTCGAATTCCGCAATAGATTGACCTAAACGATACTCTGTAGAGATGCTTATGAGAGGCTATGGGATGAGAGAGAGCGGTAACGTGGAGAGTTGCAAAGAAGGAAGCGTGGACGAGTGCACGAAGGCGAGAAGATGAGGGAGGAACTGGCTCAATGGAATCGTATTAGAAAATTGGTATCAAGCACGAAAGGATTGCAGTCCCACGAGATGCGCGAAGACGTCTGTTCAATGCATGGGAGGGTAATTGGATGCATGGCGGTTACAGATGCGAAAATGTGCAAAACGCGTTATTCAAGGAATGGATTAGCATTGACCACAGATCGAGGTGCAATTGAACGACACTGTGAAACGGCCATACTTTCCTGCACGATGCTGGACACCAGGGGCGTCCTGATTCTCTGGATATTCCGACTCCACGGCGACGAGTTGGCAGAGCTCCTCTTGAGCGATTTGTGTTTCAACTGCGCCATCTCCCCCCCTCACGGCGCTTGTACAGTATTTCAGTGGCCTCGACGTCGTCCTTATCCAAGGCGAAACGAATAGCATCGGGGAGGGCTTCGCTGCTTCGTGGGATACGGCCAGTCCGGGGAGGACAGGTTGATCTCGTGCTATGGATGGCGATCGAAAGGCCCGTACGTCGGGGCTCTTCACGTCGAGGCGCAGGTTTTGGCGAGGTGCGTGCGTCGAAAGACTAGGACCTGTGCTCATTCAAGAAAATTGTTTAAGCCTGCTGGGGCCGAATCTGAGCGGCGTGCGATGACTGGGAGAAGCCTGAAGACGGACGGGCAACGGGGCACCTCGACTGCGCTATTCGACTCGTTGCGGCCGCGGGGCCACGAGCAACTCTTGCTCGCGTGTAGCGCCTCCATCCCGGCGAAACACTCGACATGTAGTCCACAGTAGATCCCGAGTGCCGAAGGAACGTTTCGAGTACTCAATCGAGCGGCGACGATCATGCTGTTCGACCTCCCTCACTACGCCTTGGCGGTCGCAAAGCTTGGCGCCCACCGCGACCGACCGTCTGCCGATGTCAATGTGGTTCTGCTTGACGTCGCCTAGGACACAAGGAGCCGAGAAGTGCGGCCGATACTGGTTGGCGATTTGTAAACAGCGTTCATCTGCGCGAGACATGGTTGAGGTCGACCACTTGCGATCCGGATTCAGGTTAGCCAGTGGCTCGTACAGGTGCATCCTTTTTGTCAGCGTGGGTCTCCCAAGCAACGCCATTCGACCTCGGTTCCATGCGACCTCTGTTCCACGTGATCTCAGTTCCATGCGATCTCAGATCCATGCGGAGCTCCTGCTCCTTGGACTTTCTATTTTGTCCAGCTTTCTCCTCGGTAGTTCATACACGGTCCCAAGACAAGCCACACGACAGCGGCATCAACTTGTCCACCACCGCCGACCCCGCCGTGTCGCAGCTCGAACACGGTCGCACCGTCCCTGCACAGACCGCTGGACCCAATACGGTCGCGATACAGGCTCTCTGGGCGTCCACAGGCCCACCCACCGCCGCACTCTGAGCCGAACACCGCATCGCCGTCGCCGACGACCTACGCAACAACCCACTTCCCGAACGGTAGCAGCAGGACTGCCAACATCGCCCCGAAATGGCGTTTTTTGTTGCCTCCACCGGCTTTCAAAGAGGGCCGTTATTCCGACGCCTGGGCGCAAAGCATCGGCGGTTCCGCCTCGGTCACCGCCAGCCAGATGGTAGACCGACGTGCCTGGAACTCGTCGTACACACTCCCGAATGACAAAATATTGCCTGTGGTTATGTTCCCAGGGCCATGTCGGGAGGATCGGTGGCATTCCGGCCTCTACGATACACTCTGGGACCAGTCGCCCGCGAGTCACATCTGGCGCTGCCCGTTTCCCCTCCTCATGGGAGAGTGCGCCGGCGAGGAGACTTGCCGTGATATGTTTACCTGCATTGTGCCCATCCGTCCGCAATCTGAAGACGACCAACCGCTAGCGGTGCAACAGCCACTGATCGAGCTGAGCTCTTCTGCGTCCTGGTCTTGCGCCATCGTCAGCTGATGTATTAATGGCCCGCAGACCCCGTCATAGGTTAGCTTCGTCCTTCTCTGTGTCTTACGGCTAATTCACGCAGGCTCAAATTGTCTGCGTCACTGAGAGTCGCATCCGGGTCGATCAAGCCTCTGTTGTTGAGCCGACCGCAGCCCCGACCGCAGCCACGACCGCACACACTGTCAACATCGTCAAGCGCCTCGACCCAAGCCCCCGGGACATTTCTGGTCACTTTTGTGACCAAGGAAGCAACAGAACTAGCGTGCGCGATAACTGGCTAAACGTCATGTCATACATGTGCTCTGCTGACAGGAAGCACTTCATTGACGATGATTATGAGTGTATTCTCCAGCCCGTCTATGAAATTGAGCCCTGAGTCAGTCTCGGAATGGCCTACGAAGAATTAGCCATCCGCCATTTCCACCGAGCCTGATGTTACCGCCGCCATCGCATCCAAGCCTGTTGAAGATTTCCATACTATCGTATGCAAGCCAGAGAGCGACTCCACCGCCAAGGCAACGCTCATCCCGCCCGCCTCGAAGTCGCGCAAAGTGCTGGGAGAGATGACGACGACCAATGCCATCCCCAGCAACCCGACTGACAAGACCACCCCGCCCAAGAAGAACGAACTCTCTGCTAAGCCTGCAACTGCCCTATGCCGCGACGACTCTGCACAAGCGTGATCATCGTGACCTAGTTGGCCCTTGTTCCCGTGTACGGCATATGCCAGGCGTTTTCTGTTTGTCTCGTGAGTAATGATTGGATCGTCGTTGCGGTTTTGTTGAGATGCCCTGCGTGTGCTACGATATACCGTTGGCTTGTGACAATGTTAAATCAAAGGTTTTCTGCACCGTGTGTTGAAGTGTGTCTTGTGTTTGACGTATTAAATTACATTACTCTATAAGCTTGTCTCTCTCGTGCTAACCTCATGCATGCATATCAGGCCCATGTGCCACGTCTCCTGTACGCAAGTGTCTCTCGGGGCCGCCGTTTTCAACGGGCGGAAATTGCTTGTCTCACGCTTGTCTCGCAGTCCAAGCTTGGCCAGAGTGACTCGAGATCTAGTAGTAGATGAGGAAAGGATTACTTCAAGGATGCTTCAGAACGTTGGTTGGATCGCGGATGATGGCTTGCGTCGTCATCTACTGGGAGTGTCTTCCAAGCGGAGTTTGGTGAATTCGTCCACATCAAACTCGCCGTCACTTTGGGCGAAGACGCAACATTGATGGGCGGTGCGAGGCGGAAGGCCACCGAGTCGCGCGTATGGTCGTGGTCGAACCGTTCCGTGCGCGGGGCATCCACCACGATATCTTCTCGCGTTCCAAGTGCGCGTACTGCACTTGTGGAAACGGCGACTGGCTCGTGACCTAGGATGATGAATCGCTCCAGGATACATTTGTGTCGGACTAGACGCCGAGTGATGCCGCCTAGGCCTTCTACCAGCTCGTGCAACATATGCAGGCAAGCCCGCGCTACGATGCATGATCCATGCAGACCGCTTGTTAGCGCCAGAGCTGATCTGCTTTGAGTGTGGCCGTGAATATAACCCGCCGTAGGAGTAGGTAGTATGCTGTCTGCGATGGATGTAAGCGACTGTGATAAATACTATGGAGCCGGGTAGCCACTGATAGGTGTTAGAGGATTCGGTACTACAACGTCTAGTCATATCGCAAGGCTGTCCTTTTGGATACTCTGATGTCTGGAGTTTGGCTCAAAACGAGACTAGTTCAGCTACTCAATTGTATGAAGTCATATAAGGAGTTGTGACAATATCGATCCATGTAAGTATAGATCTTTTATATAGACCTATCTCTATTTGCAATCTACACCCCACGATATTTTCAAACTAGTCATCATCCGGTTGTGGTCTTCCATTGACCATAGCTATCTGTACCACATGATATACTCAAACCGATTACCACCTGATTCTGATCCAGGTGTGACTATGGCTAACTGAGGAACGATCTGGTCACGTAGCAGGATGGGGTGCGGTTGCATGTTCGGATAGTGGGAAGGTTCTGTCTGGGGTGTCCAGCACGTCTTCATGATGGGCCCAAGTCCGGGCGGGAACGAGTTCCGCGATTTCCTGGGCTGTGCTTATCCCCCAGCAACCCGACAAGGCAGTATACCTAGACGACGGCAAGCCACTGTACCAAACCGAGCTCGCCTGCGTGCTGCTTCCGTTGCAATACAAACTCATACTTCGATTGCCTGCACAACACAATGCACGGCTGACATGACATCTTCAACCCCACTTCAATTGCTTTGTTAGCCCAGGTACGTCACTGTCGTCGGCATCACGAAGTGTCGCATTCGAGTATTCCAAGCCTCTTGAGATAAACACCCAGGCCGTAGAGTGTGCATCAAGAAGGTTTTTTCACGTTGAGGCTGAAGCTTAGTAAGTGACCATTCTCCTGGATTACTCTCAGCCCGAGCTAAGCAGCGCGCCAGTCATCAATGTAAGTATCAAGGTGATACGAGGAAGGCCGACTTGTCGAGGTACTAGAGTCATAATAGTCAGAAGCGAGAGTCCCACACGTATTCTTGTGTAAACAATCAGGGTAAGCTAGCATCATCCTGGCATCTGAATGCGAATGTGTTTCCTTAATCGTCAAGTCCTCACTTGGAAGTTCACAATACATAGCCAATGCTGAGATACTTACTGCTGCTACTCTTGCTAGAGTCTTCGTCACAAAATCTTTTGCCGATGGAAGAGCGGCAGAGCGAAATCGCCATTTCGTAAACGTATGCCGGCTATCGGCTACACCACATGTCTAGCCAAGGCCAATACTCATCACGGATGTCGCAGAGCTCATGTTGTTGTCACGTTCGTTGCCAACGGACGTTGAACTAAAGGCAGAACTTGTATGATTGGTAATGATAATATCCTGCCTACAAGATGACTCAACCACAGCGCCTCCATATGTACCTCGCCCATCACGATCTGAGAGAGCAAATACGTGAATTACTAATGCCACCCTGACAATATAATTGCCGATAAACCATGCACGCGTGAACGATACGATCTGGCCACCAAATCCCTCTCACCAGGCGTGAAAGCCCTACTGCACCGCCTCACGGTCTACGTCATGGACCGAGCACTCATTTTAGCTCGACGAAAACCTGTCCACAATCTCCCGAGCAAGTTTTCGTTGCCAGAACGAGGACGAAGTTGAGTGTCATGAGACATGGGTCTGGACAGTCGAAGTGGCTGCCTCCGTTTACCTTGCAGCCGGATTGCTTCTTCTGTAATGTGTTTCGCCTGGAGCTCCGCGAAGTGTCTCCACTGCGTGACGGCTTTGCGCAGGTGTTTCTGGCCTCTATGTGGGATTCTTTGAGCTTTGCGTGGTTTTCGTGAGCCGTCATGTGTTCTGCCTCCACGCCGCGGGCTTCCTTGACGGCCGCCTCATCTCCCGTTCTGGAGCTTGCTCCTTTACTTCCAATACGACAGCATCGTGGTGGTTGAGGTCTGAGCTGCACTATGCGCGAAGGTCTAATCTGTGGTTGCGATTGTGTTCGACGTGGTCGAAGTCGTATCGCTGCGCTGCTTGAAGCGCTCGAACGGCGAGAACGAGGACAGGTTATAGGGAGTCTCGGAGGAGGTTGGGATCCTTGACCAATCTGATATGGACCCCGCGAGGACGGAGGATTCGCTCGACGGCCAAGTAGCTGGTTTACGGGCAGAAGGACAGTTTAAAGGGATCCGTCAATCGGCCGAGTCGCGAGAAGAGGTGGAGAGGCGTCCGTAGGTGGGTGAGCTTCATCTCGACCCATGACGACCAGGTTCAAGGGGGTCTGAAGGGCTTTGTGACGTGAAGCTCCATAGTGCGAGAGGTTGCCGGAACAATGCAGGTACACCGGGCGGTACTATGCACTGAGGCAAATCTGACACGAGGAAGAGGAGCCACATCTATAATGAGGTCAGTACCCAGTCTACAGCGTACAAAATCAGGGCGAAGGATGAGGACAGAAGCGTGTAGTATTGCTGGTCTCCTTTGTATGCGTGAGGTGAAGGAGACCTGACGCAAGTCTGAGATGGTCCCTCGGTCAAAGATACAGTGAGCCTTGGAGGCGTGACCTGAACGAAGCGTGACAATTCGAGGGGTTCTTCGGCTGAAGTTGCAGAGGGAAGAGTGAGTTTGGACTACAGTACCAGAGGACATGTCGTTCGTACATCAAATACACCATAGCTGTCCTGTGCTTTGACGGTCCGTACCATGATGGGAGCCTCCGGCGGACGCTCGTATTGGCTGGCCCACTCTCAGATGTCCGCTGTGATGGAAAGGCAGGCATCATGGCAAACAAGGCCAGGAAAAGGCAGTGGAAATTGGCAGCTCGCTGCGACGGTAGAAAGGAGCCAGACCCCTGGCTTCAAACGCCAAGGACTCCCGGCACGTCACCAGCGCTGGGACGCAATATGCCGAGCGGAAACACCACAAGGTGTGCAATACGTCAACGAGAAGGGTCATTCGAATCAGAGTTGTCAACAGTCAGTCAGTCCGGAGGGCTTCAGACTAACTAACTAGCATATTTTAAAGCCCAGGACTAACTAGACTAACTAATCACATAATCAAGGAAGGTTGAAACTGGACAGACTGGATTGATATATTGGAGAGCTCTGGACTGACTGACTGACTTAACTGCAGTCGAACTGGTATAAATGCTGCTGGATTGCTGATAGTTCGTCGATCGTGTGCTCCCGGGGAGACCGAGGCCTACTCGTCGGGCGTCCAATACCTTTTCGCTTCCAGGATTTCAAGCTCTGGAGGGCAGCAAATAGCTCAGGCTTCATACGGAGCCTTCTTGTCCCGAAGAGATCGCCGAGCTCACTGAAAGTGTTCTCACAGTCAGCGGCTGTCGCCGGGATCATATATAGATCAAGCGCAAGTCGTGATAGGACCAGGAATTGCCCCTGATGGGCTAACCAATACTTAATCAGGCTAAGCGAAAGACTATCGATCTCCGCGAGGATGGGTTACCTCTTCCAGAGCTCATGTTTATCCTCAAACGTCTCCTCGGTATAATTCATTACAGCTTTCATGGTGTCCACAAGATAAGTTGACCGCGACGACGGTGGACCGAGTCACTGCCTTTTCGAGGGACGAGAGCTTGGCGGAGATACCTTGCCAGCTTCATGAGCGGCCTTCTCCTTGTACGATCGATATAAGGCTTAAAAGGCGTTCTGATTCCTCGGGAGCCAATCCTTCTTATAGTGAGGGCCATCTCTTCTCTCATTGTGATCGTCTGGGACCTTCCGCATGTGGCTGGCTGAGATGATGCTTTAATGTGGATGGAGGATCGTAGCCGCGTTACTAAGATAGGCGTGTCGTCGAGCTTTGCGTAGTACTCCGAGAGCTTTGTATGGGCAGAATTGACATTACTTGCCAGGTGATCCTCCGGGGCATCAAGGTCCTCATAGTCAATAGCAGCAAGGCGATCCTTCTGCTCCTCTAGCCGGTCAAGCAGCCATTCAAAGGTAATGATCACCTCCCAGATCGCGCCGTGGTTGCCGTGATTGCCCCGGCCTTCGAGGAGCTTCGTCGCCTCTTGAAACGGGCGGAGGAGATGGACGTACTCATTGAGTCTTTGCCTGACAGACCACCCTCGCGGTTAAAGGTTCGAGGCTCAAGGCGGGGTTTCTGGGGATAGCGACGCTGGGAGGTCTGTTCAACGCGTGTCTCATTAATCTTGACGTGTATATAATCGTCGAGGGGAGCTTGGAGCTGCGTTGCTCGCTCCCGAGCTGCAAACTATGAGTTCCACCGCGCCTTCACGGGCTTAATGAGCGCCCTGGGCTTAAACTCCTTGTGTAGGCGAAAAGCTTCCTCCTCTTATAAAATAGCTGGTGAGCTTGAGGCGTACTAACTGAGGCAATAACGTCAAATAAGACTCCAATGGGGCCGTATTTGCGCCACTCTTCGAGGAAACGCTCTTCTGCTATCAGGTCCTCGTCCTGATTCTCAAAAGAGTCCTTGTCTCGGGCCCATATAATCGTTTGAGCGCTCAAATTGAGGATATGGCAAATACAACGGAGCCGACGGTAAGGCGAATAAAAGTTGAACGTATTGCTAAGAGCAGCCATGGCTGTATCATTGTTTGTCGCGTTGTCAAGTACAAAGTATCCGACGCGCTCCTAATCGATTTCAAAGGCCTGGAGTGTCTTGCTTACAACTTCAGCAATATTGTCGACACTGTGTTTGCCATGTAGCACTGGAAGACCGAGGAGACAGTCACCAACCTCGCCCGATTCGTTCAGATGGTGTACACAAATCCCAGTGAGGGCACTTTTGCCTCCCGTTGTAGTCCAATTGTCGAAGGAGACGTGTATGAGCGACTTGGCCCGCAGGAGGCGCTGAGTGACGGCGGGGATATAGGCATGATATTCCGCTAGGATATGATCTCGGAGGCTATTGTGGCTTCGCCAGAGAGCTTGCTCTCCCAGTGGGATCACGACGGCAACCATATGACGGAAAGCAGGCGTCTCGATCACCCGGAGGCTCTGATTATCGGCCTGCACCCAGTCTTTTACCTCGTCCAGGAAGCGCCTTTGTGAGAAGCTAGAGGACATTTCATTGGCCATTTCTTGCAAGACTTCGGTACCTTTGAACTGGAGCTGGCTAATAATAGAGGTGGTAGATGGAGGCAGCTTGAAGTTGATCTTGCCGTCACGGCTAATTCCGTGGCCACGGGTCTTCTGATTTAGGTGAGACGCAGCCGAGGAAGTTGAGGTTGCAACGCAGTACTCACCACCGCCAACTTTGTGCGTGTGGCAGCAATAGCAGAGCCAGTAATTCTGCCGCTTCTCACGGTGCCACACAGGCTAACCGTGATCGTATATCCAGCTCGGTTTACCCCTCAGATGCTGCGTAAATCGCTTCTGCAGGTGAGCTACGCGCTCCCAAACTAGGTCTTCAAATTTATCATGATCAGAATCGTCGTCAGGAGGTGCGAGAGCTCGGGCGGCTTGAATCGCGTTATCCGGCGGGTTAACGGGCGGGTCAATGTCAGGTACGATCGAGGGCGCCTTCGGGCGTCCTGTTCCGCGGTTTTCGCGTTCTACGGTCTTCCGAAAGACCTTTTCGAGGTTTTTGTTCATCTGGGAGTCAAAATCTGCGTATGGGGGCACGTAGGTAGGTGGGCAGAGTGGATAGAGGTAGCTTGTAGGTACGCGTTGCGATCCGGAGTTCGCTAGCTCGTGCTGGTGTCGCAGGCCAAGGCCTTGACTAGCAAGTGGAAACCTCGACGCTACGGCTCAGCGATCCAATTATGATTTCTCCACGTCGCACCTGGCGAAATCCCATTGGATCGCTTAACCTTAGCGTCGTGATGCGTTAAATCGTGCTGGACGAAGTTCTCTCCACCAAATATGCAGCCAATATGGGCAACATATACAATATATCAGTCCAATAGCAGTCAGTCCAGTCAGTTTGTCAGTCCGGACTGATTGTTGACAACTCTGATTCGAATCACTAGCCTGCGACCTGTATCTCCTCCGCGAGCAAGGCCGCGCACGTGTCTTGGAATGCTCCCGTATGAGCCTCTGCTGTGTGCGTCCGTTTGGCACGAGACCACTATGCTTGCTGCCTGCTGCCTGTACTTCCGGCCTGCATCGTCCTACGGTGAGGGCGTACAATCTAGGGCGGGTCAAGCTAGTCGAGTGGGGCTGCCCAATCACGCGCTCGCTCTCAGAAACATCCATGGGCGAGAGCCAGCGCTTCATCCAACCAAAAGGCTCACTCCTGATCATGAAAGTGCACTCTGGGACGGTCGTTTCAGATTCGAACGCCTGGTCGCAAAAAAGCAGCATTGCGAGCCAAACTGGGTTTGTTTCCAGAATCGCACCCCAGGCCGGCGCTGAGGTACATCCCCACCTTTTTGTCCTGGCCCCCCAGCATCCAAGCACCGGAAGTATCAGCACGACACGCAAAACGCAGTAGGGCGCCGCCAGCAGCAAGTGTGAGTATGTTAGAAGGATGCCTCGCACTTTTGCGGATGCCTGTCCATGCCAGGCCGCATCTTGCATCCCAATACTCGCGGAGCGAGCTACTCCATCTCATGCCTCATGACAACGCAGCCTCCCGCTCTTGACCGGACGGAAGAGTAAACTCTTCCCACGCGGATGCAAGACAGCAAACTGCAGAAAAAGGTGGGGATTGTTCGCCGCCCACAGTATATACATAAGGATCGCAGATTGGGTATCTGTCCAGCGCCACATAGCATCATTGAACGTATACTCATCGCACGTGATGTCCGTGATCTCGCTTAGCGCGAGTGCGTCGCTCGCGTCCTCTGTAGACGGCCGGCGCTCTTCCCCCGCTACCTCCCCCACCGTGCCCGCTCAAGAGGGCCTTCACGACATCGATCCCGTTCCGGGTTTGAACAGTGCCGCTTCAGACCCTGCTCTCGCGTTAGTAACAGACGAACATCCTTCAGCGTGCACAAACACCGCTGGAGACAACCCGCCCGTTCCCACTCCGAGCTTCCAAAACACTGGCGCTGCGCTGCAAGAGGTAAGTCGTGTTCGAGAGCGCCTTTGCCGTCCCATACGCCCTTTTCGATGCTAACGTGAGGCCCGCAGCTTGCGTCTCCATCTTCGCTGAGCTGCACCGCCCATTCGCCTTCTGGTTCTGTGCCCAAGCTAGATCGCGACCTGGGATCCCCTCTCGACACGATGAGCGACCAGCGCACCCCTGAGACGACCCCGCCAGGCTTGCCTGCCGAGAAAAAGGACAGGTAATCTCTCAACTCACGTATCACATGAAAAGTACGCTAATCTCCTTACAGCAAGAAGCGGAAGCGGGGTGAGGACAAGAACGCTGAGGGCTCAGAGGTTGGCCACTCCCGACCTCTCCGATCTCTCCGCCCCCGCCTTCATCCCCTTTTAGCTCCTCTCGTGGCCGCGCCTACTCACCCTGTCGACGCGCGCACCGGATCTGCGGCTAAAGAACCTGACTCCAACCCACAGCCAAGCAACTCAACGATCGAATGGGAAGTTGAGGAGCTCACAGGGAAGTGGTACGAGGATAGGAAGCGGATCGACCCTGAGACAGGTCTTCTAGGGTTCTTGTTCTTTGAGGTCAAATGGATAACCGGAGAGGTGACCTGGCAGGCCTACACCGATCTAAACTGCGGAGAATTGCTTGCGGAGCTCTACCAGCGCAAGGCCGATTTGCCACAGAGGCACTTCATCCAGAACTTGATCGAGAAGAGTCGAGAGTGACTCATGCGGAAGACTTTGGGTATGGGAACTCGGGACACGGTCTAGAGTTGGTATTGGGGGCCTAGTCCTTGCACTGACCTCTATGCAATTCACGGCTAAGACTTTACCAAGGTAGCTTCGGGACGAAGCTTGCGTTCATTCACACCCACTCATTCAGTCAATCGAACGAATCAAATGCTTCAGATCGTGTGTATGACAGTCCTCGTGAGGTACCAAGACTAGTGCTTTCTGCGCGTGGTGTCGTCCAAAGCAGCCATGGATATGCCGACATTGCTTCAAGCCATGTGGCCTGATCCTGGGAGCGTCGGTGGCCGGACCGCCCGGCGCACGCTGACTCTACGCTACCCCACCGCCAACATTAGCCTACGTGGCGTTGTAGAGGCCCGCGCACTTTCCCATTCTACATCACTAGCGTACAAGTCTCCAAGACACGTACACATGGAGCTTGCCCCACGTGCGTCCACGACAGCCAGCCTCCACCCACCCGCAGTCTCCACCCACACGTCCGCCTTCCATGAAACTAGCGGCAATCGACGCGCTCGATACTATTCAGCAGAATACCATCAACGCGAAGCTTATTGGCTGTTGCGCGGACGTTCGGGGCAACGCTGTCTTGCGGACCTTCCATTTCTGCACCCTCGGTCATTACCTCACCTTGCCACACAGTAACAATTCGCCTTCAAGGAATCGACTACTATACAACAATATTACCTAGCCCACAAGCCCACACCGCGAGCAAGAGCTCGGTGCAGCATTACCGAGCCAGCTCTGAGTGCGCCAACACAACTCGCATCCTGGTCATCGGCCACCCTTCCACCCGAGCCTGCGGCCGGATTCCATGACGCCCTCACCTCGTACATCCCGCAAGCAGCCTCCTGCTTTAAAGGATCCGATCTTGATGTTCCGCAGCAATCTGTACTCGAGCGCGGTGCTAAGATGATAGTGAGGTGTTTAGCTCGGCCCTTCGGCTATTGAACTACGCATCATGGCCTAATGGAAACAAACCCCCAATCGCGCTACCATCTACGCTGCCACGTCCGTTTCTGCGAGGGGACCACAATGGTGGCTTGTCCATCCAGGAACTGGATAACATCTACAACCAGTCCTTACTGCAGCAGTGTGCACGAATCTGTAGTCCCGTTGAGCACAAGCAAATCTGTATAAACGACATGACAATCCGCTTGGCAGTTCGACTACGGTCACAAATGCGACATGAGTCACGTGACTTGATCAGGGTGATCAGTGCGCCAAGGCCACTGATCACACTGAGCAACTCGCATACTGATCATTGAGCACGGCCTGATCACCTTGATCAGCTTGACTAAGCAACTGATCAGGCTCAGTATATAGGAACTCGAGTGTGAGCTCTCATACTCGTGTTCAACTTGTTTATCAATCTATCGTTTGGATTACACTTAGGCCATATTGTTGACTTGTTATATATCTTCTGATACTATCGTATCAACAAGACCCCTTCCCTTCCCTCAGTTGTCTTGCCCGAGAACCAACCCTAACCCTTTAGGACTAGCTACCCTTCTGGATTTAACAGGAAGCTGGGTCTGTCGTTATGACTCTGAAGATGTTGGCTACCAGCCCGGTATCCTGTCCAGAACGTCAACATAAGACTGCGTCTTTAGGTGACGTTCATGTTTGTATCTAACCGGGAGCCCTCTCTAGCGTCATAGGAAGCGCTCGCTCGGCGCGTTGCCACCCAATATAACCAGGTCAAGGTACCCTCCCTCGAGAGTTTCGAACTGTGGACGACGAGGTCGCCGCTCCTGACCCTGGTATCCGAAACGGGATTCTAAAAGGGAGTCGGGTACTTGGGGCTTTTGGAGCGCTCGCTGTAGCTCAGCTTATCAAGTTCTGGTGAGGTCTGCCTTGGGTCTTCCGAGGTCTATGTCCTTCGTGGATGTTAACGTATTTGGGTGAATTTCGGTCGAAGAAACACGGAGATGAATGATTAACTATGATCAGATTGACGGATTTATGCAAGGGTATTTTGGTCCTGGATATTTTGTGTACCACATGCTGGTCCAAGAGGGGGCGTCCTCTGTGTTCACACCAGAACGCGGCATCATTCTTCAGGGCTTTAAATAGCTCCACTTGCCAGGGCTATTGTTGTTAAAGAGCTTCGCTCAGGGCGAGGAGAAGCAACCTCGAGGGCCTTTTCGTGATGTGAGTTGTGCGAGGCAGTGGGTTTCACACGCAGGGTAAGTCAAGAAGAGAGGTGCGTGTAAGCTTCACTCCAAGGTCCACTCGCACATCACCCCGCAGTTAGTCTATGGTGATATCGGCGTGAAATCCCAGCCTCAAGGCTCAGTCTTCCGTGGGTCTTGTTCTATACTACGTAGTATGCCAATCTACATCGTTGAGGACCCCATATGACCTGTTTTGGGTAGCGTCTTCACCGAGGGACCTTGACAGCAACCTTGGCTCCTAATAACCAGCGTAACCAGTCGCCTAATACACAGAGCTCCGAAGCTTGTACGCTTGTGCAACTCCTCTCTAATACACCACTCCTCCCTCTTGACGGCGGTCCGTTTCCTCGGATTTCGCGGAGCGCAGTTTATCAACGCCCTCGACGCTTTCTTTAGCGCTGATATTGCAATAAATCCGTTCAAGTCGAGCGTGGCGTTAGCACGGGAACCGCCGCCACCGAAGTCGCCTGCCTCTGGATTGCGAACAATGCCATCGTCCCACTCGATGTCGTCTGGGTCCCAGGCTTCTGCATCTTCAAAAAGTCTCGAATTTAGTCTTCGGATTGGAGGGTTTTAGGAATGCGAGAGGAGAGACATGCTGCCATGACCCCGAGAATTAATGGCATCGTTCCACTCGATGTTGCACTGGGAATTCTTTTGCTTATTCATCCGTTACCGCTCTAATCATTGGCCTTGGACTCGACGTCCTCTCCATAGGAACCGTAAGCGTTTCTGACGCCGAAGCTAGTGCAGTATACCTAGCAAAGCCTTCAACAACACGCGCAGTATGTCAGAAACCATGCCATATTCATCGGCAAAGCTTAAAATCATCATTGCAGTGTGGTTCGGGTGGAGTACCACGCTGTGAGGTCGAGGACCCCCCGCAGCAGTCGGCTCCACATTTGCCGAGGTTAGGAGGGGGAAAATGAAACTGGACTACAACTACAGGAAGAGACGTGTTGTCGCTGCAGCGACGGCCGCGACGTTTGCTAGGGAGTCGCGATGGACCTGAGAATCATAGGATATCTCTCAAGCATCGCACACTTCATCTGATGGGCGATACATAGAGATTGCGACCACCGTGGACGGTGTTGACGAATAGTTCCAGTAATATGGGAAGAATGTCGGATTGCGCCTATACGCTGTTTGAGGCGCAGTATTACTTCATGATGGTGACGATTGTTGACAGGTGTACTACCAGACCATCTTCTCTCGCTAGTATATTACATTTGTGTGCTGTGTTTGCACTGGCTCTGCTATAGCTCATATCCTCTCTCGTCCGCACTTCGTCTGTTTCGTCGGCCTTGGTTTGGCTGGGTATGCTGCCTTCACCTTGACCACGGATCCCAGTCGCGTTGCAGTCTAGCCTGCGCAAGGGCACTAAATGAAAACTTCCGAGTGAGCGGAGAAATCTTTTTATTTGGACAGAACCTACAAACTCGGTATGTCGTTTCGACTGCATTGCGTAAAATTGAGCCAGGCTTCGCTGGACGCGTCCGGTCGGCGTCGTTATGAGAAGCACTGTACACTGTAAACGAGACGAGATGTTTCATCTCAGGTTGTTTACTCCAAATTGTTTCCATATCAGCTACTTCCCCCCTCCATGCCGTATATCCACGCAGCGACGCAGCGGTGGTTATTGCTGGGATCCGCCTGATTACGTAGCTTAGCTTTCTCGCAACCAGCGACCCTGAGAATGCGTTTGGTAGCTCAGGGCGTCTATAACCTTGAAGACCTTGCAGATGTCACCGCTGCGTCGTTCGCAGATATCGAAACTGTCGGCCGATTCTTCCGAGCAAATGATCCTTCTGACATGTTTCATTTGAGCCTTTGGGGTCTCACGAAGGGAGTGACTCTGCAGACCGAACATGACTGTGATCTTCCTCTTGTCCATTATGCCGTCATCCAAATACGGCATCCAACGAGAGTGGGTCGGTGTTGCTGCCCAATTGACGTCCATTTTCTGAGCTTCAGTCGTTGGATGTAAATTATCGCAGCTTTGTCTAACAGCTACACGCCAAAATATATCTCCCGAAGGATTTCGTGAAGAGTACGATAAATACATTGCGCCCGCTTTGGATAGTTCTCTCGCTGGGCAAGCACAAAGGTTCCCCACGACCTCAGTATGGCAGCAAGCTCCTGAACGAGCGATTTCAACGCGTACCACAGCTCGTTGAGCTCCGAAGGGTCCTCAATTCCCAAGCGCTCGACGTGAATGCCGTCCCAGAAGTTACCTAGGTGAGAAAGTAGTGTAGCTACGAATCTGGGGCAGCTGGTGTGCGAAAGGTGCCCAACGCAGGAAAGTGGTTGAACTCTCGTCGACGACTAGATAGACCTTGCAAAATTCACGTGTGACTTCTCACTGCGGTTTGGACGGCACGGAGCTCGTGGTCTGCCTCGCCATTTCAATGACAAGGGCGACATGGCCAGCGTTGACTAGCCACTGGAATGCCTTCTTAAGCTTTCCCTTGTCGCGTGCAAGACTCAGCAAGAGTATTATAGGTCATGGGTTGATGCGATTGGTCTTGGCATCTAGGCCTCCGTGCGCCTTGCTCCACGTCAGAAGTTGTAGCCGTAGCAGGAAGCTATGAAGGACTGTATTGATTCTTATGAGAGCTGATACATGAGATGGCTTTTATGCTCGAGCTTATCGGCCCGAGAGGCTTGTACGCCTCAGCAGCTGGCGTACACCTCATCAACCTCAAACAGCTTCAGTTCCGTCACAGAAGTGCCGCTCTCCATCGCTCTCCATCCGACAGTGGTGTCGTTCCAAGGCAGCGAACTTTCGAGCCTCTCGTTCTAAAGTGGTCAGCCATCGAAGACCTAGACTTGAACCATCTTCTTGGAGCGAAGTGATGAGGGGCGACTAGAATGGGCGAGATATCGCTGTCATGCTGGTGGAAAGACCACGGCGTTCGCCAGACCCTAAGTATGTCAGCAGGACGTTCTATGCTGCCTACTGCATCAAGTCACCAAAAAGAAGAGCGCAGTCTCTAGAGAGCTTTCCTGTGTTCGGCCCCGAAGGACCAAGCGTTTGCGATTTTTTCGTAGAGCTCCTCGATATCGTGTGAAGCGGAGAACGGTGATTGCTCCGTGAGGTTACCACCCCAACTAGTGTTCATGACGAAATCTGGAAGAAAGTACTTTGGAAACAGGAGGCGCAGGTCTCTCAGACCCAGTTCCAAGCTGATGGACACCCCGTGACCCTCTTGTAATGCTTCATCCAGGCTCCCGCGCTGCTTGTCTTGTTCTGGCACCCTGGCACTGGACAGATCGTGGGTATTCCCGGTGGTCTTCCACTCGAGTCGAGACTTTGACAAAGTCTTTGGCAATCGAAAAGCTCTCCACTCTCTGGACGACGAGCAGTTTGACGACATTCGTTGCATCGCTTCGATTTCGGTCCTGTTGCTGAGTTAGTGGCCATATCGTCCTGGTGCGTACAGGTAGCATGATCAAAGAAATCGCGTCAATTTCTGGTGCGTTGGTGCCGCGTATATCAGGCTGCTGCTGCGTACGCGCAGAACAAGCCAGAAGATGGAAGGTGCGTTTGTCGCGTGCATGCCTGTTCGGGGGCCCGTGCGGCCAATCAGGTCTTCCCGACAGCACGCATCACGCTAAGCTTCGTTCAGCCACGTAGCCCCTCAAGTCCCGCATCGGATTGAATGCCTGAAGCTCGCAGCATTTATTCACCTACGCTGCAGCATACTATCTGAATTTTCCTCGCCAGCAAAGAGCCCACAAGATCTAGATGTGATTACTTGAATTTGGGTTGTTGGTCCTGTTGCCTTGTGCCGGCGACAGACCGTGAGCCTCTCGTCAACACGGCGCTGGATTAGTAGGACGCAGCGAGAACCCCTGTTCAACAACAGAGAACGTGGACACGTCCAGGGAAATAAGATTGCGATGAACCTGGTAGGCAGCTGATTTGGGTCATGGAGTCTCCAACATAGAGTAATCCCATTCCCCTGTTGTGGGGTCTGTGATACAGATTGTCCGAACCGCATCACGTTTGTTGAGTGTAATGAGAGCAGCTTTGCCTTGCCCTGGATGAGTGAGCCTGGATTGGGTATTTCTACCGTCTGATCATGCCTACTTTGGTCTGAAAGATGTGTAAATGTACACCGCCGCGCAGGCGCGAGGCTGTTACGGACCCGCATCGCTGCTCCCTTGTAATTACTAAGCAGGATGGACGTTTGCGAGTAGCACTGCCGCAGAGAGAGGGATAGGTCACCTATAGTGCGACTGCCAAGGGTGATGGCGCAGAGGAACAGAGAGGTGACAGGGGCAAGTATGGTTCAGCCGCGCTGTTCACTGGTCAGCCAGTACAGTAAGGTCAAAGTGATCGTTCCTTTTAAACTGCAACTCTCTGGCAGCGAATCAATGGCTTTCGTCGCCGGCGGTGTGAAAGCTTATGGTGCTATTCGTACCAGTGTGAATATGCAGCTAGACGGCACCAGACATACGTTTTGAGCGCAGAACACATATGAAAGTTTCGTATTGATATCGCTGGAGTGGTAACGCGAAGAGAGACTATTTTATGATGAAGTTATGGAATCTATGAACTCCTTTTAAGTAATCAGGTAAAGCACGTGCTCTAAATGCATGTGAGGGCCGTCTCACTGGGAGTTGAGGGTGACAGGAGGAACCCGGCGTTCGCAATCTACTTTCCCTTTCGATAACAACATATTAAAACCGCTTATAGGCAGTTTGATGCTTAGATGTATGCCTCACTTCGTTTCCCGTAATGAGCTTCCTCTTTACCCAAAGCTACTTTCGACCCAATTGGCGAATCTACCTTGGGTTGAACTACAGCTGTATACTGGGACGCCTCCTTCTTTTCGCCATAATAAACGCTTGACTCTATGGTCTATTACCATAACGGACTGGCGACTGGTAATATAACATAGTCTTTTTCTTGGCCATTTTGAGAACATCCTATTCTAGCGAATTCCTCTATGCCAATGCCGTCCCACTGTGTCAAGTGATTGCCGACTGCCCCTTGGTCTGGTCTATCATAATGGACGCATATCTAGAACAGAAACCCGAATTGTATTAATGCGGACCGTGGGCCTCCAATGGCCACGAGCGCCCGCGCGTCAGTTCTGGTACGCTCCCTGGACGCCATGTCCCCATGCTCGTTGACCGCAAGGCGAAGATCGATCAAAACCGCCAGAGCGAAAAGTGATGCCTTCCACTACGCCAGGCCACCTTTTAGCACGCTATACTCGCCTGGCTCGGCACAGATCACCTTTACGTCAAATGGAGGAGCGTGACGAAGTCTATGGGGAAACAGGGCGTATAGCTGATCCCAGCTGGATCTTATTGTGATTTCACTGCCTGCGATAGGATCATGCACGTTAGTGTGATACAGTTCTCTACTTGCAACACTTCCCTATCCATCTATATGGCTCGTAGGGTACGTCACTATTAGGGTTAGTAACGGCTGTGTAAGTAACTTTCATTCTTTCAACCTGTATTGGTGAAGGTATCATCTAGGTGCTTGGGGAATTCGACACTGCGTGAGCCTGTGGATACGGTGTATGATGAAGGATATTGTAGTGCATGAGAAGGGTGTACGGTACTCTAACGTGCTAAGGATCTTAAGAAAGCTTTGTTAGAGACACGTAGATGCGAGTATGCTTAACATCGAACTCTTGCTCGCTCTCTTATTCGCCATATTTTCTTCGGTTCGGCGGTCTCTCTTACAACTTCAATCAAAGTACTATACTCAGTAGCCCGCATTTTCCGATGTTGGTTTCGGGGAAAAGGGTGAGTGTGGGGACTGTAAGCCTATGTGTATCGGTAAGTCGATGGGGTAAAGGGGTACTAGCAAAAGTGAAGAGCTAACTGGAAAAGTTCACCTAGAGTCCTCGCAAATATCGAGTTGAGGTGCGGATAGGATCAAAGTGATACGGGCAAGGCGATGCCGCTGTTACCTTTCCAATGTACTACGCATCGGCGCCACTTCAAGGGACTTGAAGTAACTAAGGTTTACCTTTAATAGCTGTTAACTCTATAAAACCTGTATATGCCAATCTGCTGCTAATGCCTTGCCCCTTTCCCCTCACCCTCGATTTGCCGATGTGCCCACTCTCGCAGCGCTTCCAGTGGTCCGTATTACGGACGTTTCTACCTGGTTACGATTACGTTACGGTTGCTGGTTACTACGGTACGGACGCTACGGTAGAGAGACCTTGACTGTACCACAGCGTATCCGTAGTGACAAAATGGAGCGTACGGTTCTACTGTTGTGCCTCTTTCCTAATTAGGAAAGAGGCGTGAGTCGAGCGTCTAGTTACAAGTTATCTAGAGTCCCGTTATCGCCATCGACTACCATAAGTTCTTCACCTTTGCCTTGTATGTAAACTCTGAGCTTTCTGCCGCATCTGAAAGCCTGGTCGCTCCTATAAGGTCAACTCACGCCTCTCCCCTATTTACGCAACCGTAGAGCCGTACTACGGCTCAAAACCGCGTTACGGATCGTCGCTATTACGGTGAAAGCTCTCTACGTTACCGACCGCCAGAATACGGCATCGAACCGTACCGTAAGCAACCGTATTACCGACTGTTGGACGCGCTGAACTTTCGTCGGCCTCCCGTGCAAACAACATGTTAGTCTCGGGCATCGAGACACCGCCAAACTCAAAAGCTGATAGTTGCTACTACCCTAGACCTCGCCATGCACCATTCGTTCAACCTCGCGTTCAAATAGTAATGCGAGGTTCGATAGACGCCCTCGTGGATGTAGTCTTTGGTGATCACGTCCCACGCAGTGTTTGCAAGTGGACCACGATTTTCTTCAGAAACAAGGACGCTAGTAATGAAGTGAAAACGGCTTTGGCAAGCTATGCAAGGGCCCCATTAACCAGCCTGTCCTCAAACCCGAAAGCTGTCTCTAACTAGCACGATCTTGGGCCCACTTACTTCGACTTGCTGAGTGCTTTGGTTGCCTACTTTCCTAGAAACCGTTCCCATGGTGGGGGGCACCATGTTACATTAGATGATGGGTTGCACATCGCATAAAGGAGAATGACTCTTGTACACTTGCTAGCTGCGCCCTTGAGGCTAAGCTCTCTACTAGGACGCGCATGCCAATGCTACAGCGCGAAGGGATTCCCGCCTTGTACGAGGAAACACCTGGACTTCCCACAAATGCTTCTTTTGCTCGCCGACCTGTCTCCATACAGGCGGGTGGGCACTGGCAAGGTGGTGCGAGCATGTGCATAATCCAAGCAGAAGTACTGGAAGGATGGTGCTAAGGAAGCTCTCCGGGCGTTATTTTCACGCGTCTCTAGCGTGATGGACCATTTCACGATACTTGGTGCGGGAAGTTCGAGAACCATTGTGGGGAATACGCATGCGACCGGTGGCTCCAGGCGGGGATCCAATCGGCACTCCTGGCGAGAGATGGCGGTTGAAGGCGTTTTCTGTGACACTGCGTCCGAATGCAGAATGCAAGATGTTCGGCTATCAACGAGGGAGGTCCAAGGGACGTAACGTTCGCGTGGCATCGTTGTGTTGCGCGAGTGTCGTCACCACGAAAACGTTGAAACAACTGAGTCGCACAACACCAGCCTCCCACAGTGTGAAGCGAATATCGAAATTACGTTATCAGCCGAGTCTCGTGGTGCCCTCGGAGGCTTGCCCGTCTGGCTCTCGACACTTCCACCGACGCCTCCGCGCTCCACACAGGGATATCAGCCCGAACCAATCCACCATGCCTTTTCTGCTCCATCTGCGAAAATGCCAGGCCAAGCTCGGGCCAACGTTCTCGCGCCAGGCCATCCAGCCGGTCCGCTCGCCCTGGAAAAGGAAGGCAGTCACAGGGACGGGAGCCATATGGGAATGGAAGGAGGGAAACCTGGGGATTGGAGGCCTCGGTGCGTTTCACTCCCGCTGCGGGCAAACCGTGGAGCAAGCTCCCCGGCACATCATACTGAGAATGTTAGTTCGTGCCTCCCTAGCGCTGCCGCCTACGATGGGCACCGAAAGGCAGAAGGCACACATGTGCACGACCGCCACCCCCGAGCCGTATGCCGATGACCAGGCGCCAGTGCCAGCGATATCTCCACCCTTCCCGCGAGACGGCCCGGCGCCCGTGCCAGCCATGCCTCCACCCTTCGCCCCGCCAGATGAATTGGATTCGGTTGCTGACGGTGTGTCCGCTCGCGCGGATAGCCCGATCACCATCACGTTCATCGACGCCCAGGGCAACGTTACGCCTACGTCCGTCACGCCTTCAGCAGACGGCGAAGACACACTGCTCAGCCTCGCCCAGGACCATAACGTGGCTGTTCTGGGCACATGCTGCGGCGAGTGTTCGTGTTCGACGTGCCACATGGCGGCTGTGCAGAATGCAGTCTCGATGGGGGCCATCGCAACTCAGGAGGAAATGGACATGCTGGAAGCTGCGGGGAACATGACGAATACAAGTCGGCTGGGGTGTCAGGTGAGGCTCGACAACCGGCAGATGGACGGCCTGGTAGTGCAGGTCATGCATCCAGCTCCTGGGCCCAGTCAGGGGGTAGGGACAACCTTGTTGGGGGAGGAGGTCCACGCTCCGGATCAAGATCCAGCGCGTTAAGATGGGGGCCTCTCGTGCGAGGAGACGTACGAGGAGGAAGAAAAGACTGGCTGAAGAAAGAATTATGAGCGACATGTATGCGTTGCCAAAGGGGTATGCGATGTAGCCGAGGATAGAGCGACGCAGCTATACTATTTTCCTATGTCATTAACGCAAGTTAGGAAAATCTGGAGTATGCCCTTTTCTGCATGCCTCTGCTGCATTCTTGATTCGAAAAGTGATGATCGATCCACTGCGATAGACAACGGACGTGAGCTTGACGCCAAACCTGAAGAAGCATCAAAGCTACCACGCGTCGATACGATGGCGCGAAAAGAAGAGGCTGAGAAGCAGACAAACGTTTGTTTCCTCACGCGTGCTTGCTCGCAACCTGTGTCAGGTTGGCCAGCCCTCAGCGTCCGCGCGTTCTCATTGCGAGGAAGGAGGACAGCACGAGGATCGTGCACGCTGACCGGTGAACTAGGCGCTGGATTTTCACCGTCGACCATTCCCCTTGGGTTTTAAGAATGGTAGTTGACCTCCAGGTAGCCGCCCACCGCCAAATTTGTTGGCAACAACCCACCCAGTCCACAGGCTACTCGTCCCAAACTCTGCTTCGTCAAGCATCGTGCGTGCCGCATATAGACCGCGATGACTTCAATCATCGCCCGAAGCTCATTTCCCTCGCCACCTCCGGAACGCTTCCCAAAATTCGTCTTTATCCCTGCGGCGGCGATGAGGGGCGCTTACGATGACGAAGCGCGCAAGGCTAGGAAATGCAAGGCGCCATCTGCAAAGTATACTCGCGCATACCCAAACAAAGACCGAATACTCCTCGGCATCGGACACGGTGGACACACGGAGGATGGTGGTGAATGCGATGGCGATGGCGAACCCGCACATGTACAGCTGCAACGCTCAAGCAGTGGCCTATCTACCTGCAACTCTCTCCTGTTTGCATCGTTTTGCCTCATCTTTGGCGCGGTGGTAGGTCTTTTGGCATGCGATGGTGTAGCACGCGTATGCGGAAGAGCGAATTGATCGGCGCGTAGCCGACAATGCGGCCGTCGTGTTGGATAGGCGCCACAGGTTGGAGCGACGCCGAAGAGGCAGTGACGTGAAACTTGGGCTATCTGGGCACGCTGGGCGGTGTGGTGTATCATACAGCGTGTTTATGGAGGCGCGTCTCTCAAAGCGTTCGGCAGACTCCTTGGCGAGGATCCGGGAGTATTGAGTTCGTTTGATAGAGAAATATTTAGTCAAAGGGATGGAGAAGTCTAATGTGTCCGCTTTGCAAGGAGTCAGCATCGAACTAATGTGCCAAATGAAGTCAGAAACGCTTGCCTTGAACGTCGCGACAAGCTGTTGCCCCATACGACCGTTGATGTACCGCACCTCCGGCAAGATCATTGTCGAATCCCTGGGAAGTGGATGTAAAATGCATCATTTCTATTCTTCAAACCTTCCGCATCGGGCATCACCGTGTATCTACTCACCCGGAGAGTAATGAACAACGTCTAATCCGCTTCATTCCCTCGCGATTTCGTCTCCCCGCACCAGTTCTGGCGTATACAAGTCAAAATTATGCTCTCATGGTCGCATCTGGCCGAAGACGTCGAATCAAAGCACTTCAGAGAGAAGCTTCGCAGGAGAAGGTCGCGCCTAAATGCGTAGTCAGGCACTCCGCCGAGAAAGGGTTGCGAAAGAAAAGATATGGACTGGACGGTCGCGACTCCCGAGTGTTTATGCATTTGCTGGTCTCATGATCTTCTTCTGAGCCTTTGGCGCGTGCATAGCAGCATGTGGTTGATGATGTGATGTGAGGAGAAACCGTAGCGGTGCCGGTTAGGGAGAATGCTTGGAAGATCGGGGTCATTATGTGGAGTCTGAAGAAATGAGCACGTAATGAACGCTGACGACGCTGCGTTGGCGTCGCTTCCGGATCTATGCGCGCAGTCGACCACCATCCTTTGGTGGGGCGTGGTCACATGGCTACGCACGACTCGACGCGTCAACGAGATTACGTTATCGATATCGGCGATAAGGCGACGGTGATGGCGCTGCAACGCCAACACCAATTTCCATCAACACCAACACGCTGCCTGAGAGCGCTCCATCCCGCCCAGCAGCGGAGACCTGGATCGTGCTCAAGTCCTCGCCACAAGGTCCTGTCTCTCGCGACCATGTCGTCAAAGCGTGGCTGAGACGAGCTCCAAAACGATGAGCCTGCATTTACGCCCGCTCACGAGGTACCCGCAATGCAACCTCACCTGGCCATCCGCAAGCGTCATTCGATTCTCGACCGCTCCTTTTCTTTCCCGTCCAGCCCCAGCATTTCCCGGATCTAGTGTGCAATCGGCGCTGTCGCACACTCATCCTAGCACAAACTCGACCTTGCTATGCTAACGGACCGAGTCTTCGTCTTCTGCTGCTTCCACCCGCTCTTCCACACCCTCTCGGCCGACGACTCTGTCTGAGACAACCTCAGAGAGCACGTTTCCAAGGTAGAGCCTAGGAAGGTGAAGGTCTGCACCTTTCCAAGACCGTGTCCTGTACTTGCAGCTAATTATTCTGAAAGTGCCAGTTGTAACTAGGTAATAAATTAGCTTCCGCAAAGTTATGACTTCCTGATAGCGTCTCATGGTAACAAAATCCTGATCGCCATCATATCCAGGTACTTGGTCGGGGTCTCATCACCACCCTGCCCGATAACTCCATTGATTGTCGCCTAGAATTCGCTCAAACCCATTAGTGTCCACTTGTTGCTACTTCCTCAGCCGAGTCCCCAGCTCCTCAGTTGAATGAGCATGTTTCCCAAATGTGGCGCCTCCGACAGCCTCCGTGTCTGCGAGGTGGGTTGCTAGCATCCGCTTTGTTTGTGCAGGCGGCATATATTTGCCTCTCGTGCGAGCTATTGGCAAAGGGAACTGACCTGTGAGGTCCATTGCGAAGTCTTAGGGAAGGCGAGGCGACCAGGCCCGATACAGGGTAATTTACTTTGCGCTGGAAACTAGCAGACATCTATCAATGAATACGCCCAGGTCCGTACTGTTTCGTCGCGTTCGTGGTTGTTCGTCCGTTGGAAAGGCTCGATTCGCGTGGGTTCGTGCTCAAATGTGCCTCACCGTTGCTGGTGGAGTTGATGGTTGTCGATGCAGTGAAATCCTGGAAGCTGCTTAGATGTTCCTAACACTCTTGTAGATGTTTTCAATATGGATACCGGCAACTCGAATATTCTAAGGGTGAGGTGCGAGTTCGACCTCGGTCCGTGATCTCGTTGTTCGAAGCACTGGCGTGCCACGCCGACTCAACTGTTACCCTCAATTTGAGGGTGGCTCTTGTTGTCATCTTTTTGCACCCTGAATTTGCGTATCGCTCCTGTCCTCGGTCTCGCTGCTGGCTTCTCGTCAGGCTTCTGATTGGTGGATTAGCTGGCGACAGGCGTTATTCGCAATCTGCCTCGGGCGGACGCCCGGAAGCGGCGACATGCCGTGTTGATAGGAACCTGCCTACGACATGTATTGCCGCTCGGATGGGCGCTTAGAAGGCGCGAGTCGCATGGCAAGGGAAGGTTCTGGCTAGATTTATATTCGCGAAATCACGATTGGCATGTAGCAAAGTGAAGATTTGTGTCTCCCTAATCAGGAGCAGATGAGTGACCAGACTACCATGAATTAGAAATACAGGTAGGTTGCATTCCGATTGTACAGGATTGATGCGATCTGACCCTGTCCAGGGTCACAATTTACTACGCAGAGTACCAGCGGGAATAGGAAATTATTCCCTTGGGATATGACCAAGACGATGGGAAATTGTCCTTACGTACAGTACTTCGTAACTATCGTAGGTTTCTACAACTTGCGCAAGGTTAAGTAGCGATAGGCCCAGTCTCGGTATCCAGACGTTATAGAACGTCCTAATACCTGCGCAACGTACACCCTTGCCCTTATAAGTGCCTCTAGCAATGCCCTCAAAAGTAGATGATGATAAAAACATCTTTGGTAGTTGTATAGACGTAGCTCGTTAGCTTTCAATTGGAGGCAGATTTTTCTAGATCCTTCGGCATCGTAGGAAAACGGAGACCGTGAAGTCATCCCAGGAGCAACCCTTGGGGGAGAATGGTGATGACCGCTTTGCACCTGACCAAGTATCCATTTGGTTGCATGTTATCCAGCAGCAATGCTGAGAGGGTAGTGTTTCCCGAGCGGACGATATTAATCGCCAGCGGTTGAGCACAGTGAGCGGTGGGAGGAGTGAGCGTGGGAGGGAGCTTAAACACTGACTGGGCTCCGACCTTCAGTGGTGATAGCGGCGCTAGTCGTCGCGTACTTCTATATTATCTCATTTGCCTCATTCTTATACTATATTTATCATGTTTCTGTCCTCGTGATGGCTCTATCAAGCCCTCACAACGTACAGCAAGCAGCACACTAACCGACTCCTTTTTAAGACTACTCACTACAACGCCCTTTCTCTTTCTTGAAGATTTACAGTACTCCTATTGACTAGCTAGACCACAAGGTCGTTTGCAAAGTAGGCGGTTTCTTTAACATCATCCAAGTATTGTCTCTACAATGAATCTCATCACCTGCTTTGCAGCCGTTTTTGCGGAATTTGCCGCTTACGCGGACCCTCCAGTCGCTCCGGGCTCTGACCTCTCTGGTGGCCCCACCTTCGGTAAGGCTCCACGCGACTATGTGACAAACAAAACTCGCTCGGCAGCAGCCGACCTCGCCACTCACTCCCACACCACGGACGTCAAGGACTCGCTTGTTGAGGGAGCGCATCAAGATATCTACACAGCTGGCGTCGTTGCACGAACCACTGACGACGGGGATGCCGTGCTAGCTTTGGAGAAGTGAGTGGCTAGCGGACTTGGTGCTTGACCCCTGGGGTCTCTGCAGGCCTAAAAGGTCAGTGACTCGGTCAATATGGTATAGTTCTCCTGCGAGAGGTGTACCTACTACCTGAAATGACCTTGGCTGACACTTGGTCGAGGCCGAAACGACCCTGGGACAGTCTGAGATGACGTGGCGGGTCTGATGAGTTTCATGTATCTCGACAGTCAATGAGAGTATCGCCAACAACAACGATTGGGCACGGTTAGCTTTTTATAGTGTTTAACTTGACATCTATATCGTGCCTTTCGTCATCCTGGGACTGAGAATCCTGCATGCGTTCGTCGTGCACGGACGGTGGCTCTTGGCGCGCGCCGAGTGCGTCTTCGCTCTATGTTTCTGCCGCCTTGACACCTCGACCTCCCTCCACCCACGCCGAGTGCTCTCCTTGTACGCAGAGTTGAACAATCGCCTTGCGCATCTGTCATCACTCTGGGCCGCCCTGCTTCTCCCTTCCTTCATGCAACATGGGCCGCGTCGCCTAACTTGGCGGCGCAAATGGCGCCAACTCCTTGGTCGGGCCGATACCGTGTCCGTGCACGCGATGCGCGGTTTCGCCAGATGCGCGCCTATCACCAAATCACTGAGTTGCAGAAATCGAGTTACAGAGCCACCCACAATAGCTTAATTGTTCTAATAATCCATCTAAATACTAAACAAACTACTGCGAAAAAGATGGACTACTTGAATTTCTGTGGGAGTTTGATGTTCCTGCCAACCCTCGTAGTTCTCACAGATGAAGGATCACGGCCCTGATCACCTCCCCTACCCTCTGCAACTACCTCACGCCTCTATTTTTTCTGTATAGGCTTTGTAGCAGGCTCTAAAGCCTTCCTCTTTCCCTTTTGGTAAGTTTGTATAGGCTTTTTAGTGTTTTGTTTCTCTTTTTCTTTACGTTGGCGTGTAGCCTGTTTCTTAGCTGTAATCCTCTCCTTTTCTTCTCGCCTTTAAATCCTTAACCTTGCTCTTTCTTCTTTCTCTTGAAGTTGATGTACCTTTTTCAAGGCCTTTTCTGCCTTCTTATGAGCTTTTTTAAGTTGTTGCTTCTCAGCTTCTTGGTCTTTGATCCTTTGGCGGAACTGGGCCTCCCTCACTTTAGATGGGGACCAGAATACAGCGCCCCTGCGGTACTCCTGGCGTTGCTGTAGGTCTAGGGGCTTGCTTTTCTTCTCGTGTTTCTTCTTAGAAAGTAGAGCCTTTGATAAGCCTTCTACTTCTGTGTGGAGTAGCTCATTTTGGATTGATATATGGTGGAGTGAGCGGCTTAGCTTTTGAGCCTCTCTACTACTCTGGTCCTTTACTTCTGATCGTATTAGGCTATGCAATTTGAGCCAATCCTCTCTACTAAGGACTGAGCTAGAGTTCTCTCTCTCTTCTTGCTCTGGTGTTGATTTCTTGAACCGTTTAAGTATAATCTCTGGGCTGAGAGGTATTATTCTAGTTGCTTGGAAAGACCTTAGGATTGTTTTTTCTTGAAAGGAGCAGGTCTAGGCTTCCTAAAATAGTGGGAAGAAGTCTCCTTTCTTAACTGGTAATAGTCCTTGGGCGTTGTGGAGGTATTTTGTGAGCTGTTTTGAATAGGCAGACGATAGAGGCTTGAACATCACCACATCTAGTGGCTGTAACGTGTGGGTTGAATGAGGGGGGAATATTAGGAGGAGAATTCGATTCTGATCATAGAACTCGATGAAATCCATAGTGATGTGGGATCCATGGCCGTCAAGGATCAATAGCTGATAGGATTGTCGTGATTTCTGCTTAGTGTATCGATTAAACACCTGTTCAAGCCACGCTAGGCTAATATCTTTGTTGGTCCAGCCAGAGGGAGATGAGCTGACGTGAACTTGGTGTTTTCTAGCCTGAATTCTATCTACCCAAGAAGCTTGAAGGGCTGAATTTGCAGAGGCAAAGATTAGAGCAGGAGGGAGAGCTGATCTATTACCACAAACACATGCTTGTAGTGTTATCCACTCTCTATTACCATCTTGAAGGGCTGCTGTAACTTCCTTTCGGTCCCATATTGCTTTACTGAAGATCCTTTTACTTCTTCCAATCACCCCAATAAGGAAGCCTTTCTCATCCATATTGTACGTGTGACGTGGCTCTATATCGTATTTCTCAATAACCTCTATCAGAAGTTGAAAGAATAGTTGATATTTATCCTCTGAATCAGCATGGTGGCGATCGCGATCCATTCCAGTACTCCATCGGGGGGTAATAGAGATCCCATGGCGGGTGAGAAATCGGGTAACCCAGCTCTCGCTCACTGGCTCCTTTGCTATAGCTGACGCGAAATTTTGTACCATCTCCCTTGTAGGTGGTAGCCGACGAGCTGTAAGCTGTTCTATATAGCTTACAAGCTCTAGCTCTTGTTGTGGAGTGAGCTTTTGTGTGTTGGCGTGCTGGGTAGTAGATGAGGCTGTTTCACCCTTGTGCTGGCGCGTCAACGTTGAGCGTACAACACCATATTTTTTTGCTATTGCAGTGTACGTAAAAGTTTCGCCTGGTCCTAGGGAGTTGATTTCTTCAATCGCTTCGTTGATTGGATCCATATTGGTTGAGTTATGAGGTTGTGAAGATTGCGCGATTTTTCTGAGATCGCGCATCTGGCGAAACCGCGCATCGCGTGCACGGACACGGTATGATCGCGTACTGTGTCAGCGCCGCCACGCACAGACGACTGGGGAAAATTGGCAAATTATACTAATGAGGCATACTCCAGGGTCCCGTAACCTCCTGGAGGAGCGCCGCGTCGCCGGGTACTACACTGCTCCTGACCAGCGCAAGCGATCTCCCTCGACCAACAAGCGTCGCACGTGGGGTACGCCCGATCCAAAGGAAGCCGCCTAGCGACTGCACCTCACCCTGTGGAAGCCGTGCACCGACTGCGCAACGGGTAATACATACAAGGGATGGAAGTCCTTGCCAAGGCCTCTGAGGCAGGTCGGTCACAGCACCGTGAGGTCTGTGGGCAACTTGGTACCGACGGCCAGCGGCGCTCTGCCTGGTGCAAGGCTAGCAACCCTCGAGCCGCAGCGTGGTTGTCGTACTGGTTATCCTGTGAAGGTGGGAGGTGCCGGCGTCGGGGATTTACCACCGCGCCGTGAGCAGTAAACGATCATTGGGAATCGAACGGAGATTCGGAACCATGAGGACAGACGTCATGAGCGCTGTCGCACACCTCCCCACTCAGCTTCCACCCAAGCTACCGAGACCAAGGGAGCTTCCTGTAGTCCTGCAACTCCGCGTCGTAGGACAGCAACTCTCCATCGCAAGGTGCCCCCGCGCAGACCGTCTGAACCCTCCCACTACCTTTTGACGGCCAAAGACAGACAAAGAAAGCCCGCAGAGTCTTCACCTCGACGGCCCTCTGTTAGCATCCCAAAAGGTCGAAAGATGCGCCCGCCACCAATAGGACGACCGTTGAAAACATCATGGCATCGGGCGTGCCGTGAACCATTGACTCTGCATCTGCGAACGAGTCGATCGACGAGCTCAATGCCTCCCCGAAGCCCGGCCCGAACGCTGAGAACAAGGCGCCCGGGCGCAAAACAAAGGCTCATCGAGGTCCTGAACGGAGCTACCAGGCAAACCTCCGCGAAGACCCTGAATCGTATTGTCAGCGGGAGCCAGCTTTTCACAGGCCACCGTTTGCAACACCTGCTAAACCCAGCCTTGCAGGCGGCAGCGCAATATGTCATGTTAGTACCGCGACCGAAGGCCACTTCGGAATAGAAGCAGAGAAGACGCGCATTGGGCTTGTAGGAGGTTGATAATCACATGATACCTGCAAGGCCTACCCACGCATGACTATGAAGCATTTTGCGCCTTCTCGCGTCATTCAGAGTGTGCAAGCATTACAGCATTGGACGGAGGCTAATTTGAATGAAGGTGCGGGAGAGCTACAACACAACGAAAGCCAGCGTCACACGCCTTTCTCCAACAACCATCGCCTTCGATAACAACAAGCCCAAGAAAGCGAGCCACGGATCGTCAATCGTCTCCAGTGACCAGACTTTCCGGACGGGAGTACTGAACGGTGGAGCTTGCCGCATGCGAAACGGGATGCTGGCGCGATTCCATCTAGTAGAAAAGGCAAGTATTTTGCCGTCCTTCCCACACTGCCACGCGTTGCTACTGCTGCCATTGTTCAATTCATTTGGCCTTGCTCACATTATTCCAAAACTGACCCCAGCCTTAGTGCTGAAAGATGGTGTTCTATCTGCGATACGCCGTTCCGTCGCACCCGCCTCAGAAAGGGTTTGCGTTGCTTCTGCTTAGGAGCATCCCGTCCCGACCACCTAGCAACCTACCTCAACCTGAGTCACATCACGTCATTGAAAGGATGCGAACCAGTCCTTCCGAAATGGCTTCGACCTCCGCCACTAGGACTAGACTCTGCTCTTTTTTAACCCTAGCCTTAAAAGTCCCCCATTAGTGAGTCCTCTGCAGCTCCCCATCCGCTTTCATCCCAGCAGGCTCATTCTCTACTAGGGTCTACGTCGGCCCTGACCAACAGTTCTTGCTTGGAGGCACTGGTAGCGTCTCTTTGAGGTTTTTAGGTACACCTGAAGTAGAATTGGATGCCGTTCAGGTCGTAGACGAAAGGAGAACCACCAAGCCCCTCGAGTTTTCCCCGCGCCCCGAACTTCCCAGGGCTGTACCAGGTCAAGGTGGTTTCGCGCCAAGTGGAAAAGGGCATGCCGGGTCAGAATATCTCCAAAGCGCGTAGTCACGATTGATAGACAACATCGACAACGCGCACATCTATCATACGAAGTGCCACAAATGTACGATAGAATGGCGAGTACACATGGAGGAGCACAGACCATCGGCGAAGCGCACTAAGCGTAGCGACATTTCATTGGGAGATACACGCCGCCTAGCGCAAAGTTGTGCAGTCGAGGTCTGGGTCTTGGACCACCCCGATCCGAATACCGAGCATAAGGCGAAATGCAAACTGCGTGGGAAAGCCACGCCAATGGCAAAATCACCAGTCACGACAGAGGCTGCGGCAAGTATCTCACAGAGCAGCGAAGTCACCGACTTCAGCAGGTCCGCGTGCGTGGAGCCCCCCTCGTGGAGAGTGGGTCCAACGCTAACCCCAGCTGTCAAGATCCAACCACATAGGCGAGTACCAAATCCATGGGACACAGCAAGAATTGTCAAGATGCCGAATACAAGCACCGGCGTCCATCACCGCTCCCAGGTCACCGTGCCGGGATAGGCCTGTAGGGGATCTTCCTAGATGAGATAGTGGAAGGCACGCGGTAAATTGGTTCATGCGACTGCCTGCGCGCCTATGTGCGTTGTGTTACATGCTGATCTAAGCCAACATGATGTTCAAGCTATTTCTTAGGTGTCTTCCATTATAGCGTGTAGGTAGGCATGTATGCTACTTTGCGCAGGCAGACGATACACGTTCGCCGCGTTCGTAGCGAGTCCCTAGCAGTGTGTAAACGGCGCGACTGCACCGCTACTCTGTGGTTGAATGTCTGCGCTTATCTACTAATCCAGACCAGCACCTACTTTCATGTCTTTGACGATATCGCCGTGAAACGTAAAATAGACAGCAGACTGACAGCCGCGCACGCCATACCCGCCCATATCAGATCCTGTATGAAAGAAGCTAGAAAGCAGTATCTCCAGTCTCAGAAGTAAACATGGCCCGATTGAACATTCCGGGCTTACCGCCTTCCAGCTCGCCAGAACGCCACATCCAGCCCAGCTCGGTGCACATCACTGCCTCCGAGTCTGTCAATGAGCTCGCCGGCGATAAGACCGGCTCACGGGAGGGGCCACCGCCTCGAAGAGGAGGAGAAGCCTCGCGTTCGTACCGTTGGAGGTTAGCCAGATACACTACAGACTGCTTGGCCATGGCTACGACTCAATCGCTCACAATTCTAGTTGTTATAAGCTCGAGCGCCCGAATCGCGAAATAGCAAAGGTCCATCTCCGCAAGAATCGCCATGGATCGTGTTTGGGGAAGATTGCCAATGATTGGACCTGCAGGCAACTCGACCGACTGCATCGGCGTTACGGACTTGTCGATGCCGGCGGTCTGGTGCTCTGCCAGCCTGTCATAAGAGCGCGGGTGGGACGGCGAGATGACCGATGGCTCGGGGCACTACGGGCCTTCTCCCTCCGCTCAGTAATCGGTTGAACGCGCCGCAGGATAAGCCGCCTGCTGCCGACACACCCGCCCGGTCCTTTTCATCTCGCCAGCTTGCCACGAGCACCGCATTCTTGCACAGAGGTTGCTTGACCCGGCAGTCACACTCCAGAGCAAAATCCCCTTGGCATGGTAGCCGCCCTCGGCCATGGGCGCGGACGACGCTGCTGGCCGAGGTGACAGAGATGCGGACGGGGACAGACCTACTGCGTGCAATGCCTGAGACATGGAGCATGCGGAGCTGAAACTCAACATGGCAAACCACCAGCATGCGCTTTTCGTTCTGTGATGGTGTAACAGCAACCCTCTTGTGTTTCCTAATCCTCTTCGTTTTTTCACCTCGGTGAGTACCTCCCAAAGCCCACAGCTAGTTCAAACGCTGCGTGAGCTACACAATATGACGATCGTCGCTCGAAGTCTTGGCCGCAAAATGCGAAACGGCAGCACACAAGCTCCTACGCTCTGTCATACGTCAAACAGACATGCGAGAAGGGCTATCCGATTCTTACGTAGCCGTCAGTACAACACCAACTTGCGAGTGCTACCACGTCGAATTCCCGCACGGAGTCGCTTAATGTGGTGCGGAAATAAGCGGGGCAACAGGTCTCCACGCCATAGCTCGTTGTTTCGGCCAGTGTTCGCGATCACGTGCCACTCCATGTGGCATGGCCCCCTAGCTCTCTGATGCTACACAGGGCCGGACTAGGAGCCTGACCTGACTGGATCATGACCCAACGCACCGTTCCATCGCCCGAAGGTAGGTCTCGCACCAGCCTACGACACCGTGACTCCACGCAACAGACGCACGCGCAGCCTACCGGGGTCGGTCTCTTCGCAATGGAAGCGATGAAGGCGGCGCTGTAATGCTCAGCACCCCCACGAGGTCGTATGGAAACGAAAGGCCCCACGTCGATAAAGTGGTCGTGCGAGTTGCAACGTCCTGGTCATGGCCCACACCCCCTCCACAACTATCACGCAAGATAGCCAGATGTGCAGGCAGAAACAAGGATACATCGCAATTCGGCATAGTCACCCTGCACGGAACCGGCATCCCACTCCGCGACAGACGCCACAATGTACCTCTGGGGATACTGTTTCGCACGCCTACAATACCACTTTACCCTATACGGACTCCCTATCGCCAGATCTCAGGCAGTCTAGCCAAATGAGGCATGCGCTGGGTGCGGCACCCGTTTTGCTCTAGTCCCCCAAGTACAGTGTCACATGCGTATACACCCATGCATGTCGAGGGCTCTCGTCTTTGCCCACGCCCCATTCCCCGCACTAGGTGTGCATCACTGCGTGCCACGTCGTCTGCTTGTGCGACGGTTGTGGCGCGTAGAACGAGGACTCGGAATGGGTGCTGGGAAACGCGATGCTCCGGGTTGGGTATTCGCTGGAATGGCTTGCGCTATTCGTCGCGCACACCCATGCACCAGCGGGCACCGATACAGACTCTCAACAACAGCAGCTACGCCACCATTCCACAGGAAAACCGGTACGCTGAGCGATGGCTGCTGGATTCGCAAACGCAACACGCTGGTGTTTGCCCTGCATACAAGAACGGGCCACCAAAGGTATTCGCATCGTCCACATGCGGCGGGACTCTCGCGCAACGCGGCGACCTCGCACGTTCAGGTTTGTTGCCGTGGGAGGTCGGACCCTCACCCCCGCGAAGATGCGCTCCCGAACCCTGCTCGGTTCGCTCGAACGCGGATGCTCCCGGGCGCCTCTCCCTGCCTGGTGGAACCCGAGTTTTGCGGCGTCACCAGCCGAGACCTGCTCGGTCCGCTGTTGCTGGTGCTCCGGCCCAGACACACAGGCCGCCTCCTACCCCGCACATCCCCCATTGCGTCCCACCCGCCGCTGACGGGACCCATCGTCACTCCGGGTGACCGTTGCTCCCAGCCTAACAGCGGCTTCCCCATGCCACCCGTACGACGCAAGCCGGCGTCCACGCGCGTGGGCGATCTTCTTTCCGACGTCGGTGGCGGCTGAGTGGGGGTCATGGACTCCAGCACTCTCGCCAGTTGCGACTCTTGCTTCTCGCAAACGTCGCAGACTCCATCTCTCATGGTGTTGACGGTTGCTCCTCGTGAAAACGGGCGATTTGCGCAATTCAACAACCGCAGCAAGGCGGCCAAGTCTTTGCACCTCAAATGTACCAGAGCCGCAGCCCGCCGCGACGCACGCGCGACCGACGCAAACAGCTACACGCGCAAAAAACCGCCAAGGAGCAGCCGCTGGGCCGAGTGCAAAGATATGCTACCCATCTCAGCGTGAGGGACTCAGCAGCAAGGTGGTATGCGGTCTGCCGTCTTCGCATCAGGCAGTCGTGGGGGTAGGCCGGAGAGTACTCGACGCGCGCTCGGATGCAGGCCAGCGTAAGGCAGCGTTGAATGAACGCGTCCAATGACAGAAGAGATAATCTAGGTCATCCAGTATTTTGCACTCGGCATGCGATGCGCAAGCAGGCCGTCATTCGCTCTAGCGGTACGGGGCAGGTGCCGGGCCGCTGCCCGCAGGGTGCGCCGAGCGTGCAAAAGGCGATCTGCCTCGTCAACGTAGACTGTTTGCTCGAAGATCCGCCACAGATGCAGCTTTCCAACCGACCCTGTCAAGCAATATAATGCCGCAGTGACACAGCAGTTTGGGTGCTGTCTTCGATGTATACATACATACAAGACGCTGGGGGAACTCACGCACAGTATCGCTCGACACTCTCCCATCATGTCGCTCCATCCTTCGGTGAGAAGATCGCGGGTCAGGTGTTTTCCTGGACGCTATGTCCACCGTGTTGCGAGGTTGAGCCAAGTCACTCCGAGATCCTCGCCGGACCGAGAGGATGGTCGCCACCCCCAAGTCCCGGCTGGGACTAGCACGCCCCGAGAAGATGAGAATCAGAACGCCCTCAGCAAGCTGGAGAATGCTTCTCCGCCGAACATGGCGCCGAACGTTGGTGCGTACGCAATCCCTGAGCCCCCAGCCCCGACACTCGAGCGAGGAGAAGACACCCATGCATCCAGCACACCCCAAAGGGCTCCCGCTGCGCCTGCCCAGTCCGCTCCCCTCGGCAGGACGAAAACTGTCTCTCGCTCCTACATCTGCCATGGTGCTGTCGAGGTCTCCGAAGACGACGACGGGCTCATGTACATTCCGACCATACCCACAGAGTTCCTACGCATGGGCTTAGGACTGGACCTTCCGATCATCCACCGGGGCCCGCCGTTCTGTCCTGGACCTGAGGAAGGAGATTTCCCTGGCGACACGCGCCCTTCGACCCCGGACCATATGGTGCAGGACACTACGCACATAGCGCAGCCCGAGGAGGCCACCGACCAAGACGACGGGTTCGTGATTATCGGCACACAAGGCAATGGAACTGAGGACGTCCATGACCCATAGTGCATCACCAGGGACGTGTTTATGCTCGACGTGGCTAGTAGATTGCCTGAATGGGTCTGATTGGATGATGTCTGTCTCCTTTTGTACGGGCTGTAATGCACGTGTGTTTCATTCCGGTCCCCATTCATTCACATGTCCTGGAATGTGTCTTTCGCTTAGGTAGTTGTCCAGACACCTTCGTTTACCCCGATTCGCTAGTGGAGAGGGGACATGATTGGTTGCACAGTCTAGAATCTATTCGGTATCTTGATGTTCGAACGATGGTCGGCTGTACGGTGATGCACGCTACAGGCAACGTTCGTTGAAGACCAACAGAGTTGCTCATGAGTTTGCGCTCGGATTCAATCCGAATGGCGACCAATCAGCTCATCGTGTAATTTCAAACATCTTTGCGCACAAAAACTACCTGGCCTGACACCACCCGCCAGCAAGAGACAGCCCAACGAACCGCTCCCTTTGTAGAATTCAGAAAACATGCAATGCGCCTACCCAAACGCGATCGTTCCGTGCATTTTGACAATGTTCTCTTCATTGTCAACGCCATCTTCGAACCTATTCGCGCTAGTAACTTCTGGCTTTCATTTCAGTACAGATGCAGTCGGTCGCGCGCCTCATGCGGTAGTACTTGTCCATATCCGTGCCTAGCGTTCGACATTGTCTTCCTAAGCTAATGGGACCATCACCATCTCCACGCTCCACAGCCTCGAAGATCCTTGGTAGCAACATGCTGTATACTTAGAAACATTCTCCCCCGCGAGATTGTGCGTTTAAGCTATAAAATTATGCGTGATCATGGTTTCGCCGGGTCGTGGACCTGTCGACGCGCGGTTTGAGGACGAATCTAGGTAGGCCAACCACGTGCTTGTGCCCGGCTAGCTCTTTGGGGATAGCGGCGTACTGTAGCGCTAAGCACTTTAAGTTTAACGTCCGAGGCATTGTTCTCGCTATTTTGACTTACTCACTCGACAGCAGCCTATTACGCTGGCCTGGACGCCTAGCCCAGTTGAATAGTACTATACTTACTAGTAGTAGTTATATTACCAATCGCTATGATTTGACCATGGATAAGCTCTAGCATCGCCTGGTGAACCACTGTGTTACAAGGGGTTTCCACGTACCTTGTCACGAGAGCAACGAGTAGAGACGTCTGCGGCCTAGTAGTAGGCTGCAGATTGATATTACTGCGTGCGGTATCTACGTGTATGTACAAGACGTTGGATAAGGAGAGAAGGTCCTCTTCCCCTTAGTCAACGTGGATCTATCATCTTGCTTCGTCGCGTGCCCTTACCAAGGGTAGCTAGCGCCATGATTCGACCTCAGCTAGTAGACGGGTCACCCGTATGCTGTTCTATTGGCTGGCCGCCAGCGCGCGATATCTCTGAGATATACTACTGCCAGCAGTATATCCATGCTTGTCAGGTAGCCTGGGGTTACCGTGACATACCTAACCGTAGGTCCGGACCTTGCGGGTATTCAGTGATTTGAGCGTGAGAGATGGTGGTACCAAAGTGGGTTGTGTGAATACCCTATACCGTATGGTGATACGATATAACAAATAGCAAGAGAAGGCTGATGATTCATATAAAGATGAGGGGCTTCAATTTAGATATGAAGGTAAGCTTCCGAAGGTGACTACGAAGAATGGGAGATGTTTAGAGAATGTCCTTAACTATATACTAGTCGTCCCATCCTTCATTCTCCTAAGCTAACTTCGTTATCCCGGGATAATGGTCCCTTGGCAGGAGAATGATCACGTGACATCGGTCCTTGGCAATCCCGACAGATCAAGCCGTCTCTTTGTTGCTTACCATCGGCTTCATCTCTGGTCGCGTCATTTCCTGCCGACTCTCTGTTTGCGTTTCCTGTGATCGTAACAGACTGCTGTTGTGGCTTGTTTGTGGGAAGAGAAGGTGTACCTAATATCTATCCCACTAGCTAATATAACGCCTCATCCTCATCCCATCTTCACTAAACCCTAGTTGGAGGAAGACCTTGTACTTCTAGAACTCGTATCATAACGTGAAAATTCCCGTGTAGATCGAGGCGCCTAAAGCCTGATAAAAGGTATGAAGTTGAGTGTAAGTGTTTTGTATTGCTCAGGCGGGAAAACCTGCCTATATAGAGTTAGGCTAGTCGGTTGCACCTGCCAGGTGCCTGCGGAGTCTCCTTCCGTCAACAAAGCCTAGTCAACCGTGAAAGTACGCCCTTTCTCCAAGACGGGGACCCAAGACGGTACCTGGACACTATGTCCGCCCAAGTGGCGCTGAGCCAAGGCTGTCATTCCAGACGTACCGCGCCAGAAGTTGGACGGGGCCTATCCCATGGTTTCCTTCTCCGTGTACCGTGAGCTGCTATAGTACGACCTATAGTTGTTAGAACCCAAGGTATCCTATACCTCACCTCTCCGGTCACGGGATATCCATCGAGACAGGACGTAACCAGGGACGATTAGGCCCAAGCTAACAGTAGCTAGCTATAAAAGCTAGGAAGCTGTCGGATCTAGTCCGACAGCGATTCGTCTCTCCTACAATCTACTTTGGTTGCCTGTCTTGTACCTATCTACATTGCTTGCCTGTGAATCCTGACAATAGTTGTATAACTTCTCTAGGCGCACGGAAGAGGGCGACCATGAAGCACCGCCAATAATGATGTACTCTAGATACGCCATTCGCATTGTGTTGCCACTGCATAGATTTGACATATTGGACTTGTCTAAGGGATACGGTCTAATAAAATCTTTATTGACGAGCGCGAGCTCCTCTTTCACGCATAGGCAAGCTCTGGACGTCTAGGGAAGAAGCTCTTCAAGTATGGTCGGGGCCGAATTCACTAAAACTCAAGATCTCCGAGGACACGGCCACCCTACCCTGAGCTTGGCCATCGACTTCGGCACTGAGAACATCCGGTTAGGCGCGTCTCTACGCAAAACCACGGTAGAATTCAGCGCATGGAAGCTACACCACCTATTCTATGTGGACAAGAAATCGTGTGCATGTCCATGACTGGGCCGAACCACTACCACTGTTTCAATCTACTCAAGTCGAACTCCACAAGACGCCGACACAGTGTATAGCTTCGGGAAGCTGTTACCTATTCAAGCGCCAATCCAGTGCACTAACGAACACGGCCTGAAAAATATTGAATATATTATTATCCTACGTTATCTTGTCCGCCGTTGAAATCCTCCATCACATGCTTGAGGGCGGGAGGATTCACATCGGCATGGTTGACACATATCAATCCATCGCGAGTAGATGTCTCTTGCAGACGACACCGATTATTTTCGACGTTAATAACAACACCAAAGCATGTCAAAACCTGCTTTCATTCATCTAGGTCAAGGCATATGAATCTCTTGCACCAACTGGGGCACCACTGGAGTGAGCAAGGTTCCTTCTCGAGTACGGGAAACCCGCTTTTCCAGGTGCTAGCTACCGAACAGGCGGAGGCGTACCTTACTAGTGGAAGAAGTCGATCTCTATGGTAGGAGCTACACTGGTGTCCAGAACCTATTTGCCTCGCTCATGGCGCTATCTTGGGTGTGTATGAGGTAAAATCGCTCATATAATAATGGTGTTCCAGTAGCATAGGTAAGGGGATAAAGATGTAAGCTATAGAGAAGCATCCATACTAAGATAGGGAAAGCGAGTCTTGCTAAGGAGCGTATCGATACTAATGTTAGGGTGATTGGTCTTTCAGTTTTTCAACTTCGGTAGAAAAGCAACATCTTCACTGCCATCTCATATAGATAAGTGCCTCATAGTAGGTGCTGATCCCCCACGTGTTCAACACCGGTATACTAGACTCATTGTCCTGTCCCGGGAACATTACGCATTAATCAATATCACGCAGAAAGGACGACATTTTAAAGACGATAAGACATGAGGAGAAGATCTAGCATTAAACTATAGAAGGCTCAGTGGCGTCTTCTCCTTATATAGTACTTTCCATCTAGAACTATTTTTTTTAGCAGGCGTACAGCCACGGCTAGCATAATGATAGTTTGGGAGGACTCTCAGGCGATTGATAAATGAACTGGAGGCTGATGATGTTGGGGCTGCTGTTGAGGAGATCAAGTCTTTCCTGAGCTTGTTGTTACGAGGGTTTTCCACGTACCTGACCGTAGGTTCGGACCTTGCGGGTATTCAGTGATTCGAGCGTGAGGGATGGCGGTACCGAAGAGGTTGTATGAATCTCCTATACCGTACGATAGTACGATACAAGAAATATCAAGAGAACACTAATGGCTCCTACAAAGACGAGTGGCTTCAATTTAGATATGAAAGTAAGCTTTCGAAGTTGACTACTGTTAAATCTAGAAGGGTTAGCTAGTCATAAAGGTTAAGGTTGGTTCTCGGGCAAGACAACTGGGAGAAGGGAAGGGGTCTTGTTGATACGGAAGTATCTTGCGAAGTATAACGAGTCAACAATATGCCCTGAGTGTAATCCAAACGATAGATTGATAAACAGGTTGACCACGAGTACGAGAGCTCATACTCGGGTTCCTATATACTGAAGCTGATCAGTTCCCTGATCACCGTGATCAAGGTGATCAAGCCATGCTCAGTGATCAGTATGCAAGCTGTTCAGTATGATCAGTGGGCTTGGCGCACTCATCACTCTGATCAAGTCACGTGACCTGTGTAGCACTTGCGACACTGGTCGAGTTGCTGGTTACATGTGAGGTCCGGGTGACCTTTCATCCTGGATCCTAACAACTACGAAGAATTGGAAATGTCTAAAGAGTGTCCTACACTATATACCATTCTTCCCATCCTTCTTTGTCATCGTAGTCCCGCCAAGATACCGTAGTCCCAGGGACTTCGTCGATATGCGGGACTTCGTCACGTGACGTTGGTCCTTGTTTCTTCCGATGGGCGCTGCTGACCCCGGGTCCATTGTTGTAACCGTCAGCCTCATCTCCCGCCGCGTCATTCCCTGCTGGGTTCTCTTTGTTCTTTGCCGAGATTGTAACTTTTGTTCGGGTTGTAAGCCTCACTCGAAGTAATTGCGTAGCTAATCGCGACAGGAGATCTTTGGTCTTTTTCCATCTTATCTCTAAGGTGTGGGATTTTGCCATCCGGAAAGCATAAAGTAGATTGTTCTGATACCATAGTAGATGCGGAAACATCTTGGGTGAAGCCAATAGGATAGAAAGGATTCGCAATGATGTTGGGATCTCCAGTAACGTATAATAAAACAAGTACTTTAACTGGCTTCTTGTCGGGTAACTATGCTGTTAATAATTGCCAGTATTCTAGACCTCGAAGCCGACTTACAGAGATGCCCATAATGCAGCGACCCTATCTTTGCGTCGCGGTCCCTTTGAACACAGCCAGATATACATTTGAGTGGTTGTATCCACATGGTCCGCTGTTCCGGGTTCTGGGCTCTGGCGATGAGCGAATTGGTGCACGCTTGCTCTGCGACGAGACAAAGCTTTGCATTCTTTCGGTCCTAGGTCCACAGGTTGCAGGTCTGCCTGTCTTGGACGGCCAAGTCCGTCGACGACTCTAGGTCTTGCCACACTGGTAGCAGAACTCATGGTTATAGTGGCAGCTACGGCTCTGTTAGCAAAAGCCTCGAGATGAGGCGAGCTACTTACGTGATGTATATGCGACGACCGTGGGGTTACATTGCGGGTGAGGTCGCAAATAATGCATATATAGTGCTGCTGTGCTCCTACAGCACATAACCCTTCTCTAATCCTTTATTTTGGAGTCGCTGAAACCGGTGGGCTCCTGACGTCCTTGGCGGCAGGGCTTTTGGGAAATCAGACATGAGGTACCCCAGAACGCCATTAGCGAGTAGTCCTTCTCTTCCCGTTCTTGTGACTCCGCGAATGACTCGATGTCGTCACCTACGGGCTCCACGCACGGCGTGATCTTCCTCAGGGGCATAAACAACCCTATGGCTGTCTTGAAAAATCGAGGGCTTCTTTCTTTCCACTCCTAGTTTCGAAATACCAGCAGCGAGGAGGAGCGGAGGCCGTGGCTTGGTGCGATAGGATGACCATTCGCAAGTGTGTTGCAGTTGCACCCGATCGTCGAGGCATTCGTATATATATACTACCTGGTGCTATTAGGTAGTAGTTCGGATTATGGGTGATTCCGGGTGAGTCGAGGCGGGAAAAAAGCTACTCGCAGATTGCTACTCATGTGTACAAATTGCCAAAATCGGTATAAGTGCATGGTCTGGATGCGATCTGTCCGGGCTTAGAATCGACATCAAGGCCATGGTCGAGCGGAGCACAGAGTTAGACTATAGTGACGATGACGGCCACGCATGTGAGGATGAAGTTGAGGAGAGGAGCAGTTTTGGGAAGTAAGCTCCGCCGTCAATGGGCGTGGGCCTAAAGGAGGCTGGTGTAGCGACGAAAGAGCCGCTCGAAGTTCCCATGAGGAGGTTGCTGTGCTCGGGGCCGGCGCCTGTAAACAAGTCGGAACTGTCGCCGGTGAAAGAGTCTTCGAATGTGGGACCGTATGAGCGTATCACAATGGTTTTGTGGGGATATATATAGCCATACTCGACTTGGGGGAATGGGCGATGTAACTTTCAGTGCATGGAAGGTGCGATTCGTAATCTATGAAGCTCTAATTGGATTAGGTATTGGTGAGGCTGCATCTGGAGGAGTGCACTTGACTTGGTGGTGATTGGCGGTGCGTGGAAGTAGAGAAGACCGTAAAGGTACTGATGATGTATGCATATATAGGGAGGGCGAAGATCTTAAGGGTGTATCTGGTGGCCAATCAAGCACTTTGATTCAGTTCTGCGAGAGTAGTTGTAATTCGTAGGAGTAGTCGCAATTGTAGGAACCTTCGATTCTTCAGCATGAGCGCGGCGAGGTCTTGGTCGAACTGGTTGGCATTTTCCGTCATGTCTCTCATGTTCGCGTCTTCTCTATCGCATAAGCTCTTCTGCGCCTCAAGTGCTCTCTTCCCCGCCGCAAGACATCGCTTGACCTGATCTTTGCTAGATTCAAGTCGATCCATCTTGGCGTTCGCCTCCTTCCTCCCCGCGTCGTGAAATGGGTCTCAAGATTTGCCAGGGGGCTCGATGGCGGTTTCCTCGCTGGGTCTGGCGAACAACGGCGATGATAAATCATGTCGATCGCGTAGCGTATTCAGACGTCTAGGTGGCGGATCCGGGATGGAAAGTACAGCTCGAGACTGTCGATAGTGACAGACCCTTCGCACGTCCCAAGGAGAGCATTGCGAATGTATTCAGAGTGCGCAATCACAGAAGGCTCTAGCTCCTGGACTGGGGAAACATGAATGCATCTTCGCGTGCTTCGCCTCCCTGACTCGAGCTTGTCCAGGACGTCATGTTGTCGTCCACTATGGAAAGCTCGAAAAGCTTGGAGAGTAACCGCTTCAAGAGAGTGCCATTATTGTCGGAGGGAGAGTAGCCGACTTGTATATATATATATATAGAGAGAGAGAGAGAGAGAGAGAGATTGTTGGTGACTGGGGGGTGTGCTCGTGATGCTGGGGCTCATCGGCACCGGCATAGGAGGATGAGGGATGCGCCCTAGGTCGCCATGGTCGGCGGTAGCACTGCGACGTGCTTCGGACGTGAGGTGACGTCGATAGATCGGTGGATCTCTCCGGGGTGTCTTCCGATAGTAGGCGAATCCGTGCTCGACCTTAGCCCGAATGAACATGTCGCATCATCTGCCGGTAGAAGTGTTTGGCTTCAGCTAACATACCTTCTACATCTTTCTCGCGGCGCCAGTGGTGCCGCAACGGACCAGATGTCACTCACTGATGCGTGCCGAAGATAAGGGCTAGCAGCTCGAACCGTTTTCAGATGTGCTGTCTCGAAGGCGCAAACGGAGAAGCGCATTAACGCGATTCAGAGAGGCGGAATTCGGAGGACATGGTCAGTCAAGACGGGGAGTATTCAACGCCTCCAGCTGCCTATGGCTTTGGAGGTTGCTGAGGTCTCGTCGCTGTGTCCCACGTCCTCAAAGGCCATCTCTTGTGCATTCATCCCACGTTCTGTTCCTGACCCGAAGACGCATGCTGAACATGCTGCCACCAGATTGACACCCTCCATCGACATGTCTACTACAAGCATTAGCTGGGAAAACGTAGAGGGGAACTGGACTGCTTGCCTTTGGCGACTGCTGTATATATATATATATATACGAGAACCGGAGGGGGTTCTCGTCGCGTTCCTGAGTTGGTTCATCTCATGCGAGACTATCCAGGAGACACCACGGGGAGGTGCAGGAGCCGGCTTCATCTCCCATCCATCTCTTTCACAAAGTCGCATCGCCTCAACCACGGCTCACTCTTTTTTCCTTTCCATCATTTCCGTGTCCATCCTGTCCGGGTCCAGTTTTCTGAGTTCCTCCTATCGTCTGACGAGGATCATGGTCGAATCAGTGCATCATCTGCGACGGGCTCGCTGCTTCGACCGGCAATGCGACGTGCACGTAGTGGCGAGACTTGGTTGGAAGTCTGCATGTGTCGCCGTTGCAAGCACGCTGGCGTATGGAGCAGCACGGCATGACGTGAAGCCGACAGATCCCAGTGCCGTCTTGTGGGTGCTTGGAAGGTTTCCGTGGTGTTGCTGTAGTCCTCCTCCCAAAATTACCTTGCACATTGGAGATGTCGTCCGAATCCTGATGTATATATAGACCAGATGTTTCAATCTGGTGGAGTCGAGTTCTCCAAGAAAACAGGATCCAGTACCATTCGGCACTGGTACCAACACGAATCACACCGACATGGCATTGCTCAGTCGATGATGTCAGCTATATATATAGTACCCATGTCGTAGGGTAGAGGCAATGGGATCTCAAGATGGGTCCTTCGTGTCGTACGGTGCGTGGTGTGCGGTGCGTGACGCGGGCGACAGTGTGCCGTAGCGCGTTGACTGTATTATGGCTGGGCTTCCCATGGCATACAAGTCTTCGAGCGCTTCGCGGGTAGAGAGTCGGTTGTGCTCGTCCAAAGTTAGGTCATTGTGGGAGGATCCGGTTGCGACACTTCCCTCCCCAGCCCAACATGTCCCACCGTGAAGCACGGGTCGCCTGGCCGCCAAAAGGGTGTATCGACAAGTCAGCAAGCAGTGAGCAGAAGTCCAGGAAAAACTCATCAGCGAGTCCCCGCGATCCCCACACTCCTCTGGGTTGACCGGAGCCTCAAATTCGGTGCGGGGATGAAACGGCATTCTGGTTCCGTAAGATTCTAGTCCAGAGGCGTTGCTGCAGTTCTGCGCGGGCGTGTACCACAAGGTGAGTGAGGAGACGATGGTGTTAGCAGACCCGGGCACGCCCATCTGGATTGTGGTCGACACGTTGTGTAGGGAGTTGTATATATATAGGAGGTGTGAGCTGATACTCATCTTCCCGTGGGGTTGCGTGTCCCTCTCCTTCCTGAGCGGTCGTCTGTGGCGAAGTCCTTGTCCACTTCCAAAAAGTTCTGCGAGCTCGTAGCAATACATTTACCGGGAAAGGCGGATGATGGGTCACTGTCGGAGGCTTCGATGGCCTTGGTCTCTGTGCAAGGGCGCGATAGATTCCACTCGCACGGTTCTGTTGTGAGCGATCAGGTTGAAGGACGAAGTCAACACATCGAGGGTGATCGCGTCGCTCCCTTTCCGACAGATCCTAAGCATCGCTCCGCGGCAGCCTCAGTCCATGTTGATATTGAGCGCAATGGGATATTTAGCGCTTCAGTCGTATATAAGTCCATGGGGTGAGAATGTAGCCTACGAATGCTCATCTCTTGCAGCTCCTTCGTTGTGGCCAGGTCTCGCAGCAACGGAACACAGCAGTTGACGTATCGTCGCGAATGGTACTCTTCGTCAACATTTTCTGCGACAGACGGTGTTTGTGGTCCTCCAATACGCTGGATTCCGGCACTCGGAGAACGGGTCTTACCCGGCGTAGCCTCGTGTCCAGCAAGGTCGAAAGTTGTTGTTCCACAGACAGACGACGCCATCGGCAGTTCGAAGAGATCAAAATCAGATCCAGGTATATATATAACGCGCATAGAAATTGGAATGCGCAGAGACATTGCTGGCCAATAAGGCTTTTGAAGATGGTGGCTATTCCGCATTCATGCCGTCATAGTCTCTAGAGGAAGCAGCAGCAAAGCAATTGGGCGAGGGCCTTTGCGAGGACCAGACTGGGCGCCGTGGCCACAATAGGGGATGGTCTGCAGGAGGTTCTCGGTCGTGGAGGAATCTTTGGCAAGATGATCCTTCTTTGGAGGCAATGGCGAGTGTACTTCAACTACGCATGGCACGACTCAGTCGGAATTCGAATGAGATCGACTCATATTTTGGCATATATAGAACCTCGCACAAAGCAGCACTCGGTCGTATTAGGTGCACGCGTAGTATTGACATCCGCAAAGGATGCCAAGAGTTTCCTGAGCATGTTAGAACGGCCTATGAGCGTATCGAATGAACACAATTTACCCTGCAATTTCCTGCAGCCCCTGAACATGTCGAAAGCAACCTTGCAATATTTCCAGGGTACCGAGGAACAAACAAGTCATAGGCGTGTTGATGTCATGTCCGGCAACGTCGGTAGGACCGCCGCCTAGGGAATTAGCATGTTTCGGATCTCCGTCTCCCTCTGCCTCATGCTAATGCTGCCGGGGGCTGCGGTGGAGGCATCGGCGTGAGAGATGGTGAAGATGACGAGGACGAAGGGATGTGGTTCCGGTGACAACGTTGGAGGACGACTGTACGGAGTTCGAAGGCTGAGTCTTCTGAGTTATTAGACGAAATGAGATGGAAATCACCTGAGCATGTGCTGTTGTTCCAGTAGCGCTTAGCACTGTGGAGACATCGACGGGAAGCACCATGCTCCCTTGTGGGTGTCGATGCAGGGCTCAAACTCCGTGCTTCATTATCTCAAGGGGGTTAGCATCTCTTTTTCAAAGCCAGTGCAGCATGGAGGACTTACGCGAGCATTAGACAAGAAGCAAAAGTGCCACGCAAGCATCGTGCAAGGAGGAAAGGATTGCACATGAAGACACACACTACATGAAGATGGGCTTCCGACCCTCCCAACATATCGGTGGGAGTGGGAGAGTCGGAAGGGCAATTTCGTTGCGACGGAGGTAGGTCTGTCTAACTTGTCGAGAAGAATGATGGGGGGATGGAGGTTCTTCTACGCGGTTAGGAGAGCTCGGCCAGGAGAAGCCAGAAGTGATGGACTGACCGAAGTTTGTGTCTGTCGAAGAGATGTCTTTGATTGGAACAGTGGCTTGCCGTGCAATCCAAGCGCTGGGTCTCAACCAAGCGGACGCTTCACCTCCTTCCGGTACCATGACGGCGGCGTGCACCTATGCGCCTTCCCGTCCCATAAAAACTGGTCCAGATCCGGAAATCCCTCATTGCCCAGTGCGGGCCGGTGGGTCCAATTTGCGTAATGGGTAACTTCACAAACAGTGATTCGGGTTACGGATGGCGCGGATCCAGGTTTGCTGCCCGAAGTGACGGCGGCGCTTGATAGCGACAGGGAGTGGATATAGTTGGTGAGTCGTGTGGATTGGCCTCTTGTGATTCAGGGCGTGATGATGCAGAATTGTGCCAGTGAGCAAATTATGAGGCTGCCATATCAACGTTACCGGCATGGCGCAAGCAGTTTTGTGAACATTTTGCAGACGATTAGTGAGTGAGGGAAGTTTGCACGACCATGGCAGCACATCACATGACGGTAAGGGTCCCAAAGGCCGCCGTAGCCATGGCTTGTATCTTGGTGGGGAAGGTATGCATTGGATGGGCTCGGCTTGTAAACAGAGGAAAAAGCCGTCTCTACTAGAAGCGTTAGCACCTGCACCTGCACGTGCCTATGGATTGGGCTCATTCTGGGGCTTTGCGACGCAGCAACGAAGGCAACGTTTTCCTCTCAGCGGCCTGCAACTGCAGTCACTTCCCAGGCTCATTCTGGATGCCAGAAGCACTCTCCCGGCAAGTTTGATTTGCGCGAGCATTGGCACTTGGACACGAGCCCCTGGGTCCAGCCTCGCGTGCCAGCCACGTGTTGATTGTGCGAGCCTCACAACATGCCACCGGAATGCCCTTGAAGCAGAGCAAAGGGAGGCTGTGTCAAATTGAAAACTGAACCCGACCCGGCTGTCAGGCTTGTGTTGGTGCAAATTCGGCAACGTTGCGCCGTTTGCCGCCACAGGACAAAGAAAAGCAATCGTCCCGAATAGCAACACACTCGGACATCACTCGCACCGGCTGGGCGGTAGCCGCGGCCTGGAATAAAGCACCAAGTCACAGTCACCGCAGAGGACGGGTCGATTTGACAAGCGTCGATGGGCGCGGGTCTCGCAACGAATTCAGGGGTGCGCCTTTTTGTTGCCGTGGCGTTTATGGCTGCATGGCCCCCAGCTGCACACAGGTGTACGACGCCAAAAGCAGTTCCCTGTCGGACTTGAGATTTGCGCGAGTGGAGAGCACTGTCCTGTCGCGCTTAAGAGCGCGTGCTCAGATGGTCGATCCAGAGGTGGCCAGATCAGACGGCAGCAAATGAATGTCCCGCGCTGGCTGACCACTGTCTAGCGACGTGCAGGCAAGGGTCCCGTTTCTCGCCGCGGCGTACGCAGCGCTCCGCCGCATGTCCGTTGCCTGCATCTGTATAGGCTGCATAAATGCGCGCCCAACTCGCCAATGTGAGTGCAGCGCCGAGACGCAGGAGACCGACTCGAATAGGCACGGGCAGACACCGCAGAGGTGGCCCTCCGTACCCTGACTGGATATAGGAAGCCAAACCAACAACCCCACCAGCCAGCTCGTATCTCGGAACTGCGTGAAAACATCCGCAACTTTACAGCATTCGCTGCCGGTCCTACGGACAATATCAGCGGGCTACCGCTAGGTGATAACCCTCGTGCACGAATGTTGAAACAGGTATTGGAGAATGTGGACGAACAGCATGCCAGTAACCCTGGTTTCCCGCACGGCCGCCAAGCGCAGGAATACGTTCAAGCATAGCGGCCGCAATTTGGCCGACGGCCAAACCCCATACTTCTTTAACAACCCACTCCAGTCGATCACTGTTCGGGATTGCAAGCAGATGCGCGTGGGCGCTATCTCGAAGAGCACTATGGCGTGGCGGCGATCCACCGGAGTGGGGGACGCTGATAAAGATGAGCATGCGGACGATGGTGAGGATGGTGGGGGTACCGCTGCGGAAGGGATGCAGCCGAGTGGGCGGATGCTAACATGCTGGTGCCAGACACCACCGCCGCGCTCCGCCGGAAAAGTCCCCAGGCGTCACTCAGCGGGAACGTGGACATGGACGGAGGTGACGCCACCAACGATTTTCTTTACCTTGACGTAGATACCAATCCACTATATGGAATACATCATTATCGATGCTTAGCGTTTTCGCTCTGTGTTGGCGTGAGGTGGGACTGCGATCCAGCTCACGTGCTCTACCAATGTCATGATCTACTTGGTGCCGACGGCGCGGCAATCGATCGGTGGCGGACGAAGGCGCGCGTTTTCGCCGTACATGCGCAGGGCGGTCATCATTTGTGCGCGTGCTCTGGCAGGGAGCGGGCACTCGGGGTATTACCGGTGGCTGCTCTGCGCAGGGACGGACCAAGGTCGCGTCTGTGGTACTTTGTGTTGTGTCGATAGCAGAAGATGGACGTCCAATCATACATGGATCTAATCTATTTACTGTTAATTCTCTCTTACCCTGTGCCATCAAGCTTTTGGTGCTTGTATTATAGGAGGCGTCGCAATGTGGCTGAATGCGACCATGGCTCTTCTAAAAAAGCATGAGCACGTTGTGATTCCCGGGTGCCCCCGCTCACTGACCATGTAAAGTTAGGAGATCTGACTCTTGCTCAAGTCAGTCCAATTCATGTGGCTGCTGTCCTTCGTCGCGCAGGCGTCAAATAATCATCGTCGCTTTTGTAACGAGCAGATCGCGAAGTTCGTTATGGTGTTGTGGCATATTGCGCTAAGGCCTGATAGGGTCCTAGCGTGCTAAGCGAGTTGGCTGCGCATAACCCACGCCGCACACCGGCTTCAGGGAAGTCAAGTATTATTCACTCAATGCCATCGAGTCATCCTTTCACTATCAATCCTAGCGTGAAGCAAACACTATTGCCTATAGCTAGACCTTGCAGCTTTAGCACCCCTCTACCACTCCTCTGCATAACCCTAGGGTATTAGTTACCATTGAGAAGGATGGAATGAATAACAAAAAGGGGTTGAGAGGCTCTGGGACAGGCATTTGGTAGATGGTGGCTGATCAGGGGCAGCCTAGAGCCGCGAAGGCGGTCATGTGGAAGAGACCGCAGTCGTCAGCGCGAACCATTTCCGCCACCGCAGCAACCATTCCTGAAAAGTTGCCGTTATAAATACCAAAAGTAGATGAATCTGGTCAATCACGAGATGGCCAACGTAAAGCCTACGTGAAATCGTTCCGGGCGGCTTGTTGTTCCAGCCTGGGGTGAGCGGGGCTCATGGGCTCTTCTAGTTTGGTCAGTGTTTCTACGTGGAGGATTTGAAGAAGTACAGGCGCGAGATTCTGCGAACATAAGGTCCGTTGGTGTTTGGGCTAGGCAATTTAAGGTCTAACTCCTTCCACTATAGCTCTATACATGGATGCGCTAGGTTTATTATCGTAATTAACGTACGCGTTGGTGGTATATCCAGCCGGGCTGAGTAGGCTACGAGAGTCTTATACTACACCATTGATGCATCCTACATCCTTGCGTAGCGCCCGGGGCAGATTTATCTAATTCCAAATGAACGTCGAGGTTGATGGATGAATCTACCTGTTAAGTTAGACGACTTCGATGCTCGACTCCTAGCACTGCGCCATCTGTAACGATTGGTCCTCCAATATCTTACGTCGTCACTGATTACATACCACATCCCGCATAATTAGCATATACCACAATTAGATTGAACAGCCTAGCTAGAAGCTGCTGGCTGAACTCGAGTCCAAACGATATGCTATCCCTCCAAAGCTCCGCATCCAGCCTCTACGCAGAGCCCTCGATCAGAACCGCACAAAACAGTCTTTCCCCGACTCGCTATTGAAGCGTATATCTGACGCTGCAAATTTTCAATTTCATCGCAGTTGGCCTTAATTAATGATAACGGCTGGTCTCTACCGAGGGAAATGCCCGGGGAGATGCCTAGCAACGAATGGATGGGCTGAGGCTTACTCTCCTAGCTAGCTTGAAACGTCAGTTACCTACCGAGCAAACTATTCGCAAAGTTCGTTAATTACACGAGAGTAAGCCATTGAAGCGTCAAAATCCTAAAGCGAGGTAGGTTAGAACCCTGGGTATTCTGCACCTCATCTTCCCGGTCACGGGATATCCGTCGAGACAAGGCGTAGCCCGGGACGATTAGGTCCAAACTAGCAGTAGCTAGCTATAAAGGCTAGGGAGCGGTCGGATCTAGTCCGACAGCGATTTGTCTCTTCTATAATCTACTTTGGTTGTCCGTCTTGCACCTATCTACATTGCTTGCTTGTGAATCCTGACAATGCACTGCCCGCGGCAGGTTGAATCTTCTTGTCACTGCGACATACGCAATGATTGCTCAGCGTGAGCGTCCCCTAATGTTAAGTAAATCGCCAGACGACAGAAGGAGTAGGGCAAGGACGCCCACTGTTCCCACATATGCTCCTCCTCGCAGGTTCAGACTTGGGCCGATGAATGGGGATACATGCAAGCCCCTAGACAACAGCGGATTGACTATATCGCCACGGCGTCTTCCAGACTACACTATACCTTAACCACCACAGCAACTACAAAGCCAGTCTCTGCACTTCTTCCTTCTACGTCCGTTTGATGATTAGTTAGTCTGCGCTTGGACCTTCTACAACTCTATATTGATAACATCTCGTCCGATGAGGAACCCTAATCTGTGAGGCCAACGTTGCGGTTGGGACGCGACTCCGATGCTACCTTGATCGACCACCGTCCCGTCTCGCGGCGACCAACTATACCGCATGGTGGGAGCCCTGTGTGCCTCCTCTTCCCACGAACGGGAAGGAGAGAATCGACGACGGCGAGCATTTCGACGCCTCCAAACGCAAAGGTGAGGTAAGCTCATACAATGCAGTTAAACTGTACTTGACTGACCCTCTGCAGGACAAGACCACCGGGAACGAGGAGCCCGGTACCGACTTCGGCCCCCAAATTCCGCGATGACCAGTGACGCGAGCGAAAATACCCTAATCTCACCGCCCTCTTGCACCCTACGTCTCCACCCTACGAGGATTCCTCCCTCTCCCCAAGCAAGGAATCAAGTACCAAGTCCAACGCTCCTCCTATTCACAGGGGCTTCGAGCAGATGACCCTATAAGAGAATACCCTGGCGGTGCAAGAGGAGCAGATCACCACCATTACGACCAAGTCCTAGAGTCTCTTCGAGATCAACACGGACCAGGGCCCAAACACTATCCGCGCTAGGTTAGCAAGTCACGCAAAAACTGGCAGCGGAGGGCGTTCGAAAATTGGATTAGCGCTTTGGAAGGGTGGTTGGGTGGCGAAAAGAAGCGCTGACGAAGGGGGATGCGAGGTGCGACGGGGTGATGGGAGTGGTGGTTCATGCATTATGTACCAAGCGGCGCCAGTCATAGCTTTGGGAAGGCCCCATCCACGGCTGCACCTACGCGCAGTGGTTTATTGCAACGTTCTTCAGTGGCTCCCTCTTTCCTGTCTCTTATGGATAGGAGATTGAAGCCGTCGTGTCGTGGTTTCCTGCCCTGTGATCGAGTCCAGGACCTGGATCGGTGCAAAGACACTGAACTAGGAAGATAGAAACACCCAATGCTAGGCTAGATTATCAGCGTGAGCCGACCAAGTAAAAGGTTGAACCTTTGTTGCTTTGGTGTAGCGCCAATACCTCTTGCGGCTCTTACTAACGGTTTCCGCTGCTGTGCTGGCGTTAAGAGAAGAAATATGGGAGAGACCAATCACTACAAGATTTGAGTTAGAGGTGTTGAACCCAAGTTACATGAACCCGTCCCAGTGTCTCGCAAAGACGCAGTCTCAGTATCTGCTCCAAACGCTATAAATTAGACTAATGTACAGAGTAGAAGGTTTCCAAAAGAGTTCCAAATCTACAGCTAACTATGTGGCCGCCATATGGTCGTCAAATTCTTCGCGGACCTTGGAGATTAGAAGAGTCACACGGCACCGCTTCCACCATCGAGGGAGTGGGCGCCCTGGAAACTCTGAGAGCAGTCGCTGCCCCAGCCAGCATCAGCATCAAATCATTCTATATGTGTGAGAACGCTTTCACTGTTCAATCTCGACTTTCTCCATCGCTCCATAGTCCTTCGTGGTTTCTTCTCAAACCAGAGGCTCCTTGATGCCTTGAGACTCGGTGGCATGTTTCAGGAAAACCTGCTTGACCATGCAGCCACAAGGATGCAAATAGATAGGGTTCGAAGGGACGTTGAGCACTGCTGACACGATGGCGGCGGTTATTTGGTGGTGGAAACCCCCAGCTTGGGGTCCTGTGCGACGGCCGAGGCCGCGAAGGCCCAGAAAAAGGTGGTCGCAACGCGTTCATCGCAAGAATTTTGAGCACTACATCTTTGTTCTCGTTGTCAACGTTAGACGATGGACTCGACGCGTGAGCTAGCGAGTAAGAAATGGAGGTAGTCAGTGAGTTCCTCGAAACGCAGGATACCGCGACAATGCGGGCATTTCGCGATGTGGTGCTCGTTGCCAACTTGAATGGCTGTAGGAGGGATGAATGAGCTTTTCAAGGCATTCGCCGCAAGCGGGGGGTCTAAACGGGATACAGTTGATGGAGGTGCGCAAGGCGGGCTCGTATCCGTATCTCTGGCCTTTCCAGCTCATCGACAGCAGCTTCGCCTGCGACGCTCAGCCATATACTTCCGACGGCTGATGATGCTATGTTTGATTGTGCCGCGCGCGTCCAAGTTGCAACGAGAGGAGTGGCCAGAACAACGAAAGTGAGGTTTGGCGGCAGAAACTCTCCCGACGGGATCATGAAAGGAAACGCGGGCTGGAAACGTGCATCGCCGCTCCTCTACGTCGGCACCTCTTCGGCGGCAATGACTAATCAGTGATGACTAAGTGATGACGACTGATCTAGGCGGCGACTGATTGGCTCAAGCAGTGATGACTCATCTCCGCCAAGCACTCGGCCTCGACGGTCCAGCCACCGCCTTTCCTTCATCACCACCTGCCCTCGCACCGCGTCCACCGTCGCCGTCCATCTCGTCCATCTCCCACAACACTCGCCCATCTCCCATACCACCCGCCCATCTCGGCCACCCCCTTTGCACCACGGCCGACGTCCCCGCGCGCCCCAGGCCTCGTTTAGTCTCCGCGCCGTCCCGATGCCCTAGTTCACCACACCATCCTTGCGCACCACAAGGCCTCGACGCAGCGCACGCGCAGCACCGTCGGGGGGTGCGCTCTACTGGGCCGGGCAGCGCGCACACGGCGAGACTGGAGCGGGCGGCCACGGCGCGACAGAGCCAGGGTTGCTCTCTGCCACACAATCAAAACCCGGGTGGGCGGGCATCCCAGTGCGCTGTAGCATAGCAGCACCGGGGGCATTTGGTAGGTAGCAGAGCAAGCAGCACGGGGTAGCTCATGTACGGTAGATAGAATACATCATGTCCACACTCTTCCGCAAGGGCGGCATCCCCGCACTCGTTTCGTCGCCGTTCGACCACGCGTCGCCGTGCCGTGGCACCCTCGTCATCCTCGTCAATGAGCGCGCGCGGCTGGCGACGGTCGAGCTGCAGTTTGAGCTCGCCGCGCAGGGCTGCAACGCCGAGCAGCGGATGCGCTTCGTCTACGATGCGGACAACTTCGAGCCCGGCACGACCACGGTGAGCGATGCGCCGCTCGCGGGCAGAGGCGATCGCGCGGTGCAGCTGGCGCAGATAGCCCGCCCGCGGGGCGGCAAGCTGAAGGCGCTGGGCCTTGTTCTCAAGCAGCCCTGCGTCGTGCTGTCGCCCGCGGCGGGACCTCTGTCCGCCAACGACGCCGGCCCGCGCTTCGAGCAGCTGGCCGCGCTGGCCAGGGCGACGCGCGTCGACATCGTCTTCGACTACGCCTGGCTGCATCCGGACAAGCGGGCGCAGTTTGAGTGTCTTGTGGGCAGCTCAGGCCTGACGGGCTTTCCTCGCCGCAGCGGCGCAGTCGAGGCAGACTGGACCGTCTTCGGCGAGCGCGACCCCCCGCGGTACGAAGAGTCGCTGAAGCGGCCACGGCAGTGTACGTATCCAGCACCCACGGCTCGTCTCCAGCCATCTTGCTCACGCCAGCAGCACCCTCGACCCCGCCCCAGGCGCCGCGCCCGAAGCGCCTCCTCCTCGACGACGCGAACGCCGACATCGACCCCGGCTCGCCAACCGAAAAGGCCACCACCGACCCGTCCTCGCCGCCCGCCCCGCCCGATCCACTCCAAGCCGCCGAGACCGCCATGGCGAAGCTCCTCCCCTCCGCCCTGCGCGACGTCCTGCCCGAAATCCTCGCCGACGTCCTCCCCGGCATCCTCACAAACATGTTCGCTGCACCAACACCCACACCCTCCTTGGCACACCCGTCCACGCCACCCCCAGGTCCGCCGAACCCCCTTTCCCCGCTCCACCGCGTCATCCGCGCCCGCCTGCACTCCACCGCGGCCACCGTCGCCGAGCAGATTAGCGCCGAGTCCTACGCGCACGCGCTGGAAGCCCGCGACCACGCGGACCTCGCGCTGGACGAGCAGCTTGAGGACCAGCGCCTCGAATTCGCAATGCTCAAGGAGGACCAGCTGATGGAGATGCGGAGGTTGTGTGATGAGCGGCTAGAGGACATGGAGGGGCGGTGCGCAGACATGGTGGCAAGTGTGGAGGGTGAGTGCGGGGAGGCGTATACCACGGCGAAGGAGAGGATCAGCGAGTTGGTGGGGGAGCTGAGGGGGGTGCTCGTGAGGGAGAGGCTGGGGGTCCGGGCAGGGGTTGGGCTTGGGACTAGGACGAGGGCGGCGAGTGTGCCGCTGGACGTGCGCTGGTGAGGGCACACCAACGTGATCACCTTCTGCCCCCTAGCTGTAACAGGAACGCAGTCTGGTCTGGTAATCACGCTCACCAAGGCCGCCGCCCAGGAGAGTGGTCGAAAGGACCAGACGGCAACACGAGCGTAACCGGCAATACCAAAGCAAGCGGCAGACAACCCAGCGGTATCTGGCCATGGCACAATCTCCTGTCCCCCACTGTACGAACAAGGTACTGTCGTGCGAGGTAGCATTGTCCCCGCGTGCGAAGGGTCCCGAGACAGCGGACGAAAACAGACACAATGTTTTTGTCCGACTTGTCGTCTACAGCATCTGCCCGCTTTACGCCCACGTAGATGCACGTCTCGCCTGCGCACAATGCGCCTGCGAGAACTTCTCAGTACGGGGCCGTGGGACTGTACGTTCGAGATGGTCAAGGCGACACAGCGGGACTTGCAAAGACGGAGCGCAGGCAACGCTGCGGAGTAAGAGCCAACGACAATTCCATTGAAAGAAAAGTAGAGGGCCAAATGTGAAGGAAGAAATTACATGCGCTAACCTGAACCCGACTCCGTCCTAATGCAGATGCAAATCGTCGTGATGTACATGTTTCGTGACTCGTGAAAGGAATAGCTATGTCATTGCTCCCACGCTACGCGATTGAATCAAAGCCACTGCAGTCAGACCGCCTGCAAGCGCACAACAGGGTCATGACGGTCCTCGCTGCGATCATGGCGATGCATCGGTGTGCTCAGGCGAGCCCTTTCTCCTTGGGCGGAGGGTAAGGAAGAACGCACATGTACGCCAATATGTTGAGCCAGTTCTCTTCCACCTTGGGGCCCTCTCCGCAAAACTCGGAGTTGTTGATACACTGGAGCCTGGCGAAATTGATGACGGTGGAGCTGTTCTGCTGAGGATCGGAAGGGACGCTGATCTCGGCTTCGTGAACGCGGATCTGTGTGCTGGTGAAGTTGGCGATGGTGATCTAAGTTTGTGTCAGCTGACTTGAGCCTGAAGCAAGTGATAGGGACATGCTGTCAACCTGCTCCTCTAGGGATGCGGGTACTTGTGGCCTTGCCTGTATGCGTGATTGCATTCGGCATGGTTGAGATACACCTGGCGGTGAAGGAGAGCGAGGATTGAGAAGATTTTGCTTGAAAGGAGGTCCTGATCAAGTGCACCCACCTGGACGAAATCGGTCAGAGTGCAGGCGAGGATGTCAGACTCGTCGCCATGAGGGCTATGGACGGCAAGCAGTTCCTAATCAGCGCTCCTGGAAAACGCAAGGATGCGGCGTTCGGCGAAATCGGCTGCGACAGGCATCTAAATCAATGGCAGTAATAAGAATGAGTGCAGAGTGATTGGTGCGCTTCGGCAGAAGTTGCAGGCTTCGACTGCAATGTCATAGAACTTGTGGCCCGTGACATAGGGATTGCGGTCTGTTATGGTGTGTTCCTCGATAGCCCGGACAAGGCCAACGTCATACAGCGCCGTGGAAAACTGCGACCTTCCGGATGGGATTGAATCCAATGGCGCAGTCGTAATCGGTGGCTCCATGTTCCAGGTGACGTCGTGAGCACTGAAATCTCCGGACTCGGGGGACACTTCACTGCTTTCCATCGCTTCGATCATGGCAACGATTCGCCGGCCGCTGATTGCGATGGATGCTAGGTGCGCCTTGGCATCGCGGATGGCAGCGACAGCCTCGGGAGCAGGTTCAGTAGCAGACTTTGTGTCAGCCTCGGTGACGATATTGACCTCGGCGGGCGTTCCGGAAGTCTTGGCCCCGCCTGGCGTTATGACTGTAGCTGTGGTAAGCCCAATGCGTGTGGGCTTGCGCGGGGTTGTGGCGTGGTCGTGCCCATTTCCGGTTACGTTACCGCTAATTTTCTACAAAGCGGCATGTCGTGGTGGAGAGATGCAAGGTCAGATATGCCACGACAGGGCGAGCGTGATGTTGTGGTGCAAAAGTCGGTGCCCCTGTGTTGACGGGCGATCAACAGAGCAGGTGAGGCGCGTTCGCCTTGAGGATATCACTACGCAGTTCGTACTAGCGTCGATTGGCCCCATCAGTGATCAAGTATGCTCCGAGCGAAACTTCGTCGACCAGGTCTCTATCGTAGCCGCCGTGATTGAGCATGAGGAAGCGCCCGCCTCAGCGCCCTTCGTCGTTCGATGATGTTGTGAGCGCCCTTGAATACCACAAAGACAAGCTAGGTCGGCTGGGAGATCTGAGTGACCATACAGCATGGTCACCGTCCAAGATTACACGCTTGCAAAGCCTCCACTTGCGGGGCATCTACCCGTCCGATCATGACCGTAGCAAAACTGCAGATATGCTCGACGGCGCTGGGGCGCTGACGCATAGTTGTACCTCTTTTAGGCAGTGTGCCAGCAAATGAGAATCTTCAGGTTTGGTCAACCCTTTCCGCGACTTCTTGGCAAGAAGCAAAACAAACACGTGCATAGGGCACCCCGGGACGGAGGCGGTTGTGTTTGTATGAGTTCGGGCGAAAGGGGTGTCGTTTACTATACCGAGGTCAAACCGTATCGGCGAGATCTGCCGTGAGCCCGAGGAAGGAAGATTGCCATGCAAGAGATGGCTACGCTGGTGGTAGCCGTGTACAAATGATACGGGCTTCGCGGCGCTAACAAGAAGAGCAAAATGGTTTGTGATAAGAATGGCGTATACCATCCATTGATGTTGTCTTACGATGGAGACGTGATTTGGTTGGTGGAAAGGGCGTTTAATAAAACGTTTCTCGCCTACATCAGTAATAGCGAGTCGCATCCTCTTGAGCATATTACCGGAGATGCTTGCGCAAAGTTCTTCCAATGAGGTCCTTTCCGCCAGCACATATTCGAGGAAGCGGAGAAAGCTGTGGATTACATTTCTGGATTGCAAGTCAGTGCAGTCACAAACAACAATGATGGATTAGTGATACGACGCTTGAGACCGGTCGACCATCTGTCAATAGACCAGTACGCACGAGACCCAGAAGAGCCTACCCCTTCGAGCCTGGAATCCTTTTACAAAGCGCTTCGGCGACTTAGTAGGGTCGCATCTTGGACTCCCGTCAAGGCGACTGGATGATAGCTGAAATACGAGCGGTATGCCACTCGATGCAGTAGGTGAGCCCTCGGAAAACAGATTCTCGCCTTCGATGGATGCACTGCTGCCACAGACGCCGAAGAGTATTATTAGAATCAAGAACAATATGAGTATCTTGATGGCTAATATGCCTCGGCCGAAGTTGCCCAACTCATGGATTATGGCGAGCTCATCCAAGCTGCCCGATGTTAGAACCCTGGGTATCCTGTACCTCACCTCTCCGGTCACGGGATATCCGTCGAGATAGGGCGTAGCCCGAGACGATTAGGTCCAAGCTAACAGTAGCTAGCTATCAAGGCTAGGAAGCTATCGGATCTAGTCCGACAGCGATTCGTCTCTCCTACAATCTACTTTGGTTGCCCGTCTTGTATCTATCTACATTGCTTGCCTTTGAATCCTGACACCCGATGCATAGGAAACGAAAGATGTGGGTCTACGCTACTTACCTATCATAGAAGCACTTCTGGTCCAGCACAAGGTCGTATCGGCTCGTAGGTACCGACTTCTCATAGAAGCTCAAGTCCAACTTCCTTTCGCCCCGTTCGTGCCAAAGACACCCTCCTATTCTCTCCGTCCCTGTGGTGCCGTACTTACCTAAATAACGTGCCCCACAACAGTACCCAACCCGCAAGACTATGGCTATTTTTCTTCCCTCGCTACCTAGCTACTTTGCTCTTCCTGCATCGTGTGTTTGTTATCAGCCTTATCAAAAGATTGGCACCTATCCTCGTATTTTTACTGCACTTTCTGTCTCTTTCTACCGTTAGATTCTTGTTTTGCGATACTAGGTCCGCCTTAATGGACTAAGAGAAATGCACTGGTATCGCTCCCTCCCTCGTAACGTGGGGTAAGGCTATAAACTCTTGATACACTTTGTCTCACAGGCGAATATGGCGAGTGGTATGTACTCTCATTTTTCAGGCACACATATCTAACGCTAACTGTCTAAGAAGACTAATGATATTCGAGATATCTCCAAGGAAATCCACTAGACGGAATGATTCGCATCGGGCTTCTATCTAATCCGGGCCTCCACCTTGTGCATAGACAGCTTGTTACTTTTGCTAACCTGGCGTGCCTTACCAACAATACCTAGCTATCGTGCAGTAGCGCGCATTACGGTTAGATCCCATACAAGCGACTATCGAAGGACCTAAACTTCCACCCGATATATAATCAAGTTTCTAGTAAGCTTCTATTTACACATGGACGGTCCTGACTATACACGTACACTAGGATTTGGAGGGCATTTACTGCCAAACTTCCGAGTTGTTTTCTAAATAGGTAGGGCACTTATGTTGCGTAGTACTATCTAAACAAGCATCAAGGGGTCTCACAGTACATGAATGTAAACATCTATGAGCTTTACCAAATACATATTGGAAGCGCTCTGCGAAGGGAACCTAATAGATGTCCCACTATGGAACGCGCAGCACACCTCTACTAATCTAGGTAGATAACCTCCTTCCATATCTAGGTACTAAAACGTGGCAGGCATGCGGCTGTCCACGACTTCCAAAGTAATAAAGCCGGCTGATCGAAAAGCTGTGTATGTTGTGTGAGACGAGACGAGAGCATTAGTTATAGTCCTGGACGTGATGCGTGAGCGAATTCCTAGCACAACGCTTTACGGGTACCGCGTGAGAGGGTTCCATACTTGGGCATTGTCTAGCCAATGTGACATCGTACCTGTGGAGCACAGTAATCAGGACTTTCTAGGCGATTAGAGAAGGAGAATCGCTGCGATTTCCAACACAAGCCGTTGGTTTGAGTGCCATCATAAGCACGGAAGCAGTACGACCAAGCAGTGTTGTTCCTAGGTCCACAGGGATTGTAAAAATTTAATCAAGTGACAGCGGGGTATCTTTGTGAACGGAATAAATGCAACAACACCAACATCCACAACGCCAGCATTCATGTGCCAAGTCAAAGAAGAACGTGACCCTGGTGATGACAACGCGGTCCGCCAGCAGCTCTATTCAACAATACCAATTCAGTTGCTACGCCCAGATGCGCTGCAGTGCCTAGGTGTTCCTATTCTTGGGCTGGAGCGGGCTCGCGCGGCGACTTGGTCTTCGGGGCGGGCTTCAGCACTCGCTTCCCGCCTACAGCTGGTGTAGGAGGTAGGACGTTCTCTTTTGCAGAGCTGCCGACGTCCTTGGTGGCGTCCGGTGCCGATGCGGTGATGTCGCGGGTGTCCTTGCTGTGGCTATACTTGTGTTCGGATGCGGTAATGTCCGTGGTGATGTCATGCGCAGATGCGCCGATAACCAGATCATTCTCGCGCATTGCGGCTTCGACTGGCACCAACTGCTCGTCAGGGTAGGGGTTCAGGTTAGCTTCGTGAGTGAAGCAGAGGTATGACATGATGTTGAGCCAGTCGTCCTGAACGGCGGGATCTCGGCTTCGGAAGTCGGTGGTGCGCAGTTCGAGGCACTTCGCGATGCGAATCCAAGGTGTGGATTTGACGTGGGCATCGGTCGGCGGCTGGACGGAGGCCTCGTGTACACGGATTTGGCCCTCGGTGGTGACGGCGACAATGGTGACCTGAGAACATCAGCACGGGTAGATGTGGGCAGGCGGAGGGGACTTACAGTACAGCCCAAGGGGGCGCTGTTGCGCTTGAGCTGGCGATGAAGGAGCATCAGCGCATAAACCAGCTCGCCCAAATGCAATGGCCCGTCAGCGTCGGCCTTTGGCTGCGCGCGCACAGGCAAGAGACAGCCCACGACGTTTTCATGGCAGTACTTGCCGAAGCATGTACCGATATCGCAGCATTGAGCCCTATCGCACTCGCCGCTGCATCCGTCGCCCACCTTGAGGCCGTGTTGGACTCTCCAAGCAAGCGACCACTCCCACAATGGTTCGTACAACGCTTCCAGCCACATGTCGTACCGGTCTGGAGCGAAGGCGGTCACAGCTGTGGGCGGCATTGCGCAGGCTTCGCGCTCGGCGACTGCGTACATGATGGAGTGGGCGCTCTCGGCCAGCAGATCAGCCCACTCGAGCGTGGAAGCCCTGCGCACAACGTCGACGGCGGGTGCTTCGAGGCGATGGTGCTGGTCGGGGGCGTACGTGCTGACGAGGACGTTGAGTCTGGCGCGGTGAGGATGCGGGTTTTGTGTAGCGTCGCTGATGTGGATGCCGCACTGCGCGAGGAAGCGGGCGGAGGGCAGCGTGCCAGAGGCTGACGCGGGGTCGCGGTCGTGGATGGCACGCAGGGCGCGCATCAAAGCCTCGGCAGCGTCCAGCGTGGTGGGCGACATGGCCGGCGGCGGTGGTGGCGATGGGGCTGCTGGGGGCACGCGTTGTTTGGTGTGCCTGTTCGTGACGCGCCGTAGCCAAGCCCAAGCCTGGGCAGATATACATACACGCTGGTCAAGCACACGCCGGGCGCCGCGCTGCCCCTCCCGTTTGCGTTCGCGCGGCTCTGCCTTGCGCCCCGTAGTGCTCGCTCCCAAAGCGCCCGCTTCCGCTAGACATACCGACCACCGCGTCGCCTCTACCGTCTCACAGTGCCCGTCCGGCTTACATCACCGCCCTTGCAGAGCCCGCACGCTGTATCATGGATCCCAAATCCAAGCCGCCGAAGGACAGTCGACTGTGCGGTTGATATGATCGCGCCAATCCCGACAAGCGCTCCCAACACTCCTTTGCCATCGTGCGTGATCACGGACCCTTTCGTATTGGGAACCGATTCCATAGGGAGCACTCCCAGAAGGTTCTCATCTCCATTTGGGATTCTCGAGATGCGAAACTCGGAGAGCGACATGGAGCTCTTGCAACAGCTACAAGATAGGCTTGGCTTACAAAGCTGGAAGCTCCGCCCTCGCCGCAAGAGGTGACTGCTCGGAACAACGTTTTCGCTGCAAAGTTCATTGCGGATGGCAGTGACACAGTAATGGGCCGTGTACTGCTTAGGGAAGACTTCGCTAGGATTCTCCGAAGCAAGACATAGCAAAGCTAATGTTGGGCCGGACATGACGACGCTACGCGAGTTGAAGGTCTCAAACGTTGACGATTGGGCTATGGCTCGTGCAGCAGTATGACACAATGTTGACCTGATTGTCTCGCGCAGCCGGGTCCTGGCCTACCACATGGCAATGCGCAGATCGAGACACGTTGTGATGTGAATCGTGGGCCTGTTATCGGCTTCGGCGACGATATCATAATCGGTTGGCAGATGGACGGAGTCCTCGTGGATGCGGATATCGCTCTCGGAAGTGACAGCGGCGAGAGTGACCTGCCCTCATTCGTTAGCCAACAGGGATGTATACATCGGAAAAGTATATACCATTAGATAGAAGAAAATATTGTATTTGAGTTGGCAAAGCACAAGCGTTAGCACGTAGAATAGCTCCGCCACATGCATTGCCTGGTTGTCTTGAAGCTGCGTTTGGACGGGGAGAACGCAGCCGACGGCATTCTCGTGGCACCGTAAGTTTGTCTCCTGGTGCATTCTTCGCCGGCGACAAGCACATTGCGGGATGCAAACTCATCCCCAGGTTCATCGTAGAAGGGATTGTAAAGCTTGCTCGGCCACAGGTCGCGTGAACAGGGTTCACGGGCCTTCACGGCCGCGGTAAGCACTGTGAAGTTGTTGCGCTTTCGGGCCTCCTCGTACACGATGGTGTATGCATTCTCACAAGATAATCCGGCTAATGGACGGCGCTGACCTCGCTGCTTTTCACGGCTTCACTCTATCCTGACCTTTCTGCGAAAGAGGTATATGACTAGAGTATGGATAGGTCGTAGGTTACATTTGTACTCTCGCCACGTCCATCCCAAATCTAAATCTGCCCAAAAGTTCATATGTTGCCATTGGGTATCTTGATTGGGAACTGCAAAAGTGAATGCATGATGACCGTTAAACGCCTTTCCAAACACCTGGACCGATAGCGAAGAATCCTGCAGCATCGGGATGCGTAGGTGGTAGATGAGTCACCCGTCCTCTACCGCGCGCTGAGAAGCTCCTTGTGCGACACTGCGGCGGCCCTCTTCTCCAGCGCAAGCTCAGGCCACACCAAGCGCTCGTTGCAAGCCCATGCTCTGAGGCCTTTCACGTACATTTGGAACTCGGAAAGGGGTTCTTCCAGCGATTCGCACAGGCAGTGACTTGCTCCATGTGGTGTCCGCGCTGTGCATCCACAATATCCACCCAGTGGACGAACACCTCTACATGTTTCGAGTTGGCCGTGAGTGATAAATGGCATGTCTCGAGGACGTTCGCGGCTCGAGCATATGCCTGATCGTACAGGCCGTACTGATAGTTCACAATACGTGCGTCTCCGCGGGCGCCTTGGAGCTTGCGACGGTGATTGACTCGCCCGCTGCTGGCTGGTACTGACCGGTCAGGAAGGGTACCAGGAGTCTTTCCGTGATATCAAACATGTTGTCATCAGCGTAATGTTTGTCCACTGAACGGGGATGATTATATACTGCGAGAAGAATATCGATTCCTCGTCTTTAGTGAAGGCTGTCTAGACACCGTCTACAACTCGTGTTACCCGGGAACAGCCAAGGACAGCATCGGGCCAGGCGTCACTGAGAATTGTGTGGCCGGGTTCGGTGCATCGAGATGGTTTCCATTTTGAGGAGACCTTGGCCTCGGGCTCCGACGCAAGGAAAGGTCCGGGTTGGCACAAGGACATGACGAGGAAGGCGCCAACTTCTGACGAGATGGGCACTCTGCTGTATGTGACATCTTCCTTTGCATTTGGCGACCGGTCGCCCGAGATCGGCTTCTCTAGGGCGTTTTGAACAAATTCTGCGAATACCTGCGAGATCGGTGTTCCAGTGCACGTTTTGATCTTGTCAGCGCGCAGCTTCAGGTTGTTGTCGTGCGCTCTCGTCATGGGATCGCGCTCCTCGTGCTCACTGGGGGCATCGTCAACCCGGCCGGTGCGACTTGTTTCGGGAGTGGAATGCGGAGACCCGGCACCGTCACCGAGCTTGCTCCGTCGGAGATGGCGTGTACGGCAGCTTCCATGAGCGGCAGCGAGCAACCCAGCGCTGTCGCGGACTTCTTCCCAAGTACAGACCGCAGGGCGCCACACTAGCCAAGAAAACAAAAGTGCAACGCTCCCTGAACGCAAAAGCGCTCCCTCGAACTCATACCAAGCCTCCCTGGATGAGCATGAATTTCCCGACGTGCGGCGTGCCAAGCCGCCCTCGGTGACCAGGACCCCGTGTCACGGCGCGCACGAGCCAAGGTACCGCACCCAGGTAACTCGCCCACGCCCCCTGCGGAACCCTAACCCAGTGCCCCACAGGGAGGCCCACCTGCCAAGCCACCTGCATAACGGTACCTAGGCTCGTGGCCATCACACAAAGCACACTGGATGATCGCGCATCCGCCACACCGCATCATCACGCAACAACAGACCCAATCCCGAGAGACCCATCATCCCGTCTTACGAGATGCCTGGATATGAGCAAATAGTGCACCGTCCAACTACAGATCATGCGGATAAAGCACGAAGGCAATTTTAGGAGATGGTCAGCCATGGACGAATACTGCTGCGTGATGAGCTGTCTTGTGACACGGCAATAGGTTCCAGGTGAGAAAGGAAAGGGCCTAAAGGTGTGGCATTGTTAGAAACAAAACTAGACCCAAGTCTCCCTTCTGACTTGTGTGCTGTAGCACAACTCTTGCTCTTCCCCCTATAGTTATGCCGACAATACACCACCGTAGCGAGCAGTTGGCACACAAAGCCCAGTTGTATCCAAATTTCCAAGTCTGCATCCTTGTCGTATCTTGCCTCTTCCTCTTAGCCACGATCCTTTCGGCCGCCGCGATGAGCTTTGTTGCGCACCTACCTGCTGCGTTTACCCTTCTATCCCGCCTTGGGCGCGCAAAAGTTTCGAGCACCTTTAGCGGCCTTCTGTTCAACAGCACCGCTCTGCTTTGTGCAAGGACCAATCAGGTTCTGACAGACCGATTGTCTGAGCACCTTGAAGACGTCTGAGGAATAGGAGAGCTAACCCCTGTATCTTGGGACCCAGATTTTGCTTCGATCATCGCCTAGAATGCTTAGGACCAGGGCCCTAGAATCCCGCTGGTGCGTGAGCGCTGTTGATGTTGGGCGGTGGGGGCTGGAACGGCCGCATCGACGAGACGAGACGAGACAACCTTCCCAGAGCGGCAGTCTGCGAGGCCGTTGATCGCTGCGACCCTGCGAACGACCCTATCAACCCTGCGAACCGCTCGTGCATAGATGCGGTGGACGTAGGCGAGGGGATTGGACTGATGTCGGCGTCTTCCATCAACGTGGTAGTTTGGCGTGCATGATGGTGGGGCGAACGGCCATCTTGGCGCCTGCGTTGCTATTTAGGCTTCGACGCTGGACGTCGGCTTGCAGGCGCCCACCGACGCGGTCTTGGCCCGCCTCCGCGCATCCCATGCGCAATACCTTGCCGCGACCTCCCCTGCTCAACCTCAAGGCACCGCTGTCCCAGAATTTCTTAGCCAAGATGCTCAGCCGTTCTGCGGCGCTGGCTCTGCCGCCGACGCGCAATCACTACCATGGACTTCACACTGGAAGGAAGAAACACTCATCACCATCGACTGTGTGGGAAGGCGCGGCGCTGCCACCGATGCTTTTGACGACAATGCTATCCCGCTGCCTTGCCTCGCAGCTAGATTCAGACAGGTACCCCCATTCCACCATCGCCGGATGCTAGATAATATGTAGCTACAGCCCCCTCCAAGCCGCGATGACCTCCAACAGCCCAGGCTTCCGAGCCTCAGCCCTCCTCAAAAGCGTCAGCTCCAGATACAGTCGTGGCCATGGCCGGCCATGCGCACCACCTCTCATGCCTCTGTTCAACGCGAACATCACGCGTGATACGCGTGTGCGCTCATCACCACGCATCTCAAAATCAGGAGGGCACAAGCCAGAGCGAAGGTCTCGCTGCGCGCGTGTCCATACTGCAATCTATAAGTGTATTACAGACATGTGCACCGTCTATGCTACCACGAGTCTTGCAGCCCCATGCCGGCTGCAGGTACCTCTTGGCGACCGGGTTTGCGGTTGTGGGCGCGCCGCATCTTGGCAACGTGGGCTTGCACCTACCGGTACCATGGACGTAGCACCTGCCTGTGGTATGCCTGTGGATTGTAGTCTTCAGACCTGTACAAGCGTGCCCCTGACTGCACCCATCCACAATCTCGCCAACTGCGCTTGAATGTATCGACACACGCCGACTACTGCGTAATATATCGAGCTCGGCAACGACGGGAAGGGCATGGGCTCCCAGGACCAACCTCGGAGCGACGATGAGCATGGTGGCTACAAAGAGAGCGAGGACATTGGGTCAGACCCCCTGGGCCGGTGCCGCGGGTCGACGGTGCGTCGCTCCATCAACCTACCGTACCCACTGCCGCATCATTTTGCCCATGGAGTGGACTGGAAAGAGTATGTTAGACGAGATACAGTATGCTGACGTAGTGTTGTAGCAATCTTTTGGGAGCAGGGGTTCCGGTCGGACGAGCGGGTGGTCGCCTGGACCCGGTGCGTCGCTCTAGTGCAGCCCCCGCGGCAACGTCGACGGCCATGTCGAAACAGCCGTCGTCCGCGACGCGGTGACCTACGCTGAGCACGCCAGGCGGAAGACTGTCGCCTCTCTTGACGTTGACACGCGCCTGATATGGCACTGGTGCTTCGTGGGATATCATGGGCGGAGACGTCCGTTTTTCGCGTGACGGCCGACCCATTCTCTCCCACGATTACCTCACCGTGAAGATCTGGGATGTGAACAAGGAGCGAAGCCTGATCAAGACGACTCCGGTACGCGAGTACTGTACCTCCGAACACGACTGTGCGATGCGTACGAGAACGACAGCATCTTATGATTACCTAATTTCGTGGATAGGGATATCTTACGCAGATATCCCTCACCCGTGGAAAGCATGTAATCGTTCTGGCGCTGGGCATGATCGCGGACGCACCATGCTTGGAGTACATATTCCAATCATGACCGCAAACTCCATCCTCAAAAGCCCTTTGCACACTCCATAACCCCAGAAGACGTATCACCGCAGCAGATGAAGTGTGCCCACGCCGCGTCATTGCTTCCACCTCCGAGATCGATCGTGATATTTTGAGGGTTATAAGCATAACAGCACGTTGCTGAACCATGTCCATGACGATGGCGATACAGCACAGCGATGCACCCCAGTTTAATCAACATCTATCCTGCAAGATTCTGGACCAACCCCTTCTCGTCGAGATCAAAAACCACGAGACTCGATGATACGCGAGCCTTTGCAAATCGTGGGAGATGGCTGCTCTTCAAGTTATTCGTATCGTCTGCTTGCAGGAGCAGACAGCTGCTTATGGTGCACGGGAAAGTGAAACGCGAAAAGCCAGCTGCACTATTCGAGCCGGTGGGTGGTGGTGTGATTAGCAGAAACATGAGTGCTCCTATTGGAGCAAAAAGGGAAGAGGAAGCGCAAAGATGCACTGTTGCGCTTCGAAAATTCGTATCCTGGCCTTGGTGGATCCGTTTCAAAGCTGGTCGATTCAAACTTCCACAAACGGCATATGTCAAAAACGTCGATCGCCGTGATGCAAAACAATCGTTACACGGCAGCAAAGCTGTGACGTGATCTATTCCAAAAATAGTGGTTTAAACTTCCACAAACGGTATACATCAAGACTGTTGATCGCCGCAATGCAAAACAATTGTTACACAGCGGTAGCTTACCTGCGATATAATTGGGGAATATTGCACACCTACATATCCAAGCTCATAAAACGCACAGGCTCGAATTGCTGGCAGGGGCCAACTTGCCGTACTACCGTTGTCTCTGCGTACAATCGGCGGCCTAACGGGCCCAACGACACCGGCGCAGAGAGCACGAAGACAGGTAGGATACTAAGCAGCATAACCCACCATATCCGCGATCACGTACCCGAGCCTAGCGGTACCCACAAGGAGGTGCGTGTTTAAAATTGTGAACGGCTGGCCATGCTCCGCACTTCACTACAAGAACTACCACAAAGATGCCCTATTTTCACGACGCAGGTTCTACGCCCACAGATGTAGCGTGCCGCGCCTAGATAGGAAGTGCTGATGTCGTCTCTAAATTAGGGTTGCAGGTGTGTTTAAGCTTCTTCACACTAAGGGTAAGTCCCGTTTCAAGTGACTTACTCTCATCTAACACTTCTATAGACACACCGGCTCTCATGCTCTACTTGTAGAGGCGTTAGGATATCTTTCATCACACCGGCTCTTTATCCCCCTAAGCTTCGATCATCACGTACTACTGTAACAGATTCTCCCAGTAAAGTCGGGTCTAAAGTCTCACCTTCCTCCCGCTGTGTCTAGTGAGAGTATTTCCCCAAATGAGCATGTGCTGCTGCTTGTATTTGTAATATCGGGCGGTTAGACGCATGACCGTATAAGTTCCAAGGGGTTGCCAGTCCCGTTGTCTCCGTCCGATGGCACCTCCCGCGAGCCCAAGGGGTCGGGATGGGAAGGCCTTGGGATAGAAAGCATTGTTGATGTGAGTGCATTCTCACCTTTCCATCGAACGCGACATCGCAACGGCTTGTGCACAAGTTAGCTGCTGTGGTGACATGGTAAGTCGTAATGCAGTACCTTGCATGTTTGGCTACAGGAATAATGAGTTATAATTCATCATATTGCTTTGGCGTGCTCATAGTCGGACCTGTGGAAAACTTTCTCTTGCTATGGTATAACTGCAGAATTGCTTCTGACAGCGAAGCGCATACGAAGTAAACTAAAGCAGCCCTCTTCCACCGCATACTAATATGGCCACACTGATCTGATCAATCTGGGCTTCCAAGGACTCGACGAGCAGATTTATAGTTTGATAACGATGGCATAATGACGTGGTTGATAGAGTGGCACGGTTGCCGCTTGTGCGCGGCTGGATTGCCTGGATGTCGCTAGCATCTGTCTGCTTGGTAGTCGCTGCCCTGGACGTGTTGATATGGACCGTTCAAGCGGTGGTTCGCGTTATCATCGTGTGGTCACTGCCTACTCACTGGACGTGGCGGCCGGGCGCACTCAGCACCACCATGTCACGATTTTGTCCACTAGTACTCCTCCTCCTCCTTCCAGTGGCCGATGATTGCGCGCCGCTCTCTACTCATCACGATCCTCGCAAACAAAAGCCCCCACATCAAAGAAAAGCGAACAGTTTCACTGGGTAGCGCAGAGACTTACAGGTGCGTTCTCAATACCGACCTAGTCTTCTTTGGGTCTATTATGGTATCGTCGATCTATGTAACCGCAATCTATGAATGCTGACTACGCCCAGTGCGCCTACCATTCCCTACTCATTCAGAGATTAGGCGACGGGCCCATACAGGTAAGCGACCTTGGCCTGCAAAAACTCCGTAAGTTGGTCATCTCTCGAGTGCCTCCAACGCGGCTCTCATCCCCATCATCATCACTATATACTTATCAAAGCCGCATATTACTAAGAGAACATCCTCATGTTGAGGCCTAACGCTTCTCAAACTCCTAAGAGCGAGTGGGTGCAAGTATGCATAGCAGCTATCTCTCAAGCACCCATATTGTGCTTCCTAAATGTTGGTATGCTACTCTCTATAGTTTTAGAGTTGAAGATGTCGATTCATAACTCGTCAACTGTGATAACTTAGCTCCTTATAGGCCAATTCACTGGAGTACCCTTCAACACTTTTTCGCCCTAAATCGGCTAAAATAGGGCCCAAAGATGTTAAAGTAGGTGTACTAAAGGAAATTAGCCTATACGGAGTATTGTAGCGACGATATACGAGTCATGAATTGATATTCAATACCTCTAAGTCGTGGAAAAGGTGGTATAGAAATACCGATAACCGGGTGCATTCCGGCCCAACCAGGTGAACTGGCTGTGAGTCGATGCCTCGACGAGTTTTCCACCACTCGGCCTCTCCTACTTCAAGACCAAGTTCGACATCATCTACGTCATCACTTTCAAGGGACTCTACACTGCTGTTCTCAACACAACTAGTGGCGGTTTTGGTGCCGGTTTCGCATACGCCTATGTCAAGTTGAGCTCGAGCTCCAGCTGTTGTAGGGAATCGTCTTCATGAGTGCCCGCTGTGCTAATATGATTATCTTCTAGCCAGCGTGATGTGTAGGCTCGCAAGCCAGTCGACCATGACGCGATAATCGGCTCCCCGAACGAGTAGACTGATATCAGGATGCGTCAGATCTCATTAAGAAGCTTGCAGAGTGGGCTTTAGCTCTTAGCTCGACCCTAAACACCTAACAAAGGACGTTACGTTATCCCGGAAGCATCTGGTGTAGTACTCACAGCTATTACACGCCGCCATAAATTCTTTCCTTACTATTTCAGCCAAGTTCTCGTGAACTGTGCAACCTGCATTAGCATTCCAGAGCTCTTAAAGAACACTTATTGTTTCACTACATTCAGCAGCTCTCGGCGAAAGATTCGCGGCAAAACCTAGATGAGCCAAAGTAGTGCCAAAAGGAGACACCGGCTATGTCCGGAGATAGTATCCTGTGAACAAGGTTCCCCGCTGATATACATGGCCCACTCCAGGGACTTCCCATCTACACATCATCCACGGCATCACCCTCCACTATTGAGCAATGATCTTATTTGCAAATAAACGTTACAGTTGAGATTGTACTGAAATAGCGACAACCTGCGGGCCTTTAGGCTTTCAGTGCAGAGGAAATGTATCGCTCTCTGGGGCAACTTTGTATAGTGCCGAGGGTCTAGAACCAGCCAGCCGCGGAATGCAGCCCTGCTATTGACAGCGAATGCCATTGTAGTATCTTCTGGCGCACTTGCTTTTCGTGATAGGCTAATCGCCGTTTGTGGCTTTTGTCACCCTTGCTTGCACTTCTGAGCTCAAGGAAGCCTCTGTATGGGCAGTGACTGGGTGCTGGCGGAGATTTTCCACGAGGAACGCGTTGGTATCGTCTACTCGCTTGGATTTCTCGTTCTGGTTCATCGACGGAGAGGTCGCCGTTGTAGATCGAGACTGGGACGTGTGCGGACGGGGTGAGGGCGGACAGCGCTTGTCTGATATCGGAGAGGAGGCAGCCCATGACGATTTCGGCGAGGTCGACGACCTGAGATCTCTTAGTGTTAGAGAAGAACACCGATCGTTGGGACACGGGCAGTTTCCTCAAGAAATTCGACATCCAGTCGCTGCAGGTTTCGTTGGGTAGCATCTGTCCCACTCGCTTCGGCGTGGCCATGCAAGACCAGGTTTGCAGTCAAGATTCCTACACCATCATCCTCTCTTTCCTGCTAGAAATTTCATCTCCACTTTGTCAGTTTCCACTCGAGGGTTTCTCGCCACCCGCTTTTCCCTTTCCTTCATCAAAGATGAAACCACCACGCCTGCAACGCAGGAAACTCCTGCCCGTCACGGAGTTCGTGCCACAAAAGACTGATGAGAACGTTACGGTGCGCGTAGCTGAACAGCGGTTCGAGCGGCACCAGGTAGACGCCGAGCGCTTTTCCAGGAATGTCTTTGCTTAGTGACCCTCGACTTAACGAAGGCAATATCCATCGACTCCACAGTGCTTCGTGCATATCCGCATAGAGAAAGGGGTTCTGGTAAAGTCGAGCAGCTTTGTTGTTCACATCGACATTGGACTGACCAACGGACCGAGTGATAGTGGAACTTGAGAGGCGGCTTATTTTGAATACAGTATTGTTCATGCGCTGGAGGAACATGCATAGGTTAGTGTTCTGACGCGTCGGAGGCCACCCCCGCCGGGCCGCATCGCCGAAACGAAAGCCCGAATAACGATCGCTCGCTCGCGGCGTTGTGGGTTGTACTTTACGCCGGTTGCTCGCTGCTATCCGCTCTCTGATCATCGTCCACACGTGGGTAAGAACACTTGACTGTGCGCTTATGGTACGATATTCGTGCCCGCCATGAACACGCTGCCCAATTTTCGCGAAGACACGCAGCTCACTGCCCCTCACCATCGTGTTCGCCATTTGCCTACGACAAACGAGACCCCCAGGAGGTCATTCTATTCATCTCCCCCACTGGATCTCGTGTGGACGTCTTAGATGTCTTGAGGAACTCAAGCACTACGATGGGGTGCAGCCGCCGACAGACCGCGCCATTCCGGCACCTGCGCACTGCATGTGCTCATACGGTTACTACCGTCAGGAACATGTGCCTGACACGCCCTAGCCGCCACGGTTTCCACCAGGCAGCTTGTAAGGCGAAGTGCGAGCCAGCTTGGAGACACGCACTGTCTACATCGTGGACTGGGCCAGCATCGGAAGGTACCGCACTGTCTGCGCGGCTTGAATACCCATTCTGACTGAACCTTTTGTGGATGCGCACCCAATTTCGCGCCCTCGCTCCTATTACTGGAGCACAGAAGCAGCACCTTCGAAATTTGCACGGTGCCTGAAGTAAAGACCTAGCTGGCTGCTGTCGAAGCAATAGTTCTCCAAGAACCCCTGTCTGACTCGCCAACAACTACACGCTAGACGAGAGGTATCGACACCACCGACGTGAGAGGGCAGCCAGGCCCAGCCAGTCCAACTTGGAGGTAGACGCCCTCTTCGACACCTCCTCTGCCGCCAAAAGAAGATAGCCGCCCGCGCAAAGCCACGCCGATTAGGGCGCTGCACAGCGCTTGCAACGAGAGATAATACGGCTGGTGAGACCTGGTTACGGTTGCGTTACGGTTGCTAGTGATTACCGTACGTACGTTACGGCAGCGAGACCTCTACGGTACCGTGAGTGAGCCGTAATAAGCAATTTGAGCCTTGTACGCCGAAAATACGGTCGAAAATATATAGATTTCCTAATTAGGAAGGTGGCGTGGGTTGAGCGTCCAGGTCGTCGTCGTCCGGAGCTTCGTCGACTGCCAAAAACGAGAGATCTCGTCCATCTATATACTCCGTGAGGTCCTTGAAGTAACTCAGGACGGTGTTTCTCCTCAGCCAGTTCTTTTGTCGCTGGCAAGCTTCTATTACCGCTGGCGATAGTGAGTTTACGATCACACGTGACTGTACGTTTGGCGGACGAGAAACACCTCTCGCAATCACACGACGTCGCTGGCACTGTAAGGTAATCCATCGCCATCTTGTACAGTATAGGATACTTTGTTTAGCCGATTTCTACCCACCAACGGTGTGGGTCGTCGAGGAGCTTTGACATGCGTTCGTCAGCGAGTTGCAGATCCTCAAGTAGGCTGTCAAAGTAATCCTCCATCTGGGAGCTCTGTTTCTGGCGCTTGTGCGATTTCGTGTTGGTGAGGAGCATGGGATCCACCCACATTGTACGTTGTCGACGAGCGCTCGATTTGTACGCACCTGGGATCTTACGCATGGGGTCAACGTCGTCCAGGACGTCGTCCGGTGATTGTTCTGCGGCCAAGTAAGTGGCAAAGACGATGTCGAGCGACTTTCTAGCCTTCCGAATCCACTGTGGGGAACGAGACCAGTGTGTTTGAAACCAGCGGAGACGCAGGCGTGGGTGGAGCGCTGTTGCCACATAGTAGATTGATGGATCGGGATCCGTCACGAGGCGTATAAACTATGAGACGAGCTTCTCCGTAGCAAAGGCGACGCCGGTTTGTAGGTATTGTGATTGCCCATAGTGCTCGTACAGAGGCACGAAACCTCGTCCCAGTCGTCGTCCGACAGTCCATCAAGACGTGGATCGTAGTTGCCGTTGTCTGGAGCGTCGTCGTCGCGTAGGTGTTTTGTATAGAGACGAATCGTCTGCCGGAGCTCCAGGCAACGCAGCAAGATGGCGTACGTGCTGTGCCACCGGATCCCTCCGTCCTGTATCAAATTGAGTGTAGAGAAATTGTACAGGTCACTATCATTGAAAGCTTACAGTTGCAAGCCTTCAAAAGGGCTTTGACGTTTGTGGGATACGCAGATGGAGGTTGACAAAGTTATGCAGCTTGCCGATGACACCTTTCTCGCGGATGTTCTATAGGCGACGCGCGGGATAATTTGACTTCGAACTTGCTCATGCCTTTGCCGTATATAAGAGCCTTTGTAAGAGCCTTTGTAGTAAGGTTTATTATATGGCCAGTGCACCGAATTCGGTGTTGTGGCCCAACGGAGATCTCTCCATTAGCGAGGTCGTTGATGCCGGCAAGAAATGTTGCATCATTGTTCATGGCATTGTCGGCGACGAAACAGTGGATATTTCGAGCAAAGCTGTACTCCTGAGCAACCTGACAGAAAATAGACGCTTGCGCAGCGCCTGTATGGTCACAGAAAAGAGGGTGAAAAGCGATAAGTACGTCGCGTTGTTGGTGGAGAGAATCTATATAGGTGCACGTCAGCGATGCGGGAACTTTGGTGATTTCCCAAAAATACGCTAAAACGCTCAACTTAACTCCGGCCGGGCCGGCTATTACCGTATTCCAGCAGAAACACCGACTTACCGACGAAGTGAGCGACAACTCCAAGAAAGTCTGTATTGTTTGACCACGCCCATATGTCGAAACTTATTCTACTCCGCGCCGTACGTAGTAGTGACCTAATAACCTCCTTCCTCTCCTCTAGCGCTTTTTTTACGTATAAAGAAAGTGTGTTGCCGCTGTTTGGCAGGCCCCGCAGCAGGTCGATTCGGTTCCACGTCAACAAGCCTCTGCTGGCCGACGAAGTCGCCATCACGAAGCTCAAATCATGACGTATCACCCAGTCGATGTACGACTTCAGAAGCTCTACTTCTTGCCATGGCGAATGGGAAACAGTCGTACGAGTGCCCGCAGCTTTCTTGAACGAATTTGATAATATAACAGCTGGCCGCGGCATGAGACCTCTGTCGGGGTCTATAATGTGCACCTTCTGGAGATGCCCCGCAATATGAGCTGTGCCAGATCTGACGTCGAACAGGCATGAAGCTGCCTTGTTTATATGGCACCTCTCACATAAAAAGAACACCTTATTGCTGACGCCGTCGTCTACCAGGTAAACAAGCTCTGCGCCGTATCTCCATATAGATGCCGATTTTCTGCCACCCCTTGACTTGGACTTATACTATACACGATATCCAAGCCGCGCACTCACGACCTTTGTCCGGCCATGCCACAAGTTATTCCAATCAATATCAAACTCCTTGTCAGAGTTGCGGGCCGTCGGATAGTCATGGAAAAGTTGTATGGCTGGCGACGACGAGCGCGAGGAGCTGGCCGATGACAGAGCGCTGCGAGCGGCAGAGGCATGATGGGGCGTCGGCGTCGACGGCTGAGAGGTATCCTGCGTCAACTGAGACGCGCGCGTATTTTGTGAATTAACCCACGAGGTGATCACAATGGCGATGGCGACGAAGGTAAATAAACTGATTTCTGTGTAGGAAACAAGGCGGACGAAAAGTCAGGAGGTGAGGATCTACATTCGCCCGATGTGGGTACATCTTACGCCCAAAACAGTCCGGATCGGCCACATCCGACGCTCAAAACTCCGCTCACGCCTCCTTCCTAATTGGGACAATAACAACCGTATTACGGTGTCAAAGTTACTACGGTACGGTTGCTTTTACGGCGAGCAACCCATTACGGTACTGATTGCCAAAATCCGCCTCTGAGCAATACCGTACTCACCATACTACGGCTCGTTGCAAGCGCTGGCGCTGCACGTAAGCGGTCGAATTTGTACAAGAAGAACGGAGATGTAGACGCGTTTCAGAATGATTGATAGAGATGCAGTAATGTCGCTCTTATATCCAGTGTTACACGGTTCGTAACCATACACGAAACAACTTGAGAGCGAGGGAACGGCTCCAGCAGGAGACCTCATAACTGGTCCACTGAAGCAGCCGCCGTGTACACCCTTCATAGCGTGATTGGTAGTGCCGATTTAGGTGTAGGATTGCTCTATCCGCTTACGTTCGCAGAAGAAGTCGAAAAGAGTGCGGGAATTGAGAAGAGGGTTGAAAGATTCCTGCAAGGAGGAGTATGTTCTATACCGATTTTTTGCTGTCTTTCAGTGTCTGTGCCGTTCAATTCCAACGTCTAGATACCTAGGGCGCATCGAGCTAGAATTCCACTATCGACGAATTCGCGCGAGCGGAAAGGCGGCTTGGTGCTAATGCTACCTTCCTCGGGTGCGTACTACCAGTTCCGGGGGTCGCATAGACAGGGCCAGCGCGCAGAACAACATATATGCACCGAGGGCTCCTGCCCTCGCCCCCTATCTCTGCTCGACAACATATTTTACCACATCGAACACGATGACTCCACTTCAATAAACAAGACGACCTCGAAAAAATCTAAAACGGCGTCATACAAGCTCTCTGCGGGCATCTAAACGAGACAAAGTGGTATTGTACGTGTGCTTCCATGGCCTCCTTCTATTTATGGTCACCTACATCTTTGTCCGCTAAGCTTGTGGATTCGAACAAGGTTTCCTATCACATACTTTCTCTCTGATCGTGCGCCCATCGCAGATAGTCCACGACGGACGGAACGGCATCCGACGGTCCCTCCGAGACCCACAGCGTGGCTCAAGTTCACCTGCAGCATCCGGAGATCCCCTGGACGTCACTGGAACAACATTCTCCCAGATTGCCGGCCTCGTCCTGGGCTGGGTTGGGAACCATGACCGACGGAGCTCTTACGAAACAACGATCTTCATCCCCAAGAAGAACTGCAGTCCGATCATAATTGACGGATCGCGCGCGAACACGATACCCAAATCGCCCACGCTGCCGCCGTTGCCGAGCATGCACGGTGTCGATGTACCCATTTATGAAAAGGCCGAGTACACGATTGCAATCTGCTCTATTCAGACGTTTGGTGACACCCGCCCGCATGGTTCCGTCTGCGACAAGACGCAATCGATAGTCCGCCCACCGTCCATGTCACTCGAAGTCTTCCTCTAATCAACCAGAGAGCAGGCAATCATCGCGAGCGGGGCGTACGGCAACCTTACCACCACGTCGTCTCTTGTCGCATCCGATGGATCAGAAGTGCACATGTCCAACTTCGATGAAACTTGGGTCCAGTTGCACCCAGCGGTTGGGCTAAGTCTTCCTCAACTCCATGTAGGGTTGCAAGCAGTCTACATTTGCATAAAATCAGTTCTACGATGTCGGCGCGTAGGAAAGATCAAAAAGGAAATCATGGCCAACTGACATATGAGACAAGGGGCCACTAGTCTCTGAGGACCCTGCTCGTAATGCAAATTACTTTGGTTTCTTGCGGATCATCACGATTGCTCTCTCTCTTCAATTAGCGGGCTGCGAGCGGATGGGGCGTGTTCGACTTGCCACCTCGACTGCAGAAGCCGGCCGTTTGGCGAGAAGTCATCGCATTGCACTTCGGTACTCGAAGCACTCGTCCAAATGAGTCTCTAGACCATCGGCGGCTTTGTGACGCTTCCTTTCGAAGTGCTTGCCAGCGTAAGGGTTGACGCGCTCGGGCAGTCCCGCGCAGGAAAACCTTCCCCGCGGTCCGACAACGGGCAGCTGCACACAGCATAGAGTTTTGAATCCGCGCTACCCTGCTACCTTTTCGCCGAGATTGTGTTGGTCCATGGGAACCAGCAAGCATTCGGACAGATAGCCAATCACCCCAGGCTCCCACCCCAGCAGGTTCGTGAGAGATACTTCGTTGTCGATTCTTCCAATACTCCGGTACGCATTGTTGCTTCGCTAGACGGTGCGTCTAACTAGCGATCTCACATCAACTTCGCATAAAGCGACGTGAGATTACAGGTACCGAGTCGCTCTGTAGAAAGCGTTCGGTAGAGGTAATCCCGAAGGCCGTGGCGGAAAATTCGGGTTGTACAAGCTGAATAGCAGCGGCCCACCTCCTCAGACACCAGTTCCTCGGCAGCTAAAGGGTCTTCGAGGGTCCTGTTGAGGCATATGGTCAGGATTCAAGGATGAGAAGGAATTGTAGTTTGAATACGCGCTCTAACCGTCCCTTTTCGTACGCTGGCACCCTACGCTCTCCGGAAGGCCTGCAGGATGTAGGAAACCCACTATTTAAAAAGAAAGGCTTCGCTATATGCTTTCGAAAGTTCGTCAGTCTCGAGAATCTTGGCAAGACTTCTGTTGGCTTGAAGATTGTAAAGCCAAAGACAACGAAGTCTAGGGCTACGTACCATAGACCGGTTTATCAAACTGCCAGGAACCCAGGATGAGAAGAACCTGGAGTGGATTTTGGCGCTAGAAGCAGGCAAACCGAGATGAGTGCATATGCAGTGAGCGCAATGGTGCTACCCTTGACAATATATTTGAATGTTCATCAGGCACCAATACGCAGGTCCTTTCTCCTCGCCTTATTTGCACGAAGATGAAACGCAAATCCGCGTTTCGTTTGTCCAGGAGGGGACGGAGAATGAAGCTCGCAAAGACCTGCCGCGTCTGGTGCACGCCTCGCTTCGCCCTTCCTCCACAACCCTGGACGCCGCTGACGTGCCATTGCATGAGCATTTTGAACGTGCTGTACCAAGTGCGCGGAACTAAGGTGGTTCAACTTGAGGTGTAAGAAGGCGTGCATTGGTTGCCTAAATATGCTTCACTCGTTCCCACGCCCAGGAACGAAACCGAATACAGCTTCGGGAGAGCTGGAAGCGCTCCCAAAAGACAACCGAACGGCTAGATGAGCAGTCTGGATCTACAGGGCGCACCCGAAACGCCTTCTGAGCTCACATGTGATCTGGGTCTCACCGATCTTGTCGACGAAAAGCGCCATGTTCCCTCACCCAGCGGCTCGCGGCCGGACTTCTCCCTAGCTACGTCGAGCTTCCCGTCGCCTCCGGAGCCGCACCACCTGAACCCTGTCGACCGCCACCGCCGCCCTGTGTTCCCGAGGTGCCTGGAGCGGGCGGGTCTTCGTTCCTGGTCAACGTCAGACAAGACCTCGATGGGATAGCATGTCGCTGTGGGATGACTTACTTGGTGACCTTGATGGTGACCACAATCGGATCAGCGTGATCGGCGAACACCACTTGCATAGTGCTTCCGACTATCGTCCACATGCAGGTCCTGCCCTTGGTAGGAGTCTCGCTGAGTGTGACCTCGATGCAGTGTGTGTCTGTCTGGATTTTCGTTCTTGGCGGGTCGCTTCCACGCTCCTGCGCATTGCTTGTAAATTACTGAACCTGTTTTGAGAAAGGAACGCGCGCCTACTCACCATACCTGGGGTGCCGGGAGTTGCCATGACGCAATTCGGTTCGCGTGACGAGGTGTGGACCAAGAGCAAAGGACGTTAGATTTGTAGCGTCTGACGATGTTTGGAGCGAGCGTTGGAAAGTGTGTGTGCCTATCTGTGGCGATCGAAAGGCGCTCACGTCTTGCTTCGGGTGAGAGTGACTTGACGGAGAGCGACGTGGGTGAGAGATGGACTCGCTAGCAGCCGGCTGCACCTGCTCCTGCGGCCAAGACGCGCTCTCACCACGTGGTCACAAGGTGAGAGATGGTCGTTCGGCGACGCAGTGGCGCGTACGAAGAAGAGTGCAGTAGCTGATCCACGAAGGTGTACCTGGAGACGCTGTCATGGCTTGCGTACGGTTCAGGGCGGGAAGTACACACCAACATGTCCCACGTGACGGTCGTACCTCTACGAATCCGGTTCCTTTCCCCGACCACCACCATTCGGACCCCCCCTCTTGCCAAGCGTCCACGCGATTCGCGTCACCTACTGTCCGTGAATGTCAAACAGCGAACGCTACTCCGCCTCCGGAGGTGAGTCCTGCAGACACGCTTCATCAAGCTGACGCAGCAGCGACTCGTCCTCGACCCTCGTATCCTTTTTTGAACTCGTCCACGGCTCGTGATACCGAGGCCTTCCACGAATCACCATCTTCTTTTTCGTTCACAAGCATATCTAGATCCTTCGAGAGTGGCCTAGAGTCTGCTTATGTACCGCACACTGCACCTCAGTACCTGCATGGCCGTCATCCTCGAAGCGGACCCGCTTCCCAGACCATGGCACAAGGCCGTGGTAACAGTCGGTCGTCTTTAGCACTGAGAGCTGAGCGCAGCGGTAGGCTCTTAGCATGCGCAACGGCTGCCCGTGGGTCGCCGGCCACGCTGCATCGCTGTGTCCTACGTCAGCCAAATCGGTTGGATCGGCGTGTAGCCCTAGGGTGCCGTAGCTGAGATGCTCTTACACAAGGACGCACCCGTTGCCACATTCAAGCCATGGATCACAACGGGCTGACGCGCTACTTGGAATGCGTGTTCGCAATCGGCTTTCCTGGTCGCCTCGCGCTACAGCTAGAGCGCCGCCTCTGGCCCGACGACGAAAGCTCGGGGTGGCACTGACCCGCGTACACGAGGCTGCTCACGTTGGACGAGTCATCCAGGCCCGCGTACGTTTCCGTGTTGCGGAACGCGTCGTCGTCCCTCCCAGAGGTCGGGCTCCTGGGCGAGCTCATGCTCAACTCCACATACAGGGGCACGATCTTGGCCTCCAGCCGTCAGCTGTATTTTCTCGTTCATGAGCAGGGACCCCTCTTTTTCAGTGTCGTGCTTATGCACGTCTATTATGTCGTCGATATCCTTATCCACCAGTGAGCCGGTCCCCACGTGATCGGACTTGTACCATAGCACGTCCGTGATATCGCTGAGGTGCTCCGTGTCGTAGTTGCAACCGTCGCAGTCGACTCAGGGGGTGTAGACGACAAAACAACTGTCCTCATTGCTAGCTTGATCGTCAGATACCTCGCCACGCCCTCTGCTCCTAGCGCGGCAGTCGCGTTCAACCCATATTTCATGGCGCCCACATCAATTTGCGCGCTCGTTAGTCCAACCTCACGGGCTGGAGGCACGCGTTGAATGGACCGCACACATGTTCAGTGCGGACGTTGACCGCAATGGGCGATGCTGATTCGATGTTCGCACGCGTCTTAGCCATGCGTACATGGAGACGTAGGAACGCTCGAGTGGCTGGGGAGGGGGGCCTCCCATTGCAAATCGTCCCTGGACTTCTCAATGACGGTCTGTACGAACTATGCTCGGCCCCTTGCTGACATGGTCCTCGGGTGACTGCAGTCGCCACGGCTCAATTTGGCCGTTGATCCCTCCTTTTGCGATGTGCGTGAACACTGGCTTGCTGTATGGTACAACTGCTGTCGAGTCAAGCACGAGAGTTGGCCAAGCAGGCAAGAATAATGGCTGCGGTAACAGGTCGTATCATCCCGCAGCTCGACGCCTGTGCCGTCGCTTTCGGGGGCCTGCTGTACCTAATGCGGTTAGCGCCCATCGGCCACGGCGACCCTCACGTCCTTGAGGAATTTGGCCTCGTCGGCAAACGTCACCAAGGTTTTGCTTGGGTCCGCGCATCTCCCGTGTCACCAGCTCACATAGCAGCAGCGCTGCGGTGGCTATCACCGACATGAAGGCTTGATTTACTCTCGGATGGAATCTTCGTTCGCTCACACGTGCGGAGCAACGCCCACAGAGGGCCGCTATGCGATGCGCCACTTGTGGTGGCCTTGGGGTTGTTTTCACAATACCTTCGTCGCGAAGGCATGGTTGCCGGGAAAGGTTTCAGCGAGTTTGCATGGGACGTGTTTACGCGTAGGACAAAATCCTACCTGCACACCGGCCGAACATAACAAAAACGCTGCACCTACTCCACGGTAGGTTACCTCAACGTCTATTCTGCGCACCGCAGAACACTGCGCAGCTTTCCAGAGCTCCTCCTCGCGAGCTCAACGGCGCACAGATCTAGCATGCACTGCAATTCAGATATTCGCAAGATGCTGGGTGACCGTGTGGATTCGCGGCATCATTCCCCTTCGCCGACAGCTTCATCTGTCACGTGACGCCATCTCCACAGACGAAGTCGGACCTCGCAATCGCGTCTGGTACACTCGGTGGAAGCGCAACCTTGCCACCAAACTCCCTACGACGTCGCGAATCGTCGC